TCCCCAGTGGGTTGTTATAGTTGATCTCAGCCTCAAAGGAACGGTCTGGGGACAGCAGTCAAGTAGAGGCATTAGTAAGGAAAAGTCATTCCTTCTACCCACGGCCTGGGCGCTAGGCCCTGTTCTCACCATGGAAGAAGTCCCGGAGCTCCCGAGTGTTGGACAGAGACTGAATTACACTGTTCATGAAGCAGGTGTTGCCTAGATTGACAAGGCCAGTGAAGCCAGGCAGACACACCTTCTTCTCTTCCTCCTCCTCTTCCTCCACGCTGTCTCCACTCACAGGGCTGTGGGGCATTGGAGGCACCATGCATGTGGGCTTTGGCTGTGGGAACAAGGAGGGGCGTGAGAGGCAGCCCGGAGGCTCCTCAGCCTCCAACTTTGGCCCTCTTCATCCTGGGATTCTTACTGAGGCCAGGTGTGGCTCTGGCTTTGGGGCTACATGCTCCATGGGGTTGCGGGCCACCACACCATCCAGCCCTGTGTCCTCAGAACAAGCCTTGGGTTTCTCTTTCTCCACAGCACGGGCTTCTTCCTGGCCTGCCAGAGGGTGGGGAGCACCCCCTGGTGGAGTTGAATCCAGAGGGGTTGGGCCTGTCGGCACGGCAACCTTTGCACCACCCACTGCACCTTAAAAAGGGGGAATAAGGGGGCTGGTGGTTAGCAGCATGTAGCAGCGGGTGGGGTGCCCTGGTCACACAGGCTAGGCAATGAAGGGAGCTCGTGTGCAGACCTTGTGCAGCTGGGGCCTCCAGGCCCCCCCAGCGCTGACTCTGTCGCTTACGGAGGCAGATATCGATGCGAGAGGCTGTGAAGCAGAAGGTGCACTGCTCTGGTTCAATCAGGTTCCTGCAAGAAAAGACTGATCTCAGGAACTTAGGTGGAGTGGTATCAGGATAGATGGGCCAAGGAGATGGAGAACAAGGAGGCACAGGCAGAGTAGTAAGGCTGGGCACCACCCACCTGAGCTTCACCTGCCAACGGAAGATGGTGTGGGGCCCGCAGCCTGGGTGTAGTCTCAGGAAGTTTCCATCCCTGCCAAGGCAGAGCAGAGGCAGGACAGGAAGAGGAGCAGAAGAAAGAGCATGAGACATGCTATTTTGCATAAAGCACACTGCCTGCCCCATCTCCTGCCCACCCACCCACCTGGTCTGGAAGATAAGTGTGAAGTCCTGCTCGCGGAAAAGCACTCGAGAGGCATCCCTGCAGATTTCCTTCACGTACACGTGCACCACCACTGAGTCCGGCCCCTTCTCATACGAATCATTCTTGACAAATGCCAGGTTCACCATGGACTCAGGCTCTATGTTGAGACCACAGCTCAGTGCCACCCAGGACAGGTTCCAGCCTGTTGTTATTCTAGTCCCTACCCACCCACCAACCTTGCAACCCAATCTAGGGCTCTGCCTACCCATCCCCAGCCCCACCTTTACCATCCACCAAGGCTGCAGCATCTGCCGTTACTGCCATCTCGTCTTTGGAACGGTCACCTTTCTCAGAGTCTCTACTCCGTGCCATGGTTGAAGAGACTAGGTCATTCCTAGGGGACACTGCCTTCTCTCCTACCAAAAGTGCTAGGTTCTCCTCTGAGCCCAGAAGGCAAGTTTGAGGGTTCAGCGGTGGTACCCGGAGCTGTTCCTCAGTATCAGCCTATTCATGGCAAGATTATGGGCAAAATCACTCCTAGGTCTAGCAAATGCTTCCCCCAACTTCTGGCCATACCCTCCCCCCACCTTCCAACTTCCAAACAAGCATCCCACTCTCACCTGAGTGGTTGATTCGGCCAGGAAAGGAGGGGCATCACCCCGAGGTCCAGGGCCATCTCTGGACCCTTCCCCTTCTGGCCCTCTGCAGAGATGCACAGCCCTCTTGGCGCTGGGCCCTGCCTGAGCCCCAGGGCCAGCCCCCACGCCTACCTCACCACGGCCCTGGGCCCGCTTTTGGTTCCGGGCCTCCTGCTTAGCTCGGCGGGGTTCGGGGCCTGGCTCCAGGCCAACAGGAGACAGCTCCTGCCCATTCTCTTGGCACAGCCCTGGCACCAACTCCTGTGACCCTAGAGGTTTCTTCTGCCAAAGACACACAAGTCAGGTCTTGTCAACAACACTGGGTATCCCCTAACCTACCCTGCTTTGGAACTTACCAAGAGAGAGGGCCACGTGAGCAGAGGTACTTTCTTAGGCAGTGCCAGCTGCAGGAGGCTGCCTTTGCGGGCCTGCACTTTGGCGCAAGAACTTTCTATCTCAGCATAAAAAACACCACCCCACTGCCGACCATCTGGAGACAGAGTAGGGCAGTGAGCTGGGGTAAGGTTATCAGAAGATTCAAAGAGACAGCTTTGGCTTTGGATAGATGGACACACCTGGAAGCCTCACCACACAGTCTGTGTCTGTGAAAGCTGCATCCACCTCCTCCAGTCGCAAGGGGCCCGTTCCCACACGCAATTTGACAATCACCTCGTCTGCATTCTGACTCCAATCAAGCAACAACTCTGCAGGAGGAGTGTCAAAGATATCATGAGGGTCTCGATGAACTCCTAATAGGAATAAGCAGGTACTAGAGACCCAGTCCTAATGGGGCTACTCAAATGTATGCTATACTCCAGGGCATGCCCTTCTCCCCTCGCATTCCAGCACCCAAATGTCTATTTATCACTCACCCTCTTTGGTCTGCTCCTCCCGAGAAGTGGATGCTGATCCTGACAACAAAAGGGGAAACAAAAAAGAAAATAATGATGGGGATTTCAGCCACGTACCCAGACCTCAAAGCTGAGGCTCTACCCAGCCTGCCACAGATTCTTCTCTCAGCACCAAAAATAGAGAGAACAGCAAAAAAGTCACCTCTTAACCCCCAATCTGTATATTCAGCAGGCAGGGAGGAGAAGGCAACAACCACTCTGGGAATGTCACTACCACCTTTCCTAGGATCTCCATCCTTGCTCTCCTGGTTTGCTCGATCTTTTTGCTTCTTCTTACTGGTGGCCTCCTCCAGTCCTGGGGGCCCTCTCCTTGGGCCTGTGGCACTGGCCCCGCCAGACATCTTGAGCCGCTTGGTCGACAGCCAGAGTGCCCTGGGGTCGGCAACGGCGTCTGGGTCAGGGCTACGGCGCTTTCTTCCTGGCCCAGCTATCTTGGCAACTCTTTGTGGCCAAATTCTCCAGCAAGGAACCAACAGCCTAATGAGAAGGGACCAATGATCACTACCAACAATTTGCGACAATTTGCTTCTTGGCTACAGTCAGGGCTCGATAACCCAGGATACTCCTACCCCTACAAGGGACTATCTCTCCACCCTCTAATGTAGCTTTGGTACACTATTCCAAAGGGGGAATAAATAATGCAAATAACAGCAAGCACTTCTGGCCAAGGATTCCAGATGTCTGCCATACAGACCCATAAAGATGGGAGACTCACTAAGGTGCCAGATCAAGGCAGCTGTGGGCAGGGACTAGGCTCCTCCACCAATCTGGAGAGAAGCCATGGCTCCAGCCCACAGGGCTGGCACTCTGAGCAGGGTGCTCACTTTTCCCTCACTCTCACTGGCTGCTTAGTCACCACCCAAGAAGTAGGAGGTGGAGGAGGAAGGCAGGAGAGGAGGAGACAAGCAAGCAGCAGGAGGACCAGGCTCTATGGCTGACAACATGCCCAGCTCAGGTGCTACCACTGTCCCAGCAAGGTTCAGGCACCTCACCTGCTGCCTGCCAGGTCCCACCCTGCTCTGACCCTGCTCCTATGCACTGCCTGATTGTTTCTTTCCTACATCCTAAGAAAGACTCCTCTCTCCAGCTGCGGTCCCAGGGAGGGGCCTGTAAAAGCTCATTGAAAGGATATCCAGATGCCGCATCACGCCTTCAAGTAGCAAGCCTGCCCAAAGGCAAGGCAGGGCAGACATCCAGTTTGATAATGAAGCATCATCCCTATTTTCTTCCCAGGTCCACTCACATCAGCTCAGAGCCAGAGACCCTTTATCCAGTTTCCCACAGGATTCTGGGCCGTTTCTCCACTCAAAATAAAGTTCTCAAAACTGAGATAAAGGAAGGGATGAAGCAGGGGACCAGGACCCCTGGCAGCTCAAGCTCAGCCTTACAGTAGAGTGGCAGGGCAGAGAGTGAATAGTCTGTGGTCCCCAGGTTGGGGGAGCGGGCAGACATCCTTCTATGGGTCAGATGTGGGACTGGTGGGCTGGGTCTTTAATGAGGGCAGGTCCTGAACCGAGCAGCAGACACCCTCCCTCCGCCACCTTGCACGCAAGCTCCGGCAGAAGGTCGTGCCTCCTCCCACCCTCCTGGGACATCAAAGCGAGGAAGGGGCTGCCCAGAGACCCAAAGCAGCCTGAGAAGGCCGCGCGGAGTTACTGACCACTAAACAGCGCCCGGCCGGGGCGGAGACCCAGTTCCAGCCTTCAAACCCGCGCTCGCCAGCACCTCCTCTAGGAAGCAGTCCTCGCCCGCCGCCAGTCCTGTCCGCGGCAGGGGATCGGCTACCGGCGGCGCATAACGGCCCGGCCTGCAGCGGGGGCCCAGGCACGACGCGCGGCTCCCAGAGTCGCGGCTGGCACGTCCGTGACCTTGAGCAGGCCGCCCGGGGCCCGCGCCGCGGCCTCCCCGCTGCGGCCCGGCAGGCAGGGGCCGCCAGTCCTACTCACCGAGAGAGGCCGCCGCCGCCGCCAGCCCTCTTCGGGCCCTGGCAACCCGCTCTCGGTTCCGGTTCCGGCGTCAGGTCGGTTCCGGTTCCGGCGCGCCCCTCCCCCGTCCCGGCGCCGCCGCCGCTGCCACTGCCTCAGCGGCTTGTTTTGTTTCGATCTAGTTACGGCCGCGGGCGGCGGGGCCGAGCGGCTGACGCACTTCCGGCGGGAGCGGGCGCGCAGCGGCGGTCGGCTCGGGGGGGGCGGGGCGGCCGGCCGGGGGCGGGGCTCCGGTGCCTCGGCTTCACCCCGGTCGTGGCCGCCTGAGGTTCTGCCCGGAGACCCCGCCCTTCCCCAATCAGAATCCAGACGACACAATAGGGATTCGCATCTGTTTATTGGGGGCCTTGCCAAGCTGGGAACTATTCCATGCATGGGCAGCACCGTGTGCAGAGCTGGGCCGGGCCGGGGGCTGGGAAGTGGGAAGGCCTCAGGCCGGGGTCACTGGCAGGTGTTGTAGATCTGAACCTGCAAGTTGATGGCTTGAAGCACGCTACGCATCCTGGCCTCCAGCCCGTCCAGCTGGGCTGCTTTGCCCTCCAGTGCACGTTCATTCTCCTCATAGGTGCCTTCCAGCTCTAGGAAAGACAGGGCACAGGTGAAGAAGGGTACCACTACCGTAGCCCCATATCTCTGGCACCCAATCACCCCATCCCTCACCTTGCAGCCGCTGTAGCTTGTCCTGAGCAGCCTGCAACAGGCTCTGAGCTTCATTCCGTAGTTGCTTTGCCCGCTCCTGGGCAGCCAGCACACCCTGGGCCTTGCGCTCAGCAAGGGCCTTCACTGTCTGGTACTGGTCACCTAGTGGGCCCTGCAGCAGCTGGGGATGAGGCAGGGAATGTCAGTGTGTGGTCCAATGGAAGCCCAGCTTCTCCTCCCACCACACCCCTTCCAGCTGACTCTGTCCCAACCCACCTGCTCAGCCTCCCTGGCACGACCCTGGGCATTGCTGGCAGTTTCTTCAGCGCTAGAGGCAGCCAGGCTATTTCCTGCTCGTTTCAATTTTAGAGCTTCCAGGAGACCATCCAACTGTTGAGTTCGCTCACCAGCAGAGCTCAGTGCCTGCTCTGCACCTGCCATCCTCTCCTGTACCTGCGATAGGTGAGCCCAGGGTTAAACAGGTCTATAAGACAAACCTATAAATTTACCCCCACTGATGTCCCAGAGAGACCACACCTGGTGCAAGGTCTGTTCTGTGTCCTGTGTGTCAACCACTGCCCCCTGGATGGCACCCTGAGCAATGCCCTGTGCCCGCTGGGCCTCCTCCAGTGCTGCCTGTACTGTCTCTGCCTTCTGTTTCTCACCCTCAGCCCGGCTCCTGGGGAAGAAAGGGAATCAGGGCCTGCAAATATCAGGACCAAGTATCAAGGATGGGGGTCAGGGTTGGGGTCAGACCGTGCCCGCTGTGCATCTTGTAGCAACTGCTCAGCCCGACGCACATCCCCCATAGTACGCGCCAGAATCGCATCCACATCTTCCAGATTCCGGACCCGTTCTGCAATCTCGCCCGCCAGGTGCTGGATCTGCTCAGGTGATGCTGGGATGGAGAGCTGCAGCACCCGTGTGGCTACCATCTCAATGCTATCTGGATCAGCCCCTTCCTCTATGGGGACACAGGCAAGCACTTAAGGACACAGATTCTCCAGCATGGGCATGGGGACGGGAACACACTCTTGGGTTATGGACTCAGGGACCACACACGGGATACGGGTTTGCCAATAGGCATAAGCATGTAGCCACACAAGGACAGGGAACTCTACATGGGGCACAGATACAAGATGATGGATTTGGGGACCACTTATGACAAGGACTCAGACAAGAGGTGATAAACACAGGTCCAGCGCAGGCCTTGACAAATATGAATCCAGGGAGAGAGACACAGACACAGGGGAAACAACCACATGGCCTGGACTACACGGAGGCTCACGGCTGAGGAAGTCCTTCACACTCTGGATAAGTTCCCGAAGTTCCTGGTTGGCCTGCTCCACCTGTCCTCTGGAAGCATTAGCCTTGTCCAGTGCCGCCTGGGCCCGCTGCTGTGCCTCGCCTGCTTGCCGACGGGTTTCAGCCACCTGACTGAGGATGCCACCACCTTCTTCCAGTGCCCGCTGCAGCTCTGCCTGTGTGTGCCGGGCTCGACCCAAAGCCAGGTCTGCAACGGCTGCTGCCCCACTGCAGCTCAGGCCCCCACAGCGAGGCTGCCCATCCTCATCCCGACAGCCAGCACCTCCACAAGGGCTTGTAGCACAGGGTAGATCTCCTGGGGACCCACAAACCTGCCAGGTATAGAACAAGTCAGGGCTTTGTGAAAGGACAGCCATACCCATATGTCCCACCCTATGCTCGTGCCTCACCAATTCATTTATGCCTGTCAGACTCAGGGCATGGGTTCGTGCAGAGAGATCGCCAAGTGCCCGTTGGTTGGCCAGGTGTTTTCTGTTGAAGTTGTCCCTCTGGGTTTCCATCAGCATCTCTGTTCGGCGCCGGGTGCCTGCTGAGTGGCTCACAGGACTGGGCACTGTCAGAGCCGAGGTGTTAGCACGACGTTCTGCTTCTGCAGATAGGCTATAGGCTTGGCGGATGCTGTCATAGGCACCTAAGTTGGCCAGAAGCAGGCAGTCAGCTGAAGATCAACCAATCCTGGTCCACCTGCCTAGTTGGCCAGCAACTCACCCAGGAAATTTGAATGCTTGAGCAGGTCCAGATGCTGATCAAGCTGCCGCAACGTAAGATTAAGTGCAAGCCCGTCTCGTTCCAGACTGCTTAGTGCATGGTTGGCATTGAAGTTCTCATCCTGCACATCTGTCAGTTTTGCCTCCAGCTGGGTCAAATGCTCAGTGGCCTCCCCGATTTCACGCCTGTGTCGATGAGAAGTGGGGGTTATGTTTAGAGATGCTTTCCCCCTTTCCACTGGGTCCCTGCACCATCCCACCATGTAGCCTCAGGTCCATCCACACATACCGCAGATCCTCTGTGGCCTTCACAAGCTGTGCAGTGGAGGCAGCTGAGGTGTTGCAGGCACCCACAATCCCCTGCACAATGCCCAGCTTCTCCTGAATCTTCCAGAAGCTGCTCTCAAAGGCACCCATCACACCCGTCTGCTGCAGCTCCTGCACCCGCTGCTCCAGGCGCCGTGTACGGGCAGCCAAGTCCTGTACCACGCGGTCCCAGTCCCCGAAGCATGCATGGCAGGGGTGGCAAGCAGGAAAGACACCCGAGAAGCCCCGGGCACATTGGTCACAGCGCACACCAGACACGCCTGGGCGGCAGCTGCAGTGGCCTGTGGAGCGGTGACACTGAGGTGTGTCTATTCCACGAGGGTCACAATCACAGGCTATAGAAAAAGGCAGACCACAGAGTTAGGATGTGCATGGGAATAACCACCACCCATCTGCCCTGGCCTTGCTGACTTCCTTACCACGGCACTGTAACCCAGGGTCTCCCCAGTGGAGCTCCTGGCACTCAGAACAGGTTCGCCCACCGAAGCCAGCATGGCAGTGGCACTGCCCTGTGAACTAGAGGGGGACCAAGCAGATGTCAAAAAATCAAAGGCTGAGCACTCAAGACTTGAGGCAGACAGCTAGTCATAGCCACTCAGGGATCCAGAGGAGGGTCCCATACCTCATTGCAGGTGGGGCCTCTGGCTCGGCTTGGGTGGCAGGCACAGGGCTGGCAGCCATGGCCACTGGTAAGGTTCCAGTAGTTTGGGACACAGCGATCACAGCTAGGGCCCTGGACATTGGGAAGGCAAGGGCACTGCCCACTGCTTGGGTCACAGTGGCACTGGTCGGTGGATGGGCACTGCTGGGGATCTGTGCCCAATTGGTTGCAGGTACATCCTGTGTCAGCCAAGATTAGCACAGTAATCAAGGGGAGCCAGGGCAGCAGAGCCCCACCTCAGCCATACCCTCCCATCCCCACACTTACGGTGACAGCTCTGTCGGGCAGCTTGTCCATGGAAGCCAGGTTTGCAGTGGGCACAGTGAGGCCCCTCTGTGTGGTGTAAGCAGCGTAGGCATTGCCCCGTGTGGGGGTCACAGGCATCAGGGTCCATGGGGTCAATGTTCCCACTACACTCACATGGTTGGCATTGGCCGCCTGGTCGTGATGGATCCCCAAAGTGCCCAGGGGCACAAGCCTCACACCGCAACCCTGCCCATAATCAAGGGATAGGCATGAGTCCTCAGCCCAGCTGCCCTACCCTGATCCCATACCTGCACCTTACCCCCTCACCTGTGTAGCCTGCCCTGCAGTGACACACCATCTGCTGGGAGTACCCATCCCGATGGCAGGAAGTAGCAAAGTGCCGCTGGCTCCCAGGGCCCTCAGGGCAGGGACAGGGCCGACACTGGCCCCCATATGGCAGCCTTGGGTCCCCATGGAAACCAGCAATGCACCTGCCGGGAAGGACAGGAAGAGATGTGTCATCCTTAAGCAGCCTGTCTACCCACCAACCCACTCATAGCTGCTCCAGGCTCAGAGGCTCACCTTTCACAGTGCTCGCCCCCTGTGTGATCACGGCAGCCCAGGCAAGCACCCGTGTGGGTGTCACACTCATCGGCATGCCCATTGCAGACACATGGCCGGCAGCTAGGGAATCCCCATTGACCACGCTGGCAGCGGTCACAGCGAAGTCCAAAGGCACCAGTTCGGCAAGGGCATTGCCCACTAGTCCCTTCACACAGGCCACTGAGTGCCCCTTCAGGACTGCATTGGCAGGCTGGGGGCAAGGCAGAGGCCGAAGTGGGTTGGTATGGGAGGAGGTGTTGAGAGAAAATGGGGGTAGGGAGGTTCATGGTGGGAAGATCATAGAATGGAAGAGAACTTCAAGGACCAAGGGCTGAGAGCTCAGTGTTAGAGGAAGAAAGAAGCAGAGGCAAGAGGGAAAACAATAGTGGAAAGGGGAGAAAGGAATAGAAGGGAAGAGGGGCAAGCAAGTACCTTGACAGCCTGCAGGACCAAAGCCATAGTAGCCAGGGGCACAGCGGTCACAGCGACGCCCAACCACCGCAGGTTTGCACAGGCACTGACCGCCATGGGGGTTACACTCAGAACTCACTGAGCCCTGGGGGTCGCACTGACAAGCTGTAGGGAATGGGGGTAGGGTCAAGTCAGGCTAGACCCCCTCACACTTCTGCCCCACCAATCTATATCACAGACACTCACGCAGGGCACCATTATAGAGCACGGCAGAAAGACTGATGAGGAGAGGAGCACAGGCCTCAGAGGGAGGGCTCTTGCTGGGCACCAGACCCTCCTCACGACAGCGGTAGCGTTCAAAGGTGGCACGGCGCTCCAGAGCAGCAGCATCACCCCCACTGAACATTTCCAGCACCAGGACTTGGGGCAGCAGCACCAGCTGAAGAAATCAGCAAGGAAGAGTAAAGTTCAGACCTGGAACCATAATTGGCACTGCCAGAGCACACAGCTTAGCATCACCCACAGGTCTATCTCTTCTCTCCAGACCCCAACTATCTACAGGTCCCATCCTATAGACCCTGCCATTTTGGTTGGTATGGGGAGAGGACTGTTCACCGAGTCAATGAGTAGGCTGGGTCCAGAGTGGGGAGCCTCAGATGGGGTACGTCCTCCTGTTCGCACCAGCTTCAGATGCAGCTTGTAGGATGTGCCAGGCTCAAGGCATACAGGTCTTGGAAGCACCATGTACCTGGTGGGAGGTGAGGATAGGTACAGTGGCTTCTCCAAGGCCCTGTACCCATCATCCTGGGCCTCCTTCAACCCCAAACAGCCACCAAAACATCAGCCAAGAAAAAGACTAGAGGGCCTCCCTGGTGGTGCAGGCGGTTGAGCACAGCACTGTGAAGCTGTCCGCAGCCTCTGCAGTGCGGGTTCGATCCCGGCTGGCCGGGAAGGTACCCACATGTTGTGGCAGACCTCTCCTGTCTTGCCCGCTGCTCCCGTCAGCAGTGTATTTCAGTCGGTCTGCCTGTTCTGTTCCCCACTCTGTCTCCGGTGAATCCTCTCACCCACCTGCATCTGGCCTGTACCCCGGTTCTTGTATGCGTGAATAAAAATAAAATCTTTAAAAAAAAAAAAAACTGGGACTAGGCCAAAGTAGGCTGGGCAGGGTTTGGCCAACAAGACAATTTGACAACCCTGCAGAAAACCTCTATCAAAGATTTCCACAAATGTGTCTCATGGGAAACGTATATCTGTGCAGACCAGTGTCACTGAAAACACTCCACAGCACCTACAGCCCCACAGCACTTCCCTCACACAACACTTTCAAATTTTCCCTCAACAACCTTTCACACTTTCCCCAACTTCAACCTCTGCTCCTCTTCACCAAAACTGCACCACTTCCCCCTCTCTCCCTCTTTTCTCGGTCATTGCCGTTAGTTTGCAAACCCATTCTTGGTGGTGTTTTTTTTTTATCCTCCCCCACCCCCTGAAAAAAATCTTCTCAGTCTTGACTCTCCCCTCACTCTCCTGCCCAACAAATTCCTAAAATTCGACTACAGTCACTGCTTCTACGCACTGGCCTCCCACTCTAGTGGAATTTCTGCCCCCGCATGCCATGGAGATAGCCTGTGCCAAGGTCACTGATGAACTCCATGTAGCCAAAGTTGGTGGTCACTTCTCCACTCTAATCTTCCAGCATTCAGCAACATGCAATGAGATCAGTGTGCTTTCTTTCCTGAGTCACTCTGCTCTTTGTTTCTGGGACTCTATCCACATTCTTGAATTCCCCTCACCTTCACCTTGTCCTTCTCTACTGGTCTCTAACACTAGAGTGCTCTAGCCCTCCTTCCTTTCTCTGGTCCTTCCATTCAGACTCACTTTTTTAGGGAAAACAACAAATACAAGTCTTCAACTGGACTCCCCCCAGTAATTGCAGATGCAGGAATCCAGTCACCCACTAGCCTTCTCTCTCATGTCTAAGCACCTCAGATCTGCTCTTCTCTCTGTCTTTATCTGAGATACTTAAGTCTTTTTTTTTTTTAAGATTTATTTATTTATGCATACAAGAGCTAGGGTATAGGCCAGAGGTGCAGGGAGTGAGAGGACTCACCAGAGACAGAGTGGGTAACAGAGCAGGCAGACTGACTGACATACACTGCTGAGGGGAGTGGTGGGCGAGTCAGGAGAGGTCTGCTGTGCCATGTGGGTCACCTCCCTGGCCGGGGATCAAACTCGTGCTACAGAGGCTGCAGACAGCTTCATAGGTTGTGTCTTAACCCCTTGCACCACCAGGAAGACCCGATACTTACATCTTTACCCCAATTGAGATACCTAAGCCAAACCCTAGAGTCACTCTCTACTCTCTGTACCTTTCCTCAATATTCAAGCCATCATCTCTGCCACTGCAACCCTCTGGAAACTCCCTCTTTTCATGACCTCTAGTATAATACCTCCGTCCAATCCACTGTCACTTGGCCAACTCAACAACTAGTAGGTCTTCCAGCTTCCACCTTGACCTCTAAGTCTATAGGCATCTTTGCTAAACACAAGTCACAGTTGGCAAAATGTCTGTTATGGGTATAGCCAGTCATTATGCAATTCTCTCAGCTTCTGTGCATGTTTGAATATTTATATGATAAAAAGTTTAAAAAGAAGAGATGAGGGGCCTCTCTGGTGGCGCAAGGGGTTAGGACACCACTGTGAAGCTATCCGCGGCCACTGCAGCACAAATTCAATCTCCAGCCAGGGAGCTACCCACATGGCACAGCAGACCTCTCCTGTCTCACCCGCTGCTCCTTTCTGCTGTGTATTTCAGTGGATCTGCCTGTTCTGTTCCCCACTTTCTCTCTAGTGAGTCTTCTCACTCCTCCGCACCTTTGGCCGATACCCCAGTTCTGGTATGTATAAATAAATAAATCTTTTAAAAAATAAAAAGAAGAGATAAAAAAGATGTGTAATAAAACATTAATGAGACCAGCCATGTCCCTGCTTATAGTACTTGGAGGCCCTCCCTTCTCCCTGTGGGCATTCTCTACAGTGATGAATTCCTGTGTTATCCTCTGGAACTTAGAGCCCCGAAAGAGCAAGCCTTGTCTTCTGACCAGTGCCATGCCCACCAACACCTGGCAAACAATACTTAGAGGAGGCATTGACTAAATAGAAGGATGAGCAGCAGGAGCTTAAAACTGATGCACAATACCTCACAGTTGTGGGGGAAGTCGTGAGTGCCCTCACCTGGTGTCTGGTTGCAGAGTCCCTGCGATGCGGTCATCTTTGGGCAGTACATGCCCACAAGGGCTGTGAGCAGACACAGGTCCTGGGCGCTGCACAGTCAGTTCTATTTCTGCCCATTGTTCAGGGACCTGGGGGGGAAGGGATGATGGAAGAGATGCCCCTACACCCAACCGTTCAGTTCTGGGTGAGGTGTCATGGGGTCTGACCTGGGGCTCCAAGTGCAGCAGCAGGTCATAGTCCATGGCTTTTGGTACAGAAGCCACCTGGAACTCTAGTACTTGGCCTTCTCGCAGCCTAACGAAGCCTGGGCCCGTCCAGGATAAAGCTGCCCCGGGAGATGCCAGGCGCTCCACCACATCCAGCATCTGGAAGGCAAATTGGTGGGAAGTGGATGCTCAGACAAGATACCCGCTTCTTCTGCCACAACCTGCCCCCATATCCCAACTCTCTAGCTGAAACCCTGCCCAATGCAGGGCATCCTCCCCAACCAAGGCACTGCCCCAAACCCCGCCTCTCTTGCCACAGTCCCACTGTGCTCTGCCCTCTAACACTGCACCTCTACCTGCCCTCGTGTGTCTTCAGCTTCCCAAGTTAGGTGGTCTAGGAAGGGTCGGAAGTAGCCAGGCTGCACTTGTTCACAACGTCGCCCTACCATGTGCTGGCGGCACTGGCACTGACCTGTGGCCTCGTTGCACCTGGGAATACACAGTTACTTAAGAAGGACTCCCTATCCTGCCCAGTATCTTTTCCCACCCTGCCAGGGCCACATATACAGCACTCACTGGGGATCCAAGGCACCACCTACGTCGCAGTCACATGGACGGCAGCCAAGCAGATCATGGCTTAGGCCCCAGTGGCCAGGCTGTAAGAGAGGAAGTTGCTGGGGGGCAGAAACAGACCCCTCTCGCCACTCAGCAGGTAAATCAAGGATGTTTTCACCCTCTACCCTCCCTTGGTAAAAATATGATCCCTAGACCACTGGCTCCCACCCATGGCCTCCCAGACCTGCAGCCTCTCAAGGATAACAGAATCCTAAGCAATAAGCACCCACCCATTAGGGCATGGAAACTACCCCCAGGTCTGTGCTCTGAGGTTAAGTGCAGGACCTCAGAACCCCTGCCCCCTCCAGTCGCACCAGACAGCGATTGCAGCCACGTCCAGTCACAAGACGCTTGCAGAAACAGATTCCACTGTTGGGATCACAAGGGGTATGCCCAGGTACTGTGCCCCGTGCATCACATTGACACTCTGCAAGGAAAGAGACCTGTCAGCACATTGGGGAGTGATGGCAGTGTTCATATTAAATTAGGTCAAGAATAAGATGTCAAGGGGCCTCCCTGGTGGTGCATGGGGTTAAGACGCAGCACTATGAAGCTATCCATAGTCACTGCAGCACGAGTTCAATCCCCGGCCAGGGAGGTGGCCCCCACGGCGCAGCAGACCTCTCCTGTCTCACCCATAGCTCCCCTAAGTGGTGTATTTCAGACAGTCCACCTGTTCTGCTCCCCATTCTGTCTCTGGTGAATCCTCTCACACACCCGCCCCCACACCTCTGGCCTGCACCCCAGCTCTTGTATACATAAATAAATAGATCTTAAAAAAAATAAGATGTCAAGGGTTAAGTTCAGCAGAGGAATTAGGGTGGGAGGCACATACGCTGGCAGCCTGCAGGATCATTGGCACTGAGCCCAAAGAAGCCGTCACGGCACTGCTGACAGCGAGGGCCCACCACATGTTCTTTGCAGCGACACTGGCCTGAGACTAGTCCTAGTGCAGGATCATCATGCGCATCACAGCGACCACCATCTTGGGAACCCATGGGGTCACAATCACAGGCTGAGGGCAAAAAGAGAGACACAGGGTCATCTTATCCCAATTAGCCCAGCACCTCCCAAGACTTCACCCTGGAATCCCAGACTGATTCCACCTTGTGTCATTCACCCTAAATCCCTGCAACTTGCATAGTGGTATGGTTACCCAGCTCCTACCCTAAGCTCAGCCTTCCCTCTCCCATGCCCAATTCCAGTCTCACAGCGACACACAGCCGGGTCCCGCAGGTCCTTGGTTGGGTCACGGTAGAAGAAGGGCCGGCAAAGCTCACAGTGACGCCCAGCTGTATTGTGCTGACATCCATCACACACACCTCCACTCATGTTGCCAGATGCCAGATATACTGCCATGTCGAAGTGGCAGCTGTGGGCGTGCCCATGGCACTCACACTCTTGGGGGAGGAGAAAGGAAGGCAGGGAAAAAGTCACTTGAGGGACCATGTCCTGAAAGGGGCATATGAGGCCCTAGTGCCACCTTAGGTTCCTGCTAGGTCAGAATTTGTTCTGGGCCCTTACCCAGAACAGGTTGTGGAGGAAGGTTGAGGGGGTGACAAGGTCATCAAGGCCTGGATACCCTTTGAACACAGTCTAGGTATTAGGGGCTTGACCATGCAGCTCTAGCTTCTACCCAGGGCATGGGGTTTAGGGGACCAGGGTCTCACTCACTTCTGCAGGCGTGACTATGACCATCCTCAGCTGGATGCCAGGGCAGGTCATGATAGAAATCTTGACACTGCTCACAGTTCAGACCACGGGTATTGTGCTTGCAGATGCAGGCCCCATGAACCTAGGAGGGTGGGCAGGCAAGTGATCAGAACTGTCCAGCCATGCCTGCCCCTGCCCCAAGTCCTACTCCAGCCAGCAGAAGCCCCTCACCATGCCCTCAGCATGGGCTGGTGCCCCTGGGGCGGGTGCACACTGTGAGGCATGTCCGTAGCAGAAGCAGTTGCCACGCACAACCAGCTCGTAGAGGGCATAATAGTACTTCTCTCGGATCTCCCGTCGTGGGTCAAGCAAGTTGTCTCCCAGCGTGTGGAGTCGTGTCAGGTTCACCCGTAGGTTGGTGATCTTTAGCAAGTCTAAGGTGGGGCAGAGTGGAGTGGGGCAGCTGACCAAACAGGTTCTTGCTGCCCCATCCCCACTTAGGGGCTGCTGCAGATGCCAAGGTCACCTTGGGATACCTCCTGTCTACTGTTATCTGAGCTAAATTGGTCTTGGAACGTGCCTTAGGAAGCACCCAAAATAGCTACTGAGGCCCTAAATAGTCACTAGCCGGACACTGGGACTGCCAGGCTCTAAGGGTGGAACACTCACTCTGGATCCGTGGGCTGTAGGGGTCTGGAATAGGGATTGCAGGGTCCAGCACACGGTAGATGACCTAGAGGGGCATGGAGTCCACAGAGACACTAAACCTCAGACCCATCAGCCCTCTCTTCCTGCCCCAAACCCAGATGCCAGCCCTCACCTCGCCTTCAGTGGATGGTTCGATCTCTGAGTAGCGGGACTCACAGACTACATCATCCCAGTGTCGTGGAGGGGCCAGTGGGACTCCTGGGAAGTCAGCCCCACAGTCATAGGAGAAATAACGGTACACATGCCAGGTGCGGCCAAAGTCTGCTGAGCGTTCCACCAGCATGGCAGCAGGGCGAAATGTCTGGGGGGCGGGGGGAGGGATGGCTGATCAGTATGCACCAGGACCCAAATCCAGTCCAGGCTCATCAAGAAGCCTGCCCAGCTGGAGCCTGCTCATGGACAGGTAAAAGTGACCAGTAGAAGAGCAGCAATGATCAAGGAGAATAGCCATATTTAGGGGAGGTTCAAGGATCATGAGGCCTAGAAAAGCAGCGCCTGATTCAGCCTGGAATTGGGACAGCATGAGCAAAGGCCTGGAGGTGGAAGGTATCAGAAGGTGTGAGAAATGAAGTAGCCTTCCTTGCAACCAGAGCACAGCACATGAACTTAGGGAGGCTGGACTGAGGATCTAGGACTCTGTTCAGGGGTAATGAGGGCCAAGCAGGGCGATTCAAGCAAGCTCCCAGACATGCAGGCACCTTGAAGGTCATAATGAGGTGTGTGAAATGGAACTCAGCCTCCAAGTCCAGCTGGATGGTGACCACGGGGACACCTGAAGCAGGAGTCAGAGGTCAGGGACTTGAGGCTATTGGTGGGCAGCCCTGCTCATCCCATGCCCCACCCACAACCTCACCATTTTCTGACTGCCACCAGGCTGTCCTGCGCTGTGGTGCAAAGCTGGTGACTACATTCTGGATGCGATGGCTGTTTGGGTTGTCTCGAGCAGAGAAGGGGCGACGGGAGTCACACAGGAAGCATTTCTTCTCATCCTGGGTTAGGTCAGCATCAGAGTAAGTGCCTCAGCAAGTGCCAGCCCCACTTGACCCGACTCCCTCCTCTCCCCCCAAAGCACACCTGCAGGTGACTGACGATGCAGTAGGGTTCGGGGCCCTGCAAGCCACAGGTGGATGAGGCGGTCAGTCGGTCAGCACGGCCCACCAGCAGATCACCTGTAGCTGGGTAGCAGCTTCCCCGCGAACAGCCTGGCACATCCGGAGCCGGGGCCTGGGCCAGGGCGGTGGCCAGCACTGGGAACAGTGGATCAGCTAGTTCCGCTCTGCTCCTACACTGTAGCTCCAGGGGCAGCTACCCCAGGCCCCACCATCGCATCCCCAAATTCCCAGGCCTTCCCCAGGCTTCTCACCGCACAGCAGCAGGCCCAGTCGAAGTTCCCAGGGCACAAGCTGGTCCCTCCCTCCTTCCCCTGAGGCCCGCTCCATCCTGAAGAAACGGGAAAGGACAGGAGGGGTAAGAAGGGTATTCGAGGTCTGAGGCCAGTGCCCACCCACCCACCCCTCCCTTCGTACCCCATGCAGACCCTGCCAGTGAGGTCCTTAGCTGATTCCCCTTCCAGCCCTGTCCCTCAATCCGGTGTCCCTCCACTAGCTCTGAGTCCGGCAACTTTCAGCAAAGTTGGAAGGAGGGCAGGAAGGAAAGCATGGAGCGGATTTCAGGAGCGAAACACCATGCGGCGCTCCCTCCATTTCTCCAGAAAGGGCCCTCACTCTAGAAAGCAGACACAGGAAGGCTCAACTGCAAATCTTTATTGTGTCTCCCGGCCCAGACCTGTGCCAGAGATAGGAAAAGGTAGGGATTTGGGGCTTTAGGTCACCACAGTTAGCAGGGAACAGCAAGTGAGGCTCATGGCATGGGTAAAGATCAGACTCCTAGCCTGTATCCCTAGCATTGTGGGTGCTATGGAAGTTGCCATCTACTAGGCTCTCCAGTTCCAGGGCTCCAGCATCAGCGGGGTGGTGGAAAGGTAGAACAAGGGACATCAAGCTCCCCTATTCAGAGATGTGAGACGTTTTAGGCTGTAGAATAAGATAGGGCGGAGATATGGGGGAGATATGGGGCAAGCCATGCCCTACTCAGTGTTCCAAGGTCTCCGCCTCCCTTAGTCACTACAGCAAGCAGGCATGAGAAGTGCCAATCTCAGCTTGCCGGTATGGACAGCCTGCAACAGTCCGGAGTAGCAGTGAGTGCATCCAGTTCTCACGGCTGGCTACTCATCCACTCCGGACCTTCTGGCCCACCAGGAACTCCGGAGCTGGAGCTGGGGGTTGGAATGCAGGAGCTGCCGCCTTGTGCCCCACCCAGGCTCCTGGGACTAGACTGGGACCACAGACATTATAGAGCCTGATCAGGGTGGCTCTGGGCTGTCACAGCTGTGCCCAATCTGTCTAGTACCCAGAGCTAGGCGCCCAGGAGAGAAAGCTGGAGGTTCCCAAGAGGAGTCTGGGCAGTCTATCTGAAAGCTCCTGGGCCCCAGGGAATTACTCCATTAACATGAGAAAGAGTCTCCAGTTACCCTGGAGCTCATATGTAGTCGATCTGGGGGGCCCAGGGATAGGAGAGGTGACTCCAATTTTAAGTCACTCAGCGAAAATAATTTGTCAGGGCCACTAGATGTCTTTAGGGAATTTTACAGGCTCTCTCTCTGGTTTCTTAAGGTCAGAGGCCGCTGAAAGATTTCACGGGTCACACATGAATTAGGATCAGTGGGCACTCAGTGGGGTCTCTCAAGGTCAGGATATTCCTGGGTAACTCTGAAGTCATTTTGGGTCATTCAGGTAGTTCCAGAGTCTCTCTTACTGGCATCCAGACAGCAGTCAGCAGGTGGCAGACGCACTGGCCCACAGCTGTATGTGCTCAAGCTGCTCTGCTGCCCTCTGTTCCAGGGCCCACAGGATGGCCACCTTCTTGTCCAGTGTCTGCTCATTCTGTTCCAGGCATACCATCTCTTGCCCCAAATTGGCAAAACATGTAGCCTTTCTACATCAATTTATCACAAGAATTGCTCTACCTTGCAAAAATCCCGCATTCCCATGCTGAAAGCTCCTTCAGGGCAGCCTAGCCCCGTGGTGGATCATATGCCTGCCCCGCTCACCTCTGCACTCCGGATCACCCCAGAACCCATCCTGACAGCAGGAGCATGTTCGGCACCCAAATCCTGCCTGGCAGGGGCACTGACCTGTGGCCTGAGGAAAGAGTGCAGGCCAGTAAGCAGGAACAAACTGCCTCCTTTGGGAGGACATGTGTGCTCAGAAGCAGCACACACACACTCTAGCACACCCTCTTCTCCCTGTCGCCCTGCTCCCACCCCAGGCAGCACCCATACCTGTGCTTGCCTGAGGAATTGCCCCCTCTTGCTTCCTCTGGTCTGACCCCCTTAGCCAGACCCTACCTTCCCACATTACCAGATTTGCCTCCTATAGACCTTCTGGACCACCGTTCCCCTGCTGCCCTTTGCTCCTGTGTCCTGAGTTGAGCACCCCATTGTCTCCATACTCCCATCCCATGTCTCTCTCAAGCCTGACGCCCACCCTCTCTGCACTAAGGAAGGACACCAGAACATGAGGCTTCAGGCCTCAGCTCTAACCATTCTCCGGGAAGGCTCCTTTTTCATGACCATGCCTCTCTGCCTGAACCAGCTCTTGGTCCTAACCCTTCTGTGTCACCTCATCTACACACACTCCACTCCTCCCTTACCAGGACACAGAGCTTCTCCCACACTCCAATGTTTGGTGCACTTGGGCTTGGCCTCTTGTCTGCTCTCCTCCAGGCCTTGCCATGAGCTCATAAAAACATCCCACAGAAGAGCACAGACTCACACTGTTGTTTGCAGTCACACACACTAGTGTTGGTGGCACATGAACACTCACACCTGTTACAGGCACATACACATTCATTTACCACTGGCTGTTGCTACATGCTACATGCAACATGGGCTTACTCACCGGGTGACGCATCAGCTGCAAAGTATGTTGGGCATGGCAGCTGCAGGGCTTGCAGCCCCTGGGCACCCCCAGGTTCCAGAAGAGGGGGGCACTGAGGCTGCAGTCCCCCCCCCCAGTGTGTGGTGGTGGCAGGGGCACTGCCCGCTGACATGGTTGCAAAAGCAGGCTTTAGCCCCAGAGGGGCACCATGTGGGTACAGTGCCCCAGGGGTCACAGCTGCAGCCTGTGAACAGGAAAGGTTGGTATGGTGTGAAGAGGGAGAACCCACCCATTCTAGGATACCCCCAACTACTCCGACCCACACACTCATGCCTGCAGCCTCATGGGCTCAGGGCACTCCCGTGGAAGCCATGCCTGCAGGGGGCACAACCAGGGCCATGGCTGTGGTGTAGACAGCGCTGGCAGTGCCCACTTTGGGGGTCACAAGTGGCAGGATATAGGGATCAATATTGTTGTTGCACTGGCTGGGCCAGCGTGGACTCCTTCTGGGGTCTCCTCCTGGCCAAGGGCGCCCAAAGTAGCCAGAGGAGCAGCAGTCACAGCGGGGACCTGGAGTGGATTGGGGTACATGTACGTTGTCTGGTGGTCTCAGGTGTCTTTCTGTATGCTTTGGGCTTGTGGTTTCTACATACTCAGGCAGAAAGTCTGAGATCTAGCCAGGGGGACAGAGAAAACAATAACTACATTATGGCCCATATAAGAGGCTTACAAGGTTCATGCCTATAATTCCTCACATTTGACCTTCCTCCCCAGCACAGGAGCTGCTGGAAGAGCTTACAACTCAATATACAGGGGATACTGGCAAAGACTTGCCTCGTGGATCGGATGGGATTGTGAACAAACGAGAAGGAACATGGGGTTACCACGGCTGACCATGCCTCACCTGCATAACCAGGTGCACAGAGGCACAGGACACGTCCACTCATGCTGTCCACATGGCAGGAACTCCCATGATAGAGGCTAGAATCAGGGTGCCCTGGACAGACGCAGGGCAGCACTGCTGGTCTGAGTCCAGGGTAGGGTCTCCGTGGTAACCATCCAAACACCTGGGGGCAGTAGTCCATGGAATAGGGCCTGTTCCACTCAAATCCTGCCCAACCCTTCCAGGGACAGTGCTCACCTCTCACAGTGCCTACCCATGGTGGCTCCATGGCAGCCCTGGAAAATGCCTATAAGTGGGTGGCACAACTCAGCATGCCCATTGCAGATACAGGGTTGGCAATGAGGGAAGCCCCACCAGCCAGGGAGGCAGAGGTCACAGCAGCGACCAGTAAGGCCTGCTCTGCATGTGCACTGTCCACTCATGGGGTTACAGATGGCACTGGTGGCACCCTCAGTATGGCAGTGGCACTCTATGGGGGGTGCCAAGCCATGAAGAGAAAGGATATAGCTGGTCTCACACCCCAAACCCATCCATAACCACTGTTCCTGAAGGCTCACCACTGCAGCTGGTGGGCCTGAAGCCATATGTTCCAGGAATGCAGTGGTCACAGGTACGACCAATGATGTTAGGACGGCAGGGGCACTGCCCACCCAGAAGGGCACACTCAGTGCTCAGTGAGCCCTGGGGGTGGTACTCACATGCTGGCAAAAAAAAAAAAAAAGCAAGACCAGATAAATCTCAAGGTGCTTCCTGAGGCCCCCTTAAGCCAGGAGCACAAACTCACCAAGGCTGCTCCCATAGAGCAGGGCCAAGATGCTGCAAATGAGGTGGGCACAGGTCTCAGGCATAGTGCTGGAAAAGCCTGTCCTTGCTGCCTCCATGCAGCCCGCCTTGTGAAGCTCCTGCAAGCGCCCCGTGGCCCCAGGGTCCATGGATCTCAGTCCAGGTAACTCCTTCAGCTGGGGCAGGAGCACAATCTAGCAGAGGGTAGAGGGTGGCAGGCAGGGGACAGTGAAGCCAGTCCCACTCATAACACCTGCCACCCCTCCTTGCACTGACACCCACAACCCCTCTCTGCCCTCTTCCTGTTTCCCTTTTGAGTCTATTTCTCCTTCCTCTCCAGTTGCCCCAATCTACTATAATCAATGCACCTCTCACTTTGAATCACTGCAGTCTCCCCCTAACAATCCATTTTCCCCATGTGTCTCCCCTGCTCAAATCCCTTTCATGGCTCCCTACTGCTCCATGATAAAGGTTAAGTCCTTCGGGCCCACAATGTGAGGTTGAGCACCTGCTTAGTCACATCTTCTATCTTGGCATGTGCTCTTCCTGCCTGGATGTCCCACCCCACACACCACCTGTCTCAACCCTGTGGGTGCAACTCTAGGGCTCTGGAATCCCCAATTTCCTGACCCCATAGCATCCATATTGTCCTGCTGTCATTTATATCTCCTCAGATGTAGGGTAGAACCCCATTATCTCACTGAATCCAGAAGGATAGTGCCCCTCTCAGGCTTCCACACTCCCTTGGTCTGCCATAGCCGCAGGGTTAGGGTATAGGGTGTTCCTGGTTCAAAACACAAAGGTTTGGATAGAACCACAGCCCTGCAGGGAGAGGCAAAGCAGTAGGGGTGGGTTAAGGAGGTGATGATCATGTAGTCACAGGCGTGTCCCATTTGTGTTGTGTAGTTATTGGTTCCAACATTTCATCATACAAGCAAGGGAAAAAGACCAACTTCTTAAATCCTATTGTTTCAAATAAGTCCCTGTTTTGATTGTTTTATGACAGGATGATTTTCCATATTGGGAATTTTCCACCTTGTCTGGGTGTTGTTTTGAATGTCTTGGCAGCACAATAGGATCTTGGTATTGGTGGTGACAGATGAGGAGGTAACAGGGTTCTGCCTACCTATGTGCATGGGTCAAGGTCACCTGGAACAACTGCTCTGAAGGCAAGAGATGGGCACAGTGGGAACTGCTAGGCAGGGATTGGGCCTGGACACTGATTAACGCCTGCCAGTCTTCAGGTGCCTAGGGTCAGGGGTTAGCAGTCACAGAATCATTGCTACCCACCACCCACCACCACCCATCTACTTGTTTTGCACCCATGGCACTGACCTGGGTCTCATAACGCAGGACAATGTCATAAGCCAGGGTACGAGGGACCATGGGTGTCATCAGAGAGAGGCCAGCCCCATCAACCACGCGAGCAAAGCCCAAGCCAGTCCATGATGCAGAGCCAGCTCTCTGATGCAGGGTTAGGGTTTCCTCTGGGGCCTGGATATGAGATACAGACCCCCCAGGACCTAAGACCCTCAGGACTTAGGTTTGCGTTCCCTCTAGATCCCCAAAACCCATATCCCCAAGGCTTGGGCCCCCATCCCTACTAATATCCTGGTGACCTGTGATCTGACCTTATTCCTCAGGTTCCTCACCTTGGGCTGCTGGTGGCTATAATGAACTCGCCTAGCTGGGTGGCGGGCACATTGAGGGTCACGCTGTCTCCAAAGTCGGGGCCAGAGCCAACTAGGGGAGTCAATGGGGCTTGTGTACAGTGGGGAGAATCAGGCCTAGGGGCTCCCTGGGGGCAAGTGGGGTGTCAGTTTCCTTTTAATATTCTGGTCCTATTCTCTCCAACAGGGTTCGGAGAATATGCCCTCTCTACAAGACATCAGACTTGACCATGCTGATACCCTCACTTGTACTTCCTAACCTTGTAAATCCTGCCCAGCCTTTCTTCAAATAGCTCTCTGGACACTCCCTCTTTCCCCTGAGCCTGATTTCCTCCTGTCCCTGCCCTTCCTGGACACTCACAGGAAGTTGGGGGTCAGCTGGCTGAAGACTCTGGCCAAGCTTGGCCTCAGCTGTAGCCTGGTCAAGGGCAGCACAAAAGTATCCAGATTGGAGTTCATGGCAGCGATGACCAAGGAGATGGGGGTGGCACAGGCAGAGGCCCTCCCCTGCAGAACATCTGAACAAGTGTGGGGAGGGGACAATCATTTCTCTGATTTTCACCTCTTGACCCTGACCCACAGGTCCTGTCCCGTACCTGTTGCTGTAGGCACCCCCAAAGTCACAGGGCCAGCAGCCTGGAGAGTCACTATTCAGACCCCAGAACTCAGGCTGCAAGAGAGAATAGGTGGGTAGAGAGAGGACAGGAAAATGTGGCCAGGGAGAGGAAGGTCAGGGGCTTGGAAGGTCATCTATACTGGCAAGGCCTGTTTTGAGAGTGAAGGGGGCGAATGCAGGACTTGAATGCTCCTCTGCCTGCAGCTGAGAGAGGGAAGAGACCTGATCACTCCTGCATGGCTTCGTGGAGGGGAGGTAAAAAGATGAGGACGCAGCCAAGGTTAAATAAAGGTTAAATAAATAAATTAGGCATAGGATTTGTAAAGTTGTCTCTTACACTGTCTCGTCCTTCAAACACACTTACTGTAAAACATTTAAATCCAGCATACAATACAATGCTCGTGACGTGATATTGGTTTAACAGCTCTTCCTTCTTTTGTTCCCAAGTTTCCGAAAGAATGTGTTGTTTCTGCCAGCCAAAGTGGTGCTGACCCTGGTGACCAGGCCAGGAAGTGGTACCAACCCATGTGCAAGACTCATTGTACAGTTACATTGATTATAGTCTTATACGTGTGAGCTTCTAGAAACTCAGTCCCTAAGAACACAGTCAAATCAGAATGCTAGTCAAGGCTCACCTGACAATGGCTGCAGACCCGTCCAGAAACAAAACGTTTGCAGTGACAGGTACCACTGGAGAGGTACCCACTCACAGGCATGAGTGCCAGGGACCTGGCCCCGGGTGTTGCACCTGCATGCTAAGGCACAGGGTTATTCGGTGCTAATGAGGCTGCTGCAGTGGGTAGGTGGATACAGGTGATATCAGGGTAGTGACTGAGGGAAGAACTGGGAGGGCAATATGTGGGGGCCCACTCTTAGTGTTACTCACACTGGCAGCCTTCTGACTGGCTGGGGTTTCAGGCCACAGTGACCAGGCTGGCAGGAGTCACAGCGCTGGCCCCAGACGTGGAATTTGCAGCGACACTGCCCAGAAACGTGGCCACGGGTCTTATTCATGTGGGTATCACACAAACCCCCTTCCAAGGTACCCACAGGGTCACAGTCACAGGCTGGGCCAGGGGTCAGAAATAAGGAGAGTTAGGTCAGAGTTCACCAGGGAGCTGAAGGATTAGAGTCAGTACTGGGATGGGGGTTGGAGGGCTCACGTCTGCAGGAGTGAAGGGAGCGAGGTTCCTCCCGAGGATCTCAGTAGAAGAAGGGTTGGCAGAGCTCACAGTGGCACCCAGCTGTGTTGTGCTGACATGCACCACACACGCCTCCACTCATATTGCCAGATGCCAGATACAAGGCCATGTCTAAGTGACAACTGCAGGCATGCCCTTGGCATTCACATTCTGAACAAGATAGATATGGAGTGGACTGACCCATGGCAAGTGTAGCTGGGCAGTGTAGGGCATGGCACCTACCCTGGCAGGTGTGGGGATGCCCAGGCTCTGCTGCATGCCGTGGGTGGTCCTGGTGCAGGTCCTGGCAGCACTCACAGTGGGTACCCGCAGTGTGGTGGCAACAGACACAAAGGCCATGCACCTGGGCAGGAAGGAGGGCAAGGCAAGTTTGCCTCAGCTCTTCAGCTTTCCTACCCCACCGGTCACAGGACGCCCCTCCTAGGGTCCTCACCATGCCTTCCACACTGTTTGGGGCCCCAGGTGCCAGCCTGCACTCAGAGGCATGGCCATGGCACAGGCAGCTGCCTTGAGCCACAAACTCATAGAGGGCATAGTAGTGGCAGGGATGTTATTTGAAATCCTCTAGGGGCCTATCACCCAGTGTGTGCAGTTTGAAGTCGGCACAGAGATTAGTCACGTGCAGGAGCTCTGCAAACAGATGGTGAGATGTCAGTGCATTGGTTGTCATCCCTTTATAACTTGGATGGGGGGTTGGTGGGAGGAATTAGAGGGGTATCTCTCTCCTCTGTGTACATCATTGCTGCCCTTCCTACAGCACCTATGCTGTGGTATTCCCCCACCCCTGCTACCCTGGGCAAACTATTAAGAATGACCACAGCCTAATAAATGATAATTTCACCTTTGTACCTCTCTAGCCCTGGTATCACTCCTGAGCTGAGGACCTGTACATCCCACTGCTTCCCGGACATTTTTTTTATATCTAGATATTTAACACCGGTTTCCTCAATGTAGTAAATAACTCCATTCCCCAGTTCATCATCCAAACTAGAAATCAGCGTACCACCCAGCCAATCCACATAAGATGTTATTTGTTTATCTATCAACTTTCTATCAGGTCCACTACAAGAAGACAAATGCCTTAACTGTTCCCCACTGAGCTCTCTTCAGATGCCTGGCACACAATGGTGCTCAGTGGGCACTAGTTAAATGTAAACATGGATGAAGGGATAGGATGAATGCTCCCTTTTCTACTCTATAGTTTGTCAGTTACCCACTTGAACTATCTTTTGTATCTCTCCTATGCCTTGCTTCCCCTTTCTCATGGTTAGAGAACCTAAAACAGCTGCTCAGGGAACTAGTGTGGAGGCTCAGGGTGAATCGTTGGTAATAACCACAGTCAAGATGGGCAGAGGACAAAGAGAAAAAATTATAATGGAGTTTGTCCTCACCTGGCCTGGCTCTAGGCTGTCTTGCTAAGTATGTGGCTGTATCATGCTTTAAGAACTTTTGTTTTACTAGGAAGAGGTCACAGCTAGACACCCTGGTGCCACCTAGAGGCAGTTTCAGGGATGAGGGACACGAACTAAGAACAGGATCTCAAATCAACAGGCAGGATACTGATAGGGAGAAGTGATGCAGGATGGTAATGGAGGCTCACAAAGGAGAGTTATGTGCAACTGTAATGGGAACTGGCATGGGAAGCAGAGATGGGGACAATGGGGTGCCACAACGGAGTGGAGTAATAGAACAGAGATGGAAACTGGTATTCGTGCCAGTCTCTAGGCACTGGCATGGGAAAGTGATGGAACAGGAACGGGGGAGGACATGTCCACAGCAGGGACCACAACAGAGAACCATGAGGCAGAGCTTTGGGGACTGAGCTGGCTTGCTTGCCACCCTATCCCATGGGTGCCCCAATCCAGGCAGGACTTCACCTCCCCTCAGCATCTGGCTGTTCTGACATGCAAAGTACAGAATTGGCTGTGGGGATGGTTACCCTGAATCTTGGGGTTGTATGGGTCCTCCACCAGAATGGCTGGGTCGAAAACTTTGAAAATTACCTGAGAGGAAAAAGCAAGCCTGAGCCACTGGCTTTACACCAGGACCCAGCCCCACCCCCTCTGGACCTGACCTGGCCCTCAGTGAAAGATTCAATATCTGAGAAATGCTGGTCACAAGATGAGGTCCCTGACTCTGTGGCCAGGGGTAGGAGGGTCCCCAGGGAAGATGCCTGAGCAGTTGTTGGTAAAATATCAGTATGTGCCAGGAGTGGCCGTGGTCCACTGAGCGTTCAAGCAGAGCTGCTGGGCGGAATGTCTGGGGACAAGTGGAGAAGGGATGTTTTTGGGTCACCAGGGGCACACATCACAGGTGGCCATCAGACAGGAAAGCAGGGCAAGCCTTCAGGCTGGAAAAACGGGGTCACCTTGAAAATCATGATGAGGTGAGTAAAGTAGAAGGCACCCTCCAGGTCCAGCTGGATGGTAACATTCTCAACACCTGGAACTACAAGGACTTGTCAGTGCCTGGCACCTGACCCCAGACCTACACACAGGTACACTGGCACCCTCACCACTCTCTGCTTGCCACCAGGTCTTGATGCTGTCATGACCACTCTGGGGGATCACATTCTCAATGCCATGATCTCCCTGGTCCCAAGAGTCACAGAAGAAGCAATCCTCAGAGTCCTGGAGGATAGTCCAAAGAGCTTGACTAGGCAAGAGGTCCATGGTTTCCACCCTCCCCCAGCCCAAAGTTTCACAGCATGGTTCTCTTCCTCCAGCTCCCAACAATGAACTCATACAGGGCTGAATCTCCTCAGGAAGTCAGTGACACCATCTCCAGAGCCCTCACCCTCCTGCCTACCTGAAGGTAAGTGACAACGCAGCGGGGTTCAGGGCCATGTAGGCCACAGGTTGATGGTTTGAAGGCTGTGCCTACGGCCAACAATCAGGTTGCCAGTGGGTGGGTAGCAGCTGCCACCCAAGCAGCCAGATGGGGGCAGTATGTCCAGCACCTCCTGGGCATTTGTTCTGGGAGCCTGGACTGGGAGGGACAGGGTCTGAATAGAAACGCTAGAGAACCTCCCCACCTTACCCCACCCTGGGAGGCTGAGATTTCTACTATCCCCATGGCTGGCTCTCGGTGAAAAACCAAACCCCTTATTCATCTGTGGCAGCGGCAGCAGCAGGAGGGGGCCTAGCCCTGCTGGGGGTCCTGGGTGATGGGAGCAGGAATCAGGCCTGAGAGAGGATGCAGAGTGGGCACCAAGCTGAGAGGCTCTTGAGGTGAGTGTGGCCCTCCAGCGTTTCCCCATACTCACATGGATGAAGAAAGCAGGGCTACCAGAAGCAAGGAGCATGAAGGGCTGTGTGATCAAGGTGCAGCTTGGTGTGAGGGCGTTCCCAGACTGGGGAACCAAGGGGATTTTAATGGCAGCCACCAATGTAGAAGAAATGTGGGGAGGGGGTAGTGAGAAGCAGGCAGAGTTTCTCTACAGGTCTACCCTCCAATGCAGCGGAGTTAGTGGGGCCAGGGTTCAGACCAACCCACAGTTCCAAGTCTCATTTAAATGAGGCCCCCAACCCTACCCGAGAGACTGTTCGTCTCCAGGAGCCTCTGGGGGAACATGTTCCCCTCCCTGCCAGTTCCAGCCATGTTCCGGGCTAGGGCCCAGAGCCCAGCCCTCCCCTCCAAAGCCAGAAGACCAGATAATGCCTGAAACACACAGGCCCATTGGGAGGGAAGATGAGGCTGGACTTGGGAATAAAGTAATAGGGACACAGGCAGAATGTACTGCTGATGAGCAAGGCAGTCAGAGAAACACTCCTGGCTCAGCTAAAGTGGTACCCCACCTATCTAAGGTAAAAATTTCATTGTCTGTGAGGGCAGATTCTGTGATCCTACAACCCAGAACCCACCTCTTAACACCAACTGGGTAAGCTGAAGCTAGTCACTCTCTCCTGGAAGAGCAGAGGTGAGACGAGGCAGAGGTACTTCAGTCAATTTGGGCCTGGTCCTACCCTGGACACGCCCAGGCACAACCCCAAGGTTTCAGGCAGAATAGGCTTGGAGACAAGGCCAGACAGTCTGCTAGCCCTTGGGGAGCAACACCACAAACTCTCCTATCCCTGACCTAAAAATCTGCTGGCAGCAAGGTTCCCCACAGAGCCACCTATTGTATTCCTGCATCTGGGCCTATCTGGATAACAAATCAGGGCAGCCCCAAGGGGAGTGGTCCCACCTCAGAGTGGCTCTGCCAGTCCTTGCACAACCACACACACACACACAAGACCCTGAAGGGTGGGCAGGGAGACTGGAAGGTGGAAAGGTATAAAACGTGATAGATGGAACAGTGGACATACAACTTGAAGAGTTAACAAGTCACAGTGCATCGCGCCAGGAGAACACCCTTCCCACCCACCCCACCCCACGTCCTCCAGTCTCTTAAAGGAGGCCAGTGGTTGCCAGGGACCTAAAGAGGCACCAGGAGTCCTTGGGGTTGTGGAGTCCTTGGGTAGTTCACACTGTGCCACTGGTCAGACAGCTGGGCTGAGTTTCCCCAAACACTACATGATGGAATCACGGTGCTGAGTATGGCAACAATGGCTGGAGCCGTATTACAGGGGACAAGTTCACATGGAGGATCCTTTGAGCCCACTGCCGTACCTCATCATCTGAGGACTGCCTGTCCACCTTGATAGCCCGGAATTTCAGTAACTTTGCTGTTCCAGGTCCTACCCTTGACTTAGGGGATTGAGGTCCTCGCCGTGTTCTCTTCTGAGGAGGAAGATCCTTTGCTTCCTCAGCCCTTTTCCTCTTCTGCCCTCCAGTCTCAGGGTGGCTTTTCTGGCCCCTCCTTGCAGTCCTGGCCTGAACAGACCCTTTTGGCCTGCCCCTGCCCCTGGGCTGGGCCCGAGACATCTTGGCCTTGGCACGTATTGCCTTAGCTTTGGCCTTGGCCCGTACTGCCTTCGCCTTGGCCTTGATCCGTGCTGCCTTGGCCTTGGCCCTGATCTGTGCTGCCTTGGCTTTGGCCTTGATCCGTGCTGCCTTGGCTTTTGCTCTGGCCTTGGCAGCTTTGGTCTGTGTTCGAGCCACCTTGGCTTGGGCATGGGCAGCTCTGGCCAGTGTTCGTGCTGTCTTGGTGCCCAGAGCAGAGCAAACTTTCATTCGCTGGCCACTGAGGGACCCAGAGGCTTTGCAGGTCTTGCTCTGGGGCCCATTGCCTTGTCGGGGTCCAGCCCTGGGGCCTCTATGAGACGGACACTTGGGGCCTTTGCTGGTAGCTTTTCTGGGAGCCTTGGGGTGAAGGATTCCTGGTCCCTTCCCTGCACCTTTCCGCAGCTTCAGAGGAGACTCTGCAAGTGAAAGCTGCAGTGCTTTGTGCTTGGCACCCAAGCAGGGCATGGGAGTCTTGAGTGGAACCAGGGCCTCAAGGACAACGGAGAGCCGCATGGCAGGGTAGACACCTGGATAGAGTCGGGCGGGGAAGCCCACTGCCGCACCCCGGGCACGGCTGGCACTTGATTGCTTCAGAGAGCTCAGCAGCAAGTTGGTGGTAGCATGCTTGGTGAGGGTTGGTGTGGATGCTTTGGCCAGTCTGCCAGACAGTGGCATGGGAAGCAATGTGGCCCGGCCAGCAGGCAGCCGCACTGCAGTCCGGGGAGCACTGGCTGGAGGTGAAGTGGTAGCTGGGGTAGGGGCACGAGCTTGCAGCTTCGTCTGACTTGGGGGGTTGGCTGTACATGAGCTATAGCCATAGACATCACCACTGCGTAGAATAGTAGGTTGGAAGCCATCATCCCGCAGGCCTTGCAGGAAGGCCACAAGCTGGGCCTCTGTGGCACTGAGATCCTGGCTCATGGGGTTAAAGACAAGCAGTGCCTCCTCCAAGGCCTTCTTCCCTGCTGTGGAGATCCGTGACCAGGAGTGCACAGCTTTCTCCTCCACATGCTGCACTACCACGCTCATGGCATTAGGCACTGCAGATCTGCCTGGGTATCCGCAAACCAGCGCTCAGCACCTCCAAGGCAAGAGGAAGAAAGTAAATAAAAATGGCACCAAGATATGGACCAACACAGGTAGACAGGTCAATCAGGGCCTGTACACTCCATGGGAACATCCACTGACACAGAAGGGCCTGACCAGAGCAAGCCATTTCCTGGAGCAAAACCCTGGACTCCTGAACTAGCACAGTGGTAGAGGAGTCACATGGGTCAGAGGCAGTTTCTTTAAGAGACATGCCCACAGGTTCAGCAGAGCCATCCAACCAGCTGTTGGATCCCTTGAAAGGCTTTGTCTTGGTGGGCCCAATTTAATTCAAGACTGTATTTTCTGAAGTCAGAAACCCAGTAAGACTCAACCCTGGGAACACAGGCAAATATCTCTCTCCTCAAGGATCCCTGAACAGTGTGCAAGACAGACATCACCAAAGTTCTTGAGAGTGGTACCCAATTCACTGAGTGCGCCAATGAATCAAAGAGAGATCACACCCAGTTGTGATGAGTAATGAAGAGATGAAAATGGAGCAAAAAGGGAAACAGCCTATGCAATGGCTCAGAAGTGAGAAAGAGTAAGGCATACTTTGTGTGACTGGACTCGAGGGTGAGGGTTGGGAGGTCAAACTGGAATAACAGGTGAAAGCAGAGCAACACCAGCCTTGAATGCTGGCCAAAGGGTCCAGACTTATATCCAAGTCCATCTCCATCTCTTCTTCCAGTTCTCACCCCAGGGGTGAATCTCCCAGTCTACCATCTACCAGATGTTCTGCGTTCAGAGTCCCCAAACAGGCTACTTGCAGCTCCAATTCCCAGCACTAGAATCATGGAGATGAAGCTCAAGGAGAGTCAGGCTCTCCTTCAACAGGAACTAAAAAGATGAGTAGCAGATACAAATGACATCTTTAGGGAATGAGGCAGCCAGACCAAGTCCAAGGTCTGACAGTGGGAGCCAAAGAATCTAAGTAGGATGGTTAATAAGTTGGACACTAGAAATTTGAGCTGTCCCAACCTGCGTTTGGACTGTCACGGACTGTGGTACAGCCCAAAGGGAGCTGTTAGGCAACACAAGTTGTCCCGGGCTTCACTGAAGCTGTGGCTGTCAATCATGGCTCATATCTAAAGCCCAACCCAACACTTAGGGCCCAAGAGCCTAGAACGGCAGCTCCCCAGCTACACCAGAGCATTAAAAGATCAACTGGGATCAGGAAGATCCCTGGGGCCAGGAGGTGCTTCTGTGCAGCTTCTTTCTACAGCACTAAGGGGCAAAGAAAGTTTTCAGAATCCCCTGGAGAAAGTGTTTGGAAACACTCTTGGATCCTCAGGTGTCTCAGGCACTTCCCCTCTCCAGAGGCTATTCCCCAACCACAATCCTTGCACATGACTTCAGGTGTTTTGTTTTTTTTTTTATTGTTATTATTTTTTTTTTCTAGGGGGTGTAGTTCCCACGGCTGTGAACGGTAGAACAGAGGGGCCTGTTTTCCCCCAAGCACAAATACTGGGGGTGAAATGGAGGCTCTTCCGCCCAAATCTGTCTGGGCCTTTAGGAGGGGTCTTCTGGGCTTTCCTAGAAGCTCCGGAAACAGGTTGCAGCCCGGCCCCCGACTTCCCTTCTTCTCTCGTGCCCCCCGGGGCTGGCAGGGGAAGTTGATGAAAGATAGGGACGAGAAAGGCCCCATCCAAGCCAACCCGGGGTGGAAGCAGATCAGGGCCTTCGGGCTGGGAATACGGAGCACCAGAACCCGAGCTGCAGCAGGAGCTGAGGTGCTGAAAGAAGCTAAAAGCCTGGGATAGGCGGTGCGAGCCCGACCCCGACACGCAGCCCCAGGGTGGAGTCGCTGGGCACCGGGTAGGGGTGGGGGAGGGGATGGGGTTGCGGCCAGGGCGGCGGAAGGCGCGAGTCCGGGAAGAGCCGGTCGCCCGGCCCATCCACCCTGCCGCTTCGTGGACGGCCCCTCCACGGCGCGGCTAGGCCCGCGGCCCCAACCTACCGGCGCCGCCGCGGGGACCCAGGACGCACCTCTGCGCCGCCTCCGCTGCTCCAACATGGCCGCCCGCTGCGCACCGGAAGTGTGCTATGCTTCCGCTTCCGGGATCTGGACCGTCCTAATGACCCTTGACCCCCGGAGACCCGTTCCCCACTATATCTGGGGGCGGGGCAGGTGGGTACCAAGGAGGGCTTCCTGGAGGTGGTGGTCACGTGGTTTGCCCTGAGCCCATCTGGACCTATATTGAAGTGAGAGGTGCAGAGGGGTTCTCTGATATAGCCCCAACAGAACTGCATAGGAGTCTGGTTAGGACTGAATTAGGGATATTACTGAAACCCTCACTGAGGTATCTCATCGTGTGGTGACATCTGAGAGGGACTTTTAAGGGACTCCTGGCAAGATCCAAGACATCCTCCTCTCTTTGCTACTCTGGCAACCACTGATAAGACCTGCATTTGTCCCAGATGCCTAATGTTCCCAGAGGACAAAAGAGTGGCTCTTAGCCTGGTTGTTGCATGGCGTTGTTTTGCATAAGGGATATCTCTTCTAGAGGCATCAGGCCCTGCTTTCTTCCCAAGAATGAGGCCCCTAGCATGTGATATGAGAGACTGTATATGCACACAAGTGCTACACATAAGCTAAAAGCTGGATATGGCCAATCTGAGAGCCCCAGTGTATCAGTGTGGGCCTAAATGTACTTGCCCAGGAAGGTGTACATGGGTGTAGTGGAAGTACCTGTCCTAGCTTCAGTCCCCACAAAGGAGAAAGTCCTGCCTCCAGTGTTAACTCTGTTTAGAATCCCTGTCCTTTTGCCTAGGAGATTGACACCTCAGTCTTTTCACCTTACCTGGGGGTGTACAAAGCTGTAGTGGTTACAGTGCCCACTGGTCAAACAGCACCAAATGAGAGGACACAGGTCAAATTTAACTCCAGGAGTCAGAGGGTCAGAATAACACCCATAGTTCTGACCAAAGACCCCAATTTGGTCAAGGATCCCCAAATCCAGGTCAGGGGGCATCACAGGAGAACTGGTTTCATGGATGAGGTGATCAGGGCATTTGCCCTTGAGTCAAATCCTCAACTAGGAGGTAGAAATACTGCCACTACTCTTGGGCCCTGACATGGGTAATGGTGCCAAATTAGGTAACTGGGGGCAAGTGGAAACCTCTGGGAAGTCACATGAAGGTGACTGCCTATACCTAATCAGAGGGGTCTAGGCACACCTAAAAAGAAACACCCATCTAATCTTAGGCTTCACCTGGTACTGCTGAGCTTCCCAGAGCCTTAGCACTGGTGGTTAGGACCTCAGTGCCTTCAAGTATAGCCACAGCATCCATCAGGAAACATAACCCTCCTCCTCCTCTGGGGCAGTGCTTCTAGCTCCTGGTTGCAGTAGAGAGTAAGGAAGGATAAAGTTCCAAGGGCTAAAGTTCCAGGGGTGGGCCTCCCTGGTGGTGCAGCGGTTGAGCGCTGGGTTGCGAAGCTGCCCACAGCCTCTGCAGCACCAGTTCGATCCCCGGCTGCTCCCTGGTCACCGGAGGAGGGGCCCACATGGCGCGCAGACCTCTCCTGCCGCCCACTGCTCCCCTCAGCAGTGTACTTCGGTCCTTCTGCCTGCTCTGTTCCCTGCTATGGCTCTGGTGAATTCCCTCACCCTCCCGTGCTTCTGACTGTACCCAGTGCTTGTAAAAATAAATAAATAAATCTTAAAAAGAAAAAAAAAAAAAGTTCTGGGGGTGTAATTAGGAAATCCCACCATAGCACTCTGTGTTCCCAGTCCCTAGTTGTACTGAGTTTTAGGTGTGAGTGGGAGTGATCACCCCAGGACAGAGTCTGTATGCCAGAAAGAAAACCCAGGGCTGGATTTTGAGTATCCACTTCCTAGGGCAGAAGAGGAAGCAGGGCCTATAAAAGACTTCAAGAGGCAAGACAAGCAGTAGGCGGAAGACAAGAACACAGGAGTTTGAAACTGAAAATGTCAGCAAGATTTCACTTGAGATAAAGACCACAGGGCCCCCCTAATTTTACCTGTATGATGTTCTATGATTACTTTGGCAAGAAAAATTTTTGGGGAGCAGTGGCAGCAGACATAAGGAGGCAGATATCAAGGTAGTAGAACCTGAGAGAGCAAATGGCTTCAAGAGTTTGACTGCAAGGGAGGGAGAGAGACAGGAGGAATTTGGAGTGCTAAAAGGTATCTAGAGGGGTGCTAGAAAGGAGATGGGAGGGGATTTGGAAAAGGAATAATGGGAAATATGAGGAGATCTGCAGGGTTTTGTGAGAACACCCTACGGGGGGTTGGTACCAGTGTCCCAAGTAAGGAGCAAGTGGAGTGGGAACAAACCTAGCCAGGAACTGTACTACCATTTCCACGCAGGCCTTCCACTTTAACTGCCAGCACTTGAAAGGGACTGAAGACTCTCTGGACATGCAAAAGGCTCTGCCCACACTCTGGGCAGCCCAGACATTAAGCCATCCAGGGAATTAATACCCCCAAGCAGCCCTCAACTTGTGGCTGATAAGAGATTTGAGAATGAGTACCTCAGCAACCCTTGCTCTGTGTGTAGAAAGGGGCATGGTGGTGATGGGGTAGATAATATGAAGTCAATTTGCTATACTGGCTTCGAAAGTCCCCTGCAGGATTTGGTCCCAGTTCAACTTGCTTGACACACACGTTCCTGACTGTTTCCCCTGTCTCTACCACTCCTCTGCTGGTGTTTCCTGGCCCAACCTCAGTTCCCACATTAACAATATGCACTTGATTCTTTGTCTCCAGGTGTGTTTCTGGGGTAAGTCAGAAAGCCATAGTACCTGAAAGAGGGACAAGGTAGTAGCAAGCACAGATAATCACAAGGACCTCTTTTCAAAGGTAACCACTAACCTGTATAAACGGACCCCTAGTCTATCACAGACTTAATCAATACTAGGCTAGGATCTGGGTCTGGGTTTGAGGTAGGTGGGCCTCTGTCATGCCAACTTGCTCTTTTTTATTATTATTATTATTTTGAAAGATTAATTTATTTATTTATACAAGAACCGGGGTGCAGGCCAGATGCGGGTGAGGGTGAGAGGATTCACCAGGGACAGAGCGGGGAACAGAACAGGCAGACTGACGAAATACACTGCTGAGGGGAGCAGCGGGCGAGGCAGGAGAGGTCTGCCATGCTATGTGGGACCCTCTCTGGCCAGCAGGGATGGAAACGACGCTGCAGAGGCTGCGCTGCACTCAACCACCTGCGCCACCAGGGGAGGTTCCAATTGTTCTTGACCCCCGATTTGGCTACAGACAAACCCAGGATCCTGACGATGGATAGTTACAGTTGCCTTGAACCCCAGAGCAACCCAGGCCTCAGACCCTACAGAATGAGGCCAGAATAACCTCCCTTGGAAGTCCTTAGGCCTCTGACTCAAAGCTCTTTCTCTGCTCGGAGCTACCTTCCCCCACAAAAAACCCTCCCACCCAGGCCTATCAAGTCCTAGGTAAGGGCCTATCAAGCCCGGAGGCTAGCACTGCCTGCTTCTGGACCTCTTGCTAGCCTCAGTGTGCACCTTAGGACCTATTCTCTGCCGTGCTCCGTGCCTGGGGAAGGAAGGGCCCCTATCCACCAGCCCTACCAGATGCGCAGGCCGCGCCCCAAATGGCCTCCAGGGGGCGCCGCCGCTAAGCCAGTCATTGGGTTCCTCCGCGCTCAGGGACGGTGGGCGGGCATCCACCCCTAGAGCCCGCAGGTTCTGCTGGGTCACTCCATTACCCAGGCGAGATTCCGCACTTAACGCCCCCACCCTCATCACATACGCGTTGTGCTGCTCACCGCTGCCTCATTTCTCCCCCCGCCCGAGGTCGGACCCAATCCCGGGCAGGCCCAGTTCTCACTTCTTTCTGTCCACCCTTTTGCAGGTGATGATGGGTCTGAGCTCCCTGCTCTGACCACGGCAGGTGCAGGGTTAAGGCTGGGGGCGGGGGTTGGGGGAGGTTTTACATAGCTGAAAGGGAGGGGAAGGGGGACGAGGGGCGGACCCCGTCCAGCCCCGCCCCGCGCCAAAGCCGAGCCGAAGCCCCGCCGGAGCCCGGCCTCAGTCCCAGCCAAAGCCGGTACCTGCGGAGCCAGAACGGTGGGCCCCGAGCCCTGGCGGCGCCGGATCCCCGCCCGGTGAGTCCCGCGGGAGCCGCGCTCAGGGGAAGTTTGGGGCGCGGGATACGGAACCCCAAGCGCACTCACCCGGACCCCGCCCCCCCCTCCCGCAAGCTGGAAGTTTGGGGCCAGGAGGCCTTTGCTCCAGGGGTCCTGGTAGTGTGGCCCTCTCAGGAAAGGTGAACTGGGGGATCTTGTGTAAGGAGGCTTAGAAATTCAAATGCCTAAGCCTCCTCGAAATGCCTTGGACTCTGGGACCCTATAGTCCTGTGCTCCTGGGATCCCCAAATCATCTCCCTTTCCTCCCTCTGCACACCACGGAGGCTACCCTCTGAGGGCCTGGCATGGGTAAACCCCTGAGGCGCCATCCCTTCCCCAAACGCCCTGATCTTAGCCTTGTGCTGGTGGGAATAGATGAACTCTATGGAATGGCCTCCAAAGGGGCTGTAAGGCTACCTCAGAACCTGATCCCTGGCAGCAGATGGGAGACCCTGATGGCTACCCAGAGCGTACTGGAAGCTGGTAAGGAGGAGGGTGGAATAGGACTCTCTTCTTGCAGAGCACCTAGTGAGGACTGTTAGAGGAAGGAGAGGGTGCTAGGGTGGAGAGTACTATCATTTACCGGATGCCTATACCCAGATTTGACTGAGTAGCTCCTAGGTGAGGGCAAGGAGTTGGAGGAGAATCCCTCATGCCCCGTAGGAAGGGGGAAAGTTGCCTAGGTATCTGGGAGTCTGCCCTCTTTCCTGCTCCTGGACAGCCTCCACAGTGGTGTGCTGGCCAACAGGGTGGGTCCTCCCCTGCCTTTCCCACCAGTGATTTTGGGCCATCCCTATCCTTAGTCAAAGGCTGCTCTTCAGTTCCCTGAGAGGCTGGTCAGTGGCCCTGACCCTTTGTCTTCCCTTTCTCCTCCAGGTGAAGGCAAGGTCCCTGGACTGGTCAGACCCTGGTAGAGTCAAGATGTGGCCCAGTCACACCCCTCATTGAGGCCTGCATACTGAGAAGATAGCATGACCTGCCACTGGAGGTGAACACCATGGCTGCAGGAGGTGGCCGGGCCTTTGCTTGGCAGGTGTTCCCACCCATGCCCACCTGTCGGGTATATGGCACAGTGGCATATCAGGATGGGCATCTGCTAGTGTTGGGAGGCTGTGGCCGGGCTGGACTGCCCCTGGACACTGCTGAGAAACTGGACATGGCCTCCCACACATGGCTGGCTCTGGCGCCCCTGCCCACTGCCCGGGCTGGTGCAGCTGCTGTGGTGCTGGGCAAGCAGGTGCTTGTAGTGGGTGGTGTGGATGAGGGCCAAAGCCCAGTAGCTGCTGTGGAGGCCTTCCTGGCTGACGAGGGCCGCTGGGAGCGTCGGGCCACCCTCCCTCAGGCAGCCATGGGGGTTGCAACTGTGGAGAGAGGTGAGTGGCCTCCCAAGGAAGGTCCCTCCAATGCCCCAACACCCTCCTGACTTTTACCCTTACTCTCAGATAATGGGCAAGATCTGTAATTTTTGCCTGGGTGCCCTGGATACGTCTTTGCCTCTTGTCTCTTCTTCTACCTACCCTGAGCTCGGTTTTCAGCAGCCTTAAGTGCCTTTTCTGACTGTGAGGTGGGAGGCAGAGCCTAGGCTGGCACCTCCCTGTCCCATTTCTCCTAAGAGACAAGGAGGGTGGCCCAATGACTCCCAGGGTTATAAATAGTCTGGGGGAAGGGGAGGTGAGCCAGAGCCTTGGCTCAGAGCCCAGCAAGTGCGTAGATTCCTCTACCCCCTTTTACTCCCCCCGCATACACACACCAGGAGCCTGATGGACAAAGGCCAAGCTGGCTTAGGGACAGTTGCCATGGAAGCCTCCAGCTGACTGGTCCATTTCCCCAGGACCCCCAGACATGCCCCCAACTAACCCTTGAGAGTGTAATCCACTTTAGTGAGAGGGTGAGGTGCAGAGGTACTGGAAGGACACTTGGGTAGAAAGCTTGAGATCAATATCCCCATCCTGCAGGTCCAAGCCCCTCTCCTACCCCCCTCACTCCCCTCCTCCCTTTCCTCCATCACCCCCCCCCCAAGTCCCCAGAGACCTCACTCCCTAATCAGAGCGCCATGCAGAGCAGATTCACTTATGCCCCCAACCCTGGGGGAACCATCTTTCACCGCCCCTCCCCTTAGAGAGCCCCCACCTGTGGCCTCCAGGTCTGACCACCGGTCTGCTTGGATGCCAGAGTTGGTTGCCATAGCGTCTCCAGGGAGACGGAGATGGGTTATAATTAGATCAGCTCCCTCCTGTTTTTCACTTGGAGGGGCCCTGGCCAGAGGGGGAATCCAAACACTCCCAGCCCCCACTCCAGGATGGCAGCAGGGTTTCTTCTGCTGGGGAAGAGTATCACAAACATGTGGGCTCCAGTCACCCCCAGACCTGAACAGGACAGCTGTTAGGGTGAGATGCCTTGACCAGGCTGGGGTACAGTATGGACTACTCTTTTCTATGCAGATGGTATGGTATATGCCCTGGGGGGAATGGGCCCTGATACGGCCCCCCAGGCCCAGGTACGGGTGTATGAACCCCGCCGAGACTGCTGGCTTTCACTACCTTCCATGCCCACACCCTGCTACGGGGCCTCCACCTTCCTGCATGGGAACAAGATCTATGTCCTGGGTAAGGTCTGGGGAATGTGGGGAAGGAGAGAGACTGCCTCTGCGTGTGTGTGTGTGTGTGTGCGTGCACGCATGTGCCTAGAAATTCGTATTTCTGTAGGTTGGCTGGGCTCAATCTTAGTTTGGTGGGACAAGAACAATTTTGTTGGGGTAAGCAGGGCTGTTCAGAGGCTCTGACTTCTGGTAGTCCTGCTGAGGCTGGGAAGCCAAACCCCAGTGCCTGAGGGTCTGTGGGGTGGGTGATCCATGCTCCCATGTAGATATAGCTAGGCTGGTTGTCTGGGGGCGGGGTGGGGGCAGCGTGTTGGGGGTGGAGGAGGGGGTGGCTTAGCAACCTGGTGAAGGAGGAACCCTCCTGAGTACCCCAATTCCATTGGCAGGGGGCCGCCAGGGCAAGCTCCCAGTGACTGCTTTTGAGGCCTTTGACCTGGAGGCCCGTACCTGGACCCGGCATCCAAGCCTACCCAGCCGCCGGGCCTTCGCTGGCTGCGCCATGGCCGAAGGCAGCGTCTTTAGCCTGGGTGGCCTGCAGCAGCCAGGGCCCCACAACTTCTATTCCCGCCCACATTTTGTCAACACTGTGGAGATGTTTGACCTGGAGCATGGTGAGCAGTGACTGGCTTGGCCTGTTTTCCTGCTCTTTGTGGGGTAGAGGGGGTCAGTGTATATGGGAGGGCTAGATCTATCTTTCCCTTTCCTGCAGGGTCCTGGACCAAACTGCCCCGCAGTCTGCGCATGAGGGATAAGAGGGCCGACTTTGTGGTTGGCTCCCTTGGGGGCCACATCGTGGCCATTGGGGGCCTTGGTGAGTCTCTGTGGGGCTAGGAATGGGAGGGGAGGGACCATTGGGGACCTTGGTGAGTCTCTGTGGGGCCAAGAATGGGAATGGAGGCTCAAGATATGAGGGAGTAGTTCCCAGTCTTAGTATTGCCTCCTGCCTTCTCTAAGCACTATAAAGGTGACAGGCTTTCCAGTCTGTGAACCTGGTGGGGTATGGTCTGTGTGGCCCAATTCTTGGGGTATCCCTCCTCAGCACCTGACTGAGGGCTCTGTGCCAGGAGCCTAGGAGAAGAAGCAGGGCAAATGAATGATATATGAATAGATATGTGAATAGGAATGAGTGAACATGAGTAAAGAATGAATAATAAATGGGGGCAATGAGTGGAAAGGCACTGATAACCCACCCTGGAGTGATACTTGTTGGATCATGTTCAGGGAGCAAAAGAGGGGAATCCCTGCAATCTGTGCTCTTTACAGCCTCTGTCTCCTTCCTACAGGAAACCAGCCGTGCCCTCTGGGCTCTGTGGAAGGCTTCAGCCTTGCACGGCGGCGCTGGGAGGCACTGCCTACCATGCCCACAGCCCGCTGCTCCTGTTCTAGTCTGCAAGCTGGGCCCCGGCTGTTTGTCATTGGGGGTGTGGCCCAGGGTCCCAGCCAAGCTGTGGAGGCACTGTGTCTTCGTGATGGGGTCTGAATGCCTAATGGAACCTGTCTACCAGAGGCAGATATATATGCTTTTGCTGCTGACGAAGCTCACTGGCTCTCTGGGATGAGGGAGGCACTGGGGTGGGCACTGGAAACACTGCCTTGGAGACTTGGGGGGCCTTTATCTTTAGTGCAAGACACATATATGCTTACACCCACTTACACCCATTCATTCATGGACCATGCCTAGCTCACCCTTGCTCTGGAACCTACTGAGCCCTCTGTCCAGCTGGGAAGTAGTAGGAGGGGAGAGCTGGCTTCCTGCCCCATAGGGTCAGTGCCTATCTGGAGATGACCAGGTCTACCCCAATGGTATTTCAGGTTAGTCCTGAAAAATCCCAGCTGTCAGCAGCCTACCTTGAAGGCCCCTGTGGACCCAGAAGAGTTCAGAGAGGGTAGAGGACACAAAGGCATGGATGCAGGAATATCAAGAAGGCCAGAGAAATGTTGACCTTGGGCCCTTTATATTACTGGCTGTGTGACCTTGGGCAAGTCATTTCACCTCTCTGTGCCTCAGCATCCTCATCTGTAAATGGGGATCTCTGAAACCTTCCTACCCTACCTACCTCACAGGGCTGTTGTGAGGACCCGGGGAGTTCCGATGTGGAAGTAAAAGTGCTGCTAACATCTGGTATGTGGTCCCTGGTGTGGACTCCTGTGTTGCCCCTGCAGCCTCTGGTCCTTTTTAGGGGCCTCCACAAGAGGATGCAAAAGGAGCCCCTTGGGTCTGGCCTCTGCCCCCAAAGTCTTCTAATGTCTTAGCCTCACCTAAACGTTGGCTTCTCTTTTAGTGACATAGGGTGAATAATGTCCTTTACTGTCCTGGGTGTTAGGGAGCACTCACAGGATAACCAGAGAAGAGCCCAGAAAGCTACAACAAAATGTCACAGGGTGAGGATAACCTCCAGGGTTATGTTCACCTCAAAGGCTATGTTCACCTCCACTGGAGAGTGGCCCAGAAGGAGAGTAACCAGGGCAGTCTCCCTTTGTCCCAATCATGAGGAAGTTGTCTTTTAGGCAGGGCTATGTGGCCACCTGCCAGATCCCTCAAGGCAGTGGCCTCCCTGAGAAGCAAGGCTGCCAGCCCTTGCTTCCCACTCCTGCCTTTGCTGACCAGTAGAAGGGCCCACTGGCTTACTTTTCTCTATAGCTGCACTGAGTGCAGGGAATCATAGTTGGGTTTGCTCAAAAACAGATTTTGGGGCTCTGTGGCCATTGTAGCCCCTTGTCCCCTTAGCCTCCTGCAGATCCTTACCCCTTCTTACTTAGTGGCAGAGCTTCCAGGGCCCAGCACACAAATACCATGGGAGCCATTTGCAGGGCCTGGCAATACCCACTGCTTTCCAGCCTCTGAGATCTCTCAGGCTGCAAGCACAGACAGGCCTCTGTGTCATCCATCCTAGTTTAATGCTTTGGACCAGTTAAGACATTCGGAGACCCCAGCATGAAGGTAGTGCTGCAGCAGCTTGGGTCTTGGGATCCCTGGGAGGTCAGGCAGCGTGTTGGTGACTGGAGCCTGGGATCCCACGTTGTCACTGCCACAGTGGCCACCTCGGGATGGCTGGCAGAAGTTCTGCTGGTAGGTGGTGCTGACATGGGGAGGCTGGAGCTGCATAAAGTGGACAAGGCGCTGGGGGAGCTCACTGAGTCCTGGGCCTGACCGGAAATTGTTCTGGTAGGAGGACTTAAAGGGCCGCTGCTGTTGCAACTCCAGCTCACAGGGTGCCCAGTGCAGAAAGGTATGCTGCTGCCACAGACGCTCCAGGTCTTTCCGCTTCCCGATTCCCTGCAGCAGGCAGTAGGGGCCCTTCTCAAAGGTATGGGCCTTTGGCCCACAGTCTTGGCACCAGGCACTTTCTTGGGTCCCTCCTAAGCCTAAGCCTGGCTTGTACCCTGTCCTCTCTGGCCTGTCTTCTCAGCCATGCTTTCCATTCTAAAGTGAAGCCCCCCCCCCCCCAGAAGTCAGAAGCTCCTGAGGTATTTGCACATTATCTGGCAAACTGGAGCAGGACACCAAAGCAGAGCTCCCTTTGGGAGAATGGGCTGTCCTAGAGGAGAGAGGTTGTCAGGAAGACAGACCTCTGTATAAGGAGTCCTCCCTCCTGGAATGTCTTACCACTTCATTGCTACCTTAACTTCCCTCTGGGCTTGGGGCTTACCCACTCTCCTCTCCAGCACTCACTTTGTCGAAGGAAGTACGGTTGTCATGCTTGGAGAAGAAGTGTTGCCGTGCTGGCTTCTTGAAAGACAGTGAGAAAGGAGGTGAATGAGGGAAAATGATGTTTACCTGCTATCAAGACAGTACCGCAGGATTCATACTAGAGGGGAGCTGCCAGGAGCTACTGCCCCTGAGCTGCCAACTACCAACACCTTGAAAGGGCAGATAAAAATGAAAGCAATGCCTCACTACTGGGACTTCTCATCCTGGCACTTGCCCCCAAAGCAGAGGCCTCTGGGGCTATTGATTGAGGAAAGAAGGGGCTAAAGCAGTTTCCAGGACACCCTGCCATAGGTTCAAGTTTTACAATGGACCCTTTAACCTGGCTCCTGGCCTTAAACAGCACCTAGAAAGTGACATTTCTGTCTCTAGCTCAATCTCTCTTGAACTCTGGAATCAATAGTCAACTACCTACTCCACATCTCCATGTAGATGTCTAACAGCCATCTCCAAAAATCATTCCCCAAACCTCCCCCTCTAACAGCCTCTCCCAGCTCAGGTCATGGCAGCTAGATCTTGCCAAACACCTTGATCCTTTTTCTTTCGTACCATACATCCTGTTGATACTTCCTTTTATATATACCTAGGATGGGAACACTCCTTAGCACGGACATTGCTTTCTTGTCTAAGCCACTTTCCTCTCTTGACTGAATTAAGCAAGCAATTGCCCCCCTGGTTCCTTGCTTCCAAACTTGCCCCTCTGATCTGTTGTCCGCACAGTAGCCAGAATGATTATTTTGATACATAAATCAGACCGTGTCCCTTGTATGCTGAAAATCCACAAACGGTTCCTCATGTTTGTAAGTCAAAGTCATAATAGTGGTCCATGAAACCCAAAAGATATTGAACCCTCTGTTGGCTCCAGCCTCTTCCACCTCGGATCTGTTCCTTCTGCCTGGACCCCTCTCCCAGATGGCCATGATTTCTAACCTGTCTCTTGGGAGGCCTTCCTTGAGTGTTACCTCAGCAGTATCTTCATTTTCACCCCCTAATACATGATTTTATAGCATGATATTGCTTATCATCTGGTGCCCCTGATTAGGACATACGATCCTTGTAGGCAAAGATTATCGTCTGCTTTCTCACAGCAATAACTCTAACACTGAGAAGAGTACCTGACACTGTGCTCAACATCTGTTTGCTGTTAAATCAGTGCACAGAGACAGAAGGTCCCCAGGGCATTTCCTTTGGGCCAGCTGGGACCAGAGGGCCATGCCCTATGCCCAGGCAGAGAAAGACCATCTCTCCACCTCAGCAGCAATCTCTCCTAAGACTGTTCACCTTTCCTTTGTGCCTAGTCTCTGCCCCCAGAGCCCCTCCTTTGCCAATCACTAGGCTTCTCCAGCTGCAGATCTAAACAAAGTGCCTACTCTTGTAGATCAGGCTTTGCTGGGTTGGGTTATGAGCCAAAGCTCATAGCAGTTTCCTACATAACAGGTAGGAGCCAGTTCCACCCTGGATCCCTGAACCATAATCTTCAGGGTAGAGTCTGTTATGTCTTTAACAAGCTCCTCTTTAGGAACAGATGCCTTAGTTGCAGGTAGCCTCCTATAGAATGAAAGCTCCATGAGGTGGGAAGCCAGCTGTCCTTATCTTTCATTCCCCACCATGTTAAGCTGACACAACAGGGATTTGAAAAACCCAGGGCCCTTTTAGAAAACAAAACAAAACAGTAGGACATCTTCAGAACCTACGGGCTAGGTAAAGAATCCTTAAGCTTGACCCCAAAAGCAAGAGCCGTAAAAGAAAAAGTTGATAAATTAGACCTCATCAAAATTTTAAAAAAGTTTTGCTCTGTGGGACTACATGTGGAGAGGATGAAAAGCCAAGCTAAGGAAGAGAAAATATTAATAAATTACATATCCAATAAATGATTAGTATCTAGAATGTATGAAGAATTCTCTCAACTCTCAATTCCAAAATAAAATAACAGAAAATGGGTAAATGACCTGAAGACACTTCACCAAAGAAGATAAACAGATGGTAACATCATTAAACATTAGGGAAATACAAATTAAATCAGAATGACTTAAAAAAAAACCCTGAATTTTGGTCAGTATGCAAAGAAACCTGGATTATTCATACATTGATGATAGGAATGTGAAATAGTATCACCATTCTAGAAAGCAGTTTTGCAGTTTCTTTTTTAAAAAAACTAGACATGCAGCTACCATATGACCTAGCAATTGTACCTCTAGGCATTCACCCAAATAAATGAAAACTGATATCACCCTCAAAAACCTGTAAATAAATGTTTATAAGCAACTTTATTTATTAAAGCCAAAAAGTGGAACCAGCCTGGGTATCTCTTAACAGGTGAGTAAACTGGTGTATATGTATTCATTACTCAGTAATGAAAAAGAACCAATCACTGATAATACAACTTGGAAGACTCTCTAGGAAATTATTCTGAGCGAGAATAGCTGATTTCTAAAGGTTGTCTTATGTATTATTCCATTTATAAATATTTCTGAAGTGACAAAATTTTAGAAACCTTGGAAAGATCAATGCTTGCCAGAGTTTAGGGGCAGAGGAAGGGGTAGGCATGCGGGAGGCTGGTGGTGTGGTCATAAAAGGGCAGCACTGGGATTCTTTTGATAATATCTTGACAGTGGTGATGAATACATAAACCTGCATGGGTGATAGCTATTACAGATCTTAATATATACACAGAGATGAATACAAGTAAACTGGGGAAATAAGGAGGAGATGGGTGGAGCCTCGATATGAATCTCCTGGTTGGGATATTATACTATAGCTTTGCAAAATGTTACCACTGGGCAAAGTGTGGAAGCAATTTGTATTATTTATAACTGCTTATGAAATTACTATTATCTCAGTAAAATTTTTAATTAAAAAAACAGTGGGGATCTGGGGCAAGTTCCAGTTGACTTTCACATTTCTCTCCCTTCTCTATTCTCAGCTAAAATGTGGATGTTTCCCTTGTTGGAGGCAGCTCTGACTTTGAAATCCACTATTGTTACAGTGGCAGGATAACTATTGACTCCCACTGATTCAAGTTTTGTTCTCACAACTGTGGGTGCCTGGTGAGAAGTGCAGTCATTTCCTCTCCACCCAGGCTGTTCTGAGAATTCTTGCCCCTGCGGATAATTTTATCTGCATCTTTGCTTCTAAGCCATCCAAGATTCCTTTTCCACCAGAATGGTGAAACCCATGGTCCCTTAGCAGGTGGGGCTTGGGTTGGGGTTCTAGCCTAAGAGGGGGCAGTATTTCCTGGCATGGGGCAGTGTTTGTGCATGGGACAGTCAGGGCCCCTGTGGAGGCAGGGCAGACTGCTGTCAGTGGGGTGCTGCAACAGATGGAGGCATGGTTATGTGGGGTTGTTGGAGCAGGGAAACAGCAATCCTGGCACCACCAAAGATCTACCTGCCCCCTCGGACTCTTATCTGTTCTCAAGAACAAACAGAACCAGGATTACGTTTGCCGAGGGTCAGATAGGTAAGGCTAGAATTAAATTCTCTGGTTTAAGAGAAAAAAAGGAAGAAAAAAAGAATTTTCTTGCATCTGAATGACACGGATAAAATTTCTACCTGCCCCAAAGAAAAGGAAAGTAAATGCTACATCTTGGAACATTTTCAACAATTACTCCACTCAGCTGAAACCTGGTCTCTCTCAGCTAATAATATGCATCTTCTCTGAGCAGTCGCACACATTAAAACATCTTTAGACCTAGAAAGAACCATGAGACTTGGCTTTTATACAACCTGAACTCAAGACACACAGATATGCTATTTGGGGCTGCTGCTAATGCCAGTAAATGCTTTATGTAGCAAGTCTTCACTTCGGTTAAAGCATGTCTCCTTCTCTGTTCCTGGGGTGAAGATTGAGAGAGAATATTCCAGTCTTTGGAACAAGAACTGCCACTGAGGGCTAATACAAACACCCAACAGTGAGTCCCCAGATTGCCTCTATCCCTGCACTACTCCAGCCCTGTCATTCTCAAAGGGGAGATGACCTCTAATGTGCAATGTGGAGTTGCGTTTGGCTCTGGCTCAGTAGGCAATGCCCGGCAGCCTACTGTTCCAAATGGGAATACTAAGGAAGGTCAGGTTCTATAACATGGCAGACTCCAGGTCCCTGCTCTTGGCCTCGGAAAGAAATTCCTAGAGAATATAGGTACAAATCAAATAGGAACTGGCTAGAGAAACTTCAGTGGACAGAGCATGTTCTAAGCTCCCTCCAAGTCTATCTCTACCTCCTCCACCCTGTTCCTACCTAGGACTGCACTGCTCACCAGGCTGCCTTTCCACTGGGAAGCCTGGGGAAGGGGTGGAAGGAAGGAGGAAGGAAGTGTTTTTTCTTTCGGCTTCCTCCCAGATCAGTCCTCACCTGGCCATGTCTTCCCACCTAAAATCACCACTCATCTCAGGCAGGCCCTGTCCACACCACTCTTTCATTCTGGGTTCTTGGAGTAAAGCCTTCCATCAGTCCCTTTGGACAGGCTGTACTAATCATTTGGTTGTGACCCACCTGTAAGACCATCTTTCCCTGCAGTTGCCTCACCTATTCCTTTGTATGCTTATTATGCACATCCTCCTAAGTTCTCTTGCTTTGAGCCTTCTTTTTACTTTTTGGACCCTGAGAAATGCACAATTCCTCCTTCTTCTCTCTAGGCCTCAAGGCAGTAGAAGGCCTGTGCTCCTCTGGCTCTCGTATTTTCTGGAAGCTTTTCCAGCCACCTCTGCAATTAATTACTAATTTCTAGCCCTCCTTGGCCAGACATGTGGGTGGGTACCCAATCACTTTCTATGCCTCTTCCCTGACCACTCACTCCTGAATCCTTGGACTATGAAGCTGGTTGAGGGTTAGATCATAGACTTTTTTTTTTTTTTTTTTTTTTAAGATTTATTTATTTATTTATATAAGCACTGGGTATAGTCAGAAGTGCAGGAGGGTGAGAGAATTCACCAGAGCCAGAGCGGGAAACAGAACAGGCAGACTGAGAGGAGCAGTGGGTGGCAGGAGAGGTCTGCACACCATGTGGGACCCTTGCCCGGCGGCCAGGGATCGATCCAGTGCTTCAGAGGCAGGCAGCTTCGCAACCCAGCGCTCAACCGCTGCGCCACCATGGAGGCCCTAGACCATAGACTTTTATGGCATCAAGACATCTGGGCTTGAAGGCAATTGTCTACAAAACTCAAGGCTTACTTTCTGTGTTCTAGAGGATTTCTTCCTATGACCTTTCACTCTCACCTGGGCTATGATCCTTCTCCATCTAACAGGAATGTTGAGCAAGATGGTTCAGCCTGGTATTGAATCTCTTTCAACTTGTCTGTAGGGGGATCCCCTGACATTCAGGAAGACAGGCCAGACCTCATGTGTGTCCTGGGGATAGGCTGGCTTCAGGTGTTCATCCAGCTGTGGAAGGCTGGGGATGATACTCTTAAGGCCTGGGCGAAGGAAAATGTTTACCCAGGGCCTCTCTGGTGGCTCAAGGGTTAAAGACACAGCACTATGACGCTATCCGTAGCCACTGCAGCACAAGTTCGATCCCTGACCAGGGAGGTGACTCACATTGTGCAGCAGACCTCTCTTGTCTTGCCCGCTGCTCCCGTCAGCAGTGTATTTCAGTAGATCCGCCTGTTCTGCTCCCCACTCTCTCTGGTGACTCCTCTCCCCCCACCCCCCTGTCACCCGCATACCTCTGGCTTACAGCCCAGTTCTTGTATGCATAAATAAATAAATCTTAAAAAAAGAAAAGTTTACCCAGCCACCCCAACTGTCCCCAAGGTGGCCTTGTACCTGACATCGCTGTAGGAATACTGCTGGAGGCTGAGGCTTGGCTGCAAGGCGGTATTCTTGAGCATGTTCACTCTTGAATTGGCCCCTGTAGTGCCCATAGAAGCCAGTGTTGTGCTATAACAAGGCAGATAGGAGGGTGAATTTCACCTAAACCCCCACTTTGAGTCTCAAACTCAGATGCCCCAGATCAAAAGCCTCTCCTGGGAGTTTCTGACACAATAGAAAGACTCTGAGGAGGTGGTACCTCCCTGGACAAGGGCCAGCAGAGAGGTGGCCACCATTCATCATTAAAACAGTTGACCTCAACAGTACTGGTTCACCTGGGAGGGCTGTGTGTGTGTGTGTGAGAAAGCAGCACCTTTCTTTCTTCCTTCTTTCTCTTTCTCTCTCTCTCTTTCTTTAATAAACTCCTAATATGGGCTGGGGAAGACATCAGAGGAAAGACAGAATAGTCCTGGGCCATATAAACATTCTTTCTGGTGGCAGAGTCAGAAAGAGCAAGTAGTGTCAGGAAGAAATAACTAGACCCAGAGTGGCAAGGAACAAGGGCAGTCTCCTCATGAAAATGGGAGTAGGATGGAAGCAGGAGGAGAGTCAGTCATGAGAGGAGCAGTAGAAGAGCATTCTATGCAGTGAGAACTCCACCAGCAAAGGTTCAAAGTCCAGAGAGAGACGTATTGAAAGAAATAGAGGCCTTATTACTAAAGGATTGTGAATAAGCTGGTGAAAAGTGAGATGAGGTCAGGGAGGGACAGGGCCTAAACTGTATTAGGAATATTGATATTCTTCTAAGACTCCGGGAAGATTTTTCAATAGGGGGACCAGTCAGGTTCTGAGTTGGGATGACTTAGAACACTGAGCAATTTTGAGCATAGGACAGCTGTCTGGTGGTATGGTTCTTTTTTTTTTTTTTTTTTAAAGATTTATTTATTTATTTATACAAGCACTGGGTATAGTCAGAAGCGCGGGAGGGTGAGAGAATTCACCAGAGCCAGAGTGGGGAGCAGAGCAGGCAGAAGGACCGAAGTACACTGCTGAGGGGAGCAGCGGGCGGCAGGAGAGGTCTGCGCGCCATGCGGGACCCTCCTCTGGTGGCCGGGGAGCAGCCGGGGATCGAACCAGTGCTGCAGAGGCTGTGGGCAGCTTCGCAACCCAGTGCTCAACCGCTGCACCACCAGGGAGGCCCGGTGGTATGATTCTTCCATGAGGAGTTTAGGAAGTTCCCTTAGTTGTCTTCCCCCAATGTTAATAGTAGGTCAGGGGTCCCTGAAGAGTAAGGATTGAACAGATCATCCTCTGCATCCACTGACAAAGTTGTGAACACCTATTTGCCACACTTTATTATTCTGGGTCAAGAAGATTCTGAAACTGGAGCATCTAAGCAAAGGATGAAATATTTCCAAAAGAAATTTCCCTTTGCCTTGTAGCATCTGACATAGCAAGATAGGTCACCAACAGCTTTGTTGGAGTCATCTGAGAAAATTTGGCCAGGGTTCTTCCACTTACCATGTCTGCTTCAAACAACAGTCTGATCAAGAGATACAATATGACCTCAATATGGTTCCATTAGTACATAAAGGGTTTAGGCTTCATTAAGTTAGACTACATGAACTTCCTTGAATTGGTCATTCAATATACCTACCTTGTGGCAGAAACAATGCTAGCTCTTTGTGTATAAAAATAAAAAAGAAATACTGCAGTTAAAAAAATGACCAACAGTGCATACTTTTTGGAGAGAATTTCAGAGCCAGGCACTGGCGGAAGACAGATATGATTACCTGTCAGGGATCTAAGGAGGCATTATTAGGTGGACACTCTTTGAATGACTGTGTCTGAGTAGCAGATACCTATGACTCAAGCTCTCTATCCTGAGTGCTCCCTGAAGATGACAGGTGTCTGGTCCACCATGCTCATGGCCCTGAGCAGAAAGAACCTACCCTGAACTAGCTTCTGGCCATCATGTTGGGCTTGTAAATATAACTGGGAAGCCTCTGAAGCCCCTTTTCATCCCACTGAGTGCTTAAGTCATCTTGCTTGTCCGTCCATTCTTCTACTATCTGTCAAACAGCTCTTGCTCTCTACTTAGTTTTAGTTAAGCAGTATTTAATGAGCCTTTCCTGTATTTCAGGGCACAAGTATGGGGTATACAGATGGAAGAAAACACACTTTGCCCTCAACATGTTCCCAGTATAGAGAACAGTCAAACTCCAGAAGTTTGGGGGTTATCAAGCAAATGACTAGTAATAAATAGGGTGACCAGAAGACTTGGAGGTTCAGTTAGTTAAGCATGATAACAGAATACATAGAATGAGGCATGGTGACAGGAAGACTAGATAGGTTCCAGGGGTGACTTCAGGAGGAGAAAGGGGAAGTGGAAATTTCAGCATCTTCCACTAGCCTGGATGAAGAATGAAACCCTTTTTACTTTACTCTCATGATTCATTTAAATTTCAGGTATTGGGGCCTCCCTGGCGGGGTAAGGGATTAAGCGTCAGCACTTTGAAGCTATCAGCAGCCACTGCAGCACTAGTTCAATGCCTGGCCAGGGAGCTGACCCACATGGCTCAGCAGACCTCTCCTGTCGTGTATTTCAGTCAATCTGCCTGTTCTGTTGCCCACTCTGTCTCTGGTGAATCCTCTCAACACCCCCACCCCCTGCCCCGGGCACTTCTGGCCTGTACCCCAGTTCTTGTATGCATAAATAAAAAATCTTTTTAAAAAATAATAAATTCCAGGTACTATCCTAGGGTCAGAGGTCAGGATGAACTGTAAAGTGTACTCTTACCCAGGAGCCTACTAAAGCGTCTTGCATCGTTCCAGGGAGGTAGTAGAAAAGGCAAATTTCCCTCTTGTCTTTTGAGGCTAAATGTGAGGAAAGAGAATGTGAGGAGGTCAATTTCTTGTTGCTTAGTGACAAAGGGAGGTGGTGACTGCACAATGCTACTGATTGTTGAGGCAGCATCCAGTCTGCTACCCCTCTGTGATTCCTGCTGTTTTGACTTTTCTATGAAGGAAATGTGCCCCTCAGCATTAACAGCCTCAGAGAGTCATATATAAAAAACATAAAGCTCCAAAGTGGAGTCTGATGAACTCAAGCAATGAAATATTAAAGAACATTTTAGAGGTGAATCTTGCATTTTTAAAACTGTGCAACCATATTGCTGGCGATATAAATTTCGAAAGCATTTCAAGGAGTCAGAAAAAAATGTTAAAGGGGTTAGTGGTTTTTAGGATAAAATTGCTGCTTCAGAATAATGCTCTGTCGATTTTTCTCAGAAATTTATGGTGATGGGGAACACTATGGCAGATGAATATTATGAAGACCTGAATGGAGGGTGAACACATAAGAGAGGAGCAAAAGAGGGAGCATACAAATATTTGACATCATGTTTCAAATCCAAGCTATCCCTGGGAAAATTCTTTCATTTGTAACAGGAGGATGTGAATTGTTTGCCCATTTTTCGAGCCAAAAGAAGATGGCAATCAGCCTCTAAAAATGTGCCAATGAAAATTCAACCACAGAAAACACTCAAATCCTGCTGATGTCATTGGCAAAAGCCCTACTAGTCAGAATATGAAGTACTATAGTTACCTTGGAGATCCCCTCTCACATGTTCTCACAGGTGCAAAAAGGTTCATTGTAGCATCTATATAGGGAGAAAACTAAGTGAAAAGGAGCAAACCAGGGGGTACCGGGTTGACCTGGTTGGTGGGACCACACCCACATGCTGAAAAACATAGGACAGTCACAAAAGCAGAGACATGGTGAGAAACAACAATAACAGGATTTATTTACATAGGGACAAACTGAGAAAAGGGAGAGCAGAGAAAGACAGAGGGAGCTTATAGGCTGGCACACGGCCAGATGCCATCTGTCCTATCCCAGATAGCTTCCGCTGAGTAGAGACGGAGGTCCAAGCTGAAGTTGCACGCAGCAAGCTGGCAGCTTCTCCATAGACACCCCTACTCACCAGCAGCTTAACTGCCAAAGCCCAGAGGTTTAACTGCCAAAAGCCTCAGCAGTTTTAACTGCCAAAACCCCCAGCTCCACTCCTATTTACCATCAATTCCTACTCAGAGGGTGGAGTCTTGAAAGCTCCACTTTCTACCTTTGAGTTAGCAATAAGCCCCATGCACTTGTTTGGAGGTTACTCCTCCCTGTTCCTCTTACAATTTCCCTGCCCTCAATTTTTGTTTCCATTTCTATGGTAATGAAAGCTGGGTGCTGGGGTGTAATATCAGAAGACAGTTTTCACTGGGGCTGCAGTGTATTAAAAGGAAAGAGCAGTCAGTCATGAAGCATTGTCCATGCATAGGCAGTGTGGCAAAGTCCTCCACTTCTAGACAGCAGCCAATCAGTTCAAACTAAAAAAGAAAAAAAAAAAATCTCAAAAATGGTTAAGAGGGCCTCCCCGGTGGCGCAGCGGTTGAGTGCTGGGTTGAGAAGCTGCCTGCAGCCTCTGCAGGGCCGGTTTGATCCCCAGCCGCTGGCGAGGGTCCCACATGGTGTGCAGACCTCTCCTGCCGCCCGCTGCTCCCCTCAGCAGTGTACTTCGTTGTTCTGCTCTCCACTCTCTGGCTCTGGTGAATTCTCTCACCCTCCCGCGTTTCTGACTGTACCCCAATGCTTGTATAAATAAATAAATAAATAAATAAATCTTTTAAAAAAATGGTTAAGAGACATGTTACTATTAAAATCATTTTTCTAACTTCACCCCAATTCTATCAAATTCTAAAGCAAAATGCATTTGTAAATTAAATCTAAGTCCAATCTATTTTATTTATTTTTGCATAAGCCCATAGAACAGAATAACCATGTAGACTTTCTATTGACTCTGTTGGAACTTTCCATAACAGATCTTAGATTGAGTTTTCAATATTCGGCCTGTCCAGGCCTTGGGAGTCATGTCATGGGATGGATTTATTTATCCATACCAGACTATTCCTGCAGTATTTGGGTATATTTCCCAAGGCTTTTCTCTCTCAGGTCTCCAGGCCTGCCAATGGAGGAAATTTTCCTACTCTCCTGGGGTCTCTGGAACCCCAGACAAGGTGGCGGGCTCTTTTGTTCTTGGCCTTGCTCAGTCTCAACTCCCAGAAGGTTTGAACTGTGGCATTTCAATAAAATCCTGGTTAATGTAACCATAGTTCCAATTCTCTGATGAGAAACAAATAAAATTCTTTGTTGAAATTTTGCAAAGATAGACACATTGCCATAAGCAATAAGAATAGTTATTACCATTTTTCCATATTATGATGGTATCAAAAGACAGAACTTTATTAAAATCTGGTATGGTGCATATATAACATATACAGTGATGGCTGACCCAAGGTAAGTTGCTCTGCATCATGCAGAAGGCCACGCCTGCAAACATGGAAGTCATGCCCTACTGGTGTTCATTTATTTGGAGAAGTATATGATGGACTGTATTTCTGATTCTAATAACTGGATTACACTTCCAGACTGGATTTCTGTCTCTCCTGCACACAGGTTTGAAAAACTTTCTGGGGTCTGGCTTCCCTAAGACTGGTGCTGAGATCAGTCTTCCTTAATCCAAAGCTTGGGCATTCAGGAGTACAAAACAAAGGTTCTGAGTCTGGACCTTTGAGGGTTTCATTTAGGGGTATTGCTATTAGTCCAAAGTTGGGAATCCACATTTGACAAAATCAGTCATTCCCCAAAGTCCACGTAATTGTCTTCAATTTCTGGGAAATTTAAGAGCTGAGATCACCTGTTTTCTATCTGTCATGAGGCTTTGTTTGCTTTTCTTAATCTCAAATCCCAAATATGCCACCTGTTGTCTGCATATCTGAGCCTTCTGGGGCAACTTGTAATCACATTCTGCCAAATGGTTTAAAACAAATATGGTAGTCTCCAGACAAGATTCATAGTCAGGGACCTCCCTGGTGGTCCAGGGTTAAAGTCTCAGCACTATCAAGCTATCACCAGCCACTGCAGCATAAATTCTATCCCCAGCCAGGGAGCTGACCAACATGGCACAGCAGACCTCTCCTGTCTTGCCCACTTCTCCCTTCAGCAGTGTATTTCAATAGATCTGCCTGTTCTGCTCCCTATTCTATCTCTGGTGAATCCTCTTACCCTGGCCTCATCTCTGGCCTGTACCACAGTTCTTATATGCATAAATAATAAATCTTAAAAAAAATTAAAAATAAATAAGTAAATAATGGCCAAATACCTGAACAGAAGCCATACCAAAGAAGACAATCTGTGGCAAATAAACATATGGGATGATGCTCAACTTTATCTGTCTTTAGGGAAATGCAAGTTGAAACAATGGAGAGTTGCAGGCCTCCCACAGGCTTTCCTGTGGCAAAAAGTGCTGTGGCCAACGTTTTCTACCTGTGCTACTATGCAGGGCACTTGGGCAAGTTTGGCCAGAGTTTCTGGACTTTGAGTTTCCACAGGACAGAAAGCTTAGCTACTCCTTGATATAGTAATTGGAGATGAACACATTTCTTCCATCACATCAAAACAGGTTCTCATATTGATATAAATCAATCAAAGGATCCTGAGGTATTCAAATATTTTACTATTAGGTACAGGAACTGAAATGTTTACTTTCTAGCCTTATTGGATTAGGTTTCAAGATTAAACTGATCTAAATTGTCTTTTGAAGATGTTTGTCTATTTAACAATAGAATAGGTAAGGGAAGGTGTGTCATTTACAATATTGGGATTTTTGTGAATGTGAAACAATTTTTTTATGCAAACTAAAAATAAGAAAATACATAAGCAGGCTTAATGGTTATCTTCGCTAGGGTCCAAGTGGGTTGGAGTGCCCCTACACCCATTAAATTCTTTTTTTTTTAAAGATTTATTTATCCATACAAGAACTGGGGTGTAAGCCAGAGGTTGGGAGGTCAGAGGATTCACCAGAGAGAGTGGGGAGTAGAACAGGCAGATCTACTGAAATACACTGCTGAGGGGAGCAGGAGAGGTCTGCCGTGCCATGTGGGTAGCTCCCGGCTGCAGTGGCTATGGGTAGCTTCACAGTGCTGAGACTTAACCCCTTGCTCCACCAGGGAGGCCCCTCTTTGGCCATTTTTAAATTGGGCTGTTCGTTTCTTATGTTTTAAGCATTCCTTGTATAATCTGACGTCTTTTATCAGCTATGTCTTTTGCATCTACACGCCAGTCAGGTTTTCATCCCACTATGCCACTAAAATTGCTCCTGTCAAGGTCACCAACAACTAATTCTCACTCATCTTCCCCATCTTATCTGCAGCATTTGACATAGCTGAACTCCTCTGCCTCCTTTTGAAGTATAGGCCAGCGAACTTCCACCACAATTTCCTGGAGTCTTTCCCTGTCCCTAACTGCACTCTGGTTCCTTTGCTTTTTCCTCCTCTGGGTGTCTAAACTGCGAGGGCTCAATACATCTGTTTTCCATCCATACTTCTTCATTGTTGATCTCATCCTGTCTCGTGGCGTTAAAAACTCATCTTTAACTATCAAAGGGAGCGTTAAAGAGCCCCCCCCCCACACACACACCCACTGCCCTGGTCCACCCTACCTTCGGACTGCTCCAGCATCTAGCAGGTCAGGAGCCCTGGGGGATTTCTTCCCCTACCCCCCCTTCCACCCCACAGTTCTTTGTGCCCTTCCCCCCACATCCCCCTCTCTCCTCATTGCTCCCCCTGCGCAGCTCTCACTCTAGCCCCCTGGCCACCAAGTCCATTCCACAAGCAGCAGGGTGTTTATCAGGTGACTCGAGACCCAGTCTGCACAGCCTGAGGGGGTGCAGAAGGGTTGTGGCTAGGAAAAGGGTGTGAGTGCTGAGGCGAGTGTGTGTCTTAGGGGATATATGAGGGCTCGGTGTGGCGTGTAGCTGTTTGTGGTCTGAGGGACGCAGCCAGCCTGGACCAGGCCCTCACACTTCCAAGCCTTAGGGGACCGTTAAAACCGTTAGTCACATGGGGCAGCGGGGCGGGGCCCAGAGGGCAGAGGGTAATCCTCATTGGTCAGAGGAGACCCGGGGGCGGGGCCGCGCATGCTTAGGTAGCTTGTCAGGACCCACCGCCCCCTCGGCCAAATCAGTGCAGCCCCAGGGCGCATGCCTTCTGTCACAGGTGGAGAAGGGGGGGAGGGGGGAGTGTCTGGATTCACAAACTGGGAGGGAAGTGGAACCCTCGCTGGGGCGGGTGGGCTGGCAGGCCAGCGGAGGGGGGGGGCGACAGGGGGGACAGGCTTGGGGGATGGGTTGGGGCCTTAAGGAGACCTTCGGAACCGTTTGACTGGGACTTGGAGTTTTGTGAGACTCTGAGTTCTTCGTTTGAGCCTCACCTTGGAGTACGCAGCCGCCCTTTCTTCCCTATGACTGAAGGCCGCTCTGGCGCTTCAGAGAGACGTCTGTGGCCATCCTTAGTTGTTTTTGTCAGACATTCAGGGGCCTCAGCCTCCCATTCAGTCCCAGCTGGGGACAGACAAGGCCCGGAAGCCCGGGTGAACAGGAAGCCCACTTTGATGATTTTTACGAAAAGTCCCTAAGAGGCCCTAGGAAGGACATTGGAGTGATGTAGTCTGGGAGCCCAGAGTGTGTCTCCTGGATGGAGAGGGTGAAAATGAACGAGGAGGCTGTATGAGTTTGAGGAGGGCCTGGTCAAAGCCAGAGAGGCCGCGAAGTCTGATGGACAGATCAGCTTTTTCTGTGCCTACTGGAGGAACAGGATGGGCGCTCAGAAGGCCTCCTACCATGAGGTTGAAGACAGGGTGGGGTGGAGGGGCTCTGCCCTTCAGGGCACCCTCTTCCGCTTGCCGATGCCTATGGCCAGGACCCTGTGGAAACAGCTGCGAGCCGGCTCACACTCAACCTAGGAATGGGAAATGAGGGGGGAGGGAACCCTGCCCTTGAAAGCTTTCAGTATGTGCACTTAAGTTCGCTTGCCTTAGAATGACCAGTGTCCTGTCTGAGAATGATTACCTCTTTATTGCTAGTGTCCCTGTGCCAAGAAGCCCTTGGATTTCTGCTCTCTGGGAACTTAAGCCTCTAAAGGTAGGAGAGAGGTAAACGCACAAGACAGATAAACCTAAGACAGAGCACCTCAAGTCCCATGTGGTTCTTAGACAATCAAAGGGTGTAATCATGGGATTTCTTCAACCGCGTTCAAGAAGCCTCTTAAGTTAGGTCTGAAACCCTGGAAGAAATCATTCTAATCCCCAGGTCGCAGAATATAGAAATTATTCTTAGCATAAACAAAAATGGTAGTTGATAGACGATATAGCATCTAGTTAATAGCCTAGTATTAATGTTCTTAGTGGTTTTGTAGTGATTTTTTTAAAAAGATTTAATTAATTAATTAATTTATACAAGAACTGGGGTACAGGTCAGAAGCACGGGAGGGTGAGAGGATTCACCAGAGACAGAGTGGGGAGCAGAACCGGCAGACGAACCAAAATACACTGCTGCGGGGAGCAGTGGGCGAGGCAGGAGATGTCTGCCCCGTCATGTGGGTTTCTCCCTGGCCGCTGGGGAATCAACCAGGCGCTGCAGAGGCTGCAGAAAGCTTCGCAGCGCGGTGCTCAACCGCTGCACCACCGGGGAGGCCCTCTTGTAGTGATTTGTATAAAATTGTATAGATTCTAAATATTGACTCTAGAAGGGGAAATTTATTTTTTTTAAAGATTTATTTATGCATGCAAGAGCTGTGGTGTAGGCCAGAGGTGGGGGTGGGATGGGGGTGTGGTAGTGAGAGCATTCACCAGAGACAGAATGGGAAACAGAACAGGCAGATTGACTGAAATACACTGCTGAGGGGAGCAACGGGGGAGACAGGAGAGGTCTGCTGCGCCATGCGGGTCACCTATAAACAGGGATAAACAATACTTGTCTCACAAAATCATTAACTTATATCCTGCAACATAGCTCATAGCACTGTGCTTGGCACATAGTAAACGTTGTGAAAATGGTAATGCCCTCATTAGCCTTTTATCCTGTGTTTTACTCTTAACGTGCTTATAAAACATATGTCTATAAACTCCCAAATGCATCTATTTTCTAGAAAATTAAAAAATGTCAATGTAACATGTCTCTTAACAAGGTTAAATTATATTAAAAAATACCAAAATATCTTTATTTGTTTAAAACTTCTGTTTCATTTTATCTAGGTCTATATTGGGACAGTAGTGTTTGATCAGTTATAGCTACATATGTGTGGGAGTCCTTTTCTGATGCCCTCAATGGTAATACATAATATTATAAACATGAATGTTTTGTGATATCAGGGAGAAAGACAAATTTTAGAAATTGGAATTGTTTCAAAGAATCCAAACTATAAACTATAATAAATTATAATAAACATAATAAACTGTAGCATGCAGTGTCTTGGCAATGAACAAAGTAGGCAACTACTTCTAAGAGGTATGGGAAGACACTTTTACCCAGGCCATTGTTCTTTATTCTTTACTGCCCAAATTCCACAGCGCTTGACATCCCATTGTCCTAGGGTCTGGGAAGAACTCATGTTCTTGAGGGTGGTTACAGTCATTGTATCAGACAATGAAAGATGAGATTTATCTGTCCTTTCCTAAAAGTAGAATATTAGTAGGGTGGTAAGGAAAAAAGGAAAAATGGACAGAGGATGGAAGGAAAAATTATTGTTTCATGGTGACTGGGCTTTCCCTGGTATTAAAAAGGGGGGGGAATTATATGCCGTTTAATAGCAAACTGTTTCTGGAACATAGGTAATAGGAATTATCACCAATTGGATGGGTATATAACTGCTGAAATGTCTTCATCTACTTATATGAGTTACCAATAAAGTAATCTTTGGGGAAAATGTTTTAAATTAATATCTCTTCTTTTTAATAGGGTTAACCATAAGAAATGAATTTTAATGTTTGGAATATCAAAGAGATGCTTAGTATTCCCTCAGGCTCTAGGTAAGTATTATGGTTATATTTTCTGATACTTAAAAGGATCTTATAGTAACATCGATTTAATAGGAAGAGGCTCCCATCCTACTTGGTTATAATAAGAATTACTCCATACAGTGTCTAGCTCTTTTCTCCCCTTCTCCTGTCACCACTATACTTTCCCATACTTGCCTTTTTCCTACTGCCTATTTCCTGATTATAAAGATAATGTCAGTTCAGCTGTGTGTGTTAATCAAGCAATGATTCTGTGTTCAGCATTGGGCCTATGGACTGTGAGGCCTGTGAGACTTAGATGTAATCCAACATATAGGAATTCTTACCTCAGTTGGAGCAATTGCTATTGAAACAGAAGGAAGCAAAATCAAGACAATGTTCAGGGATGTATTCAATTGTATATTACAATTCGTAGGTACTATGGAGTTCAGAGTCACTCTAGCTGTTGATAAGGCTCATTGAGATATTGCCCCTACCCCAAACATAATACTTCACTGAGGTACTTACATTGATGTACATCATCCATGCAGTAGGCCTACTATTGCTAATTTGGTGGGTGTGCCCTGTAAGTATATATTTAAGGGATTTCTAATTGCTTTTCTTTTCTTTCTTTCTTTTTTTTTTTCTTTAAAGGGCTTTTCTCTCTCTTTTTTTTTTTTTTAAGATTTATTTATAAAAGCACTGGGTACAGTCAGAGGCGCGGGAGGGTGAGAGAATTCACCAGAGCCAGAGCGGGGAGCAGAGCAGGCAGAAGGACCGAGGTACACTGCTGAGAGGAGCAGCGGGTGGCAGGAGAGGTCTGTGCGCCATGTGGGACCCTCCTCCGGTGGCCTGGGAGCATCTGGGGATCGAACCGGTACTGCAGAGGCCGTGGGCACCTTCGCAACCCAGCGCTCAACCGCTGTGCTACCGGGGAGGCCCTCTAATTGCTTTTCATATGCTTTTATCATTGGATAGTTTCTTTTCTCTTAGAAATGTTCCTAAGGACAGTTTTTAATTCAGCAAAAGCCTAGAACACTGTTCTGTTTAATTCTCAAAAAGAAAAAAAAGTGCTTGTAGTTGACATAGAGTAGGGAAAATCTATCTTTAATTCTAGATCATAGTTTTAAGAGGTAAATCCTCCATGATTTTTATAAGCTCAGTAATGAGCTGGGGTTTTTTTGAATGTAGATAATTTTTCTCTTTGACCTAAAAGGGGAGTCACAGAGAGCTACTTAGCTATTTTGAGCAATGATTATGCAACCCATTATTATATTGCAGCACAATATTATATGTGTGCAGTCCATTACATTAGCTAATCTTAGAAAATCGTTCTGTAATTTGAAATAATTCTTCTTCCCTGTGCTAAACTATTTGAGATATTTTGTTGGTCTCTTATTAGTATATGGAGGTTCCTGTAGCATATAATATGTACTTATAGACTACCTAATTTAAATTTAATATTTGGAAGAGAAATGACTTGTGTTTATGTATACTTTAATGAAAAGCATGTTTTCTCAGGTTACATAATAGTATCACAGATTGTTACTGATATGTATTTTAAATAAAAGCTTGTCTACCTACTTACGTGTTGTCTCTGTAGTAGGCATAGTATACTGGTTCAAGTGTGATTGTGTCATTATCACTAGTCCCATCATATGTGAGGTTTAAAGAGTGGTGCAGATATCCAGGGGAAACAAGTTAAAAGTCCACAGTTAGATGTATTGTTTTTTTGTTTTGTTTTGTTTTAAGATTTATTTATTTATGCATGCAAGAACTGGGGTACAGGCCAGAGGTGTGGTGGGGGAGAGGATTCACCAGAGACACAGTGGAGAACAGAACAGGCAAAATGACTGAAATACACTGCTGAGGGGAGCAGCAGGTGAGCCAGGAGAGGTCTGTTGTGCCCTGTGGGTAGCTGCCTGGTCAGCTGGGGATTGAACTCATGCTGCAGAGGCTGCTGATAGCTTCGTAGTGCTGTGCTTAACCTCTTGCACCACCAGGGAGGCCCCGTTTTGTTTTGTTTTAGATTTTTGTAAATTTATTACATTTCTTACTTTGCTAACTTGAGAAAAGGAAAAAGTGCTATAAAACTTTTGGGTAAGCAGTTGCCTTGTTTTTCCCAAGACAGGAAAATAATTTAACTCTAAACATAATATTAGTTTTGATTATAGGTATATTTCTAAACAGGAGCCTGGATTAATTCATGTTTTATATTTCTGAATACTTAGAATTCGTTCAGATGAAGTATAAGTTAGTATTTAGAACTTTCTTAAATACAACCCTCTTCTTTGAATATGTTATCAAGGATGAGGCCACCAAGCCTCCCTGGTTGTGCAGGGGTTAAAATCTCAGTGCTGGGCCTCCCCTGGTGGCTCAGCAGTTGAGCAGTGGGCTGCAAAGCTGCCCAAAGCCTCTGCAGCACCGGTTTGGTCCCCGGTTGCCAGCGAGAGTCCCATATGGCGAGCAGACCTCTCCTGCAGCGCCTGCTGCTCCCCTTAGCAGTGTATTTCGTCAGTCTGTCTGTTCTGCTCCCCGCCTGGCTCTGGTGAATTCTCTCACCCTCCCGTGCTTCTGACTGTACCCAGTGCTTGTATAAAAAAAAAAAAGTCTCAGTGCTATCAAGCTATTGCCAGCCACTGCAGCATGAGTTCCATCCCCGGCCAGGTAGCTAACCCACATGGTGCAGCAGACCCCTCCTGTTTTGCCAGCTGCTTCCCTCAGCAGTGTATTTCAGTAAATCTGTCTGTTCTGCTCCCCACTCTGTCTCTGGTGAATCCTCTCACCCTCCACACCTCCGGTCTACCCCTCAGTTCTTATATGCGTAAGTAAATAAAATGAATCTTAAAAAAAAAAATAGAAATTCGTTTTCTCACAATTCTGAAAGTTGGGCATCCTGGAACCATAAGCTAGCATGATTGGTTTCTGGTTGAACTCCCATCCTGGTTTGCAGGCAAGCAAGTGCCTCCAATCTGTGTCCTCTCATTTGGAGAAAGAAAGATCGAGTGAGCTCAGTACTGTTTCTTGTTATAAATACACTAATCTCATCATAAGGATTCCACCTTCATAACCTCATCTAACCCTAATTACCTCCCAAAGATCCCATCTCCAATGCCATCACATTAGGGATTAGGGTTTCAACATATGAATTTGGGAAGGACACAACGTTCCATAACAAGGTCTATCTTTTGTTTGCGGCTTTATGGCTCCTTCTCTCCCTCCAATACTGTCCCCTTGCTTTCCTACAGGCACATGCTTTATGAGAGTTTGTGTATGTCATTCTAATTCACCTTGTATACACTCAGTTATATACTTGTTTGGAGTGTCTAATGTAGTTTTTTTTTTTTTTTAAAGATTTATTTATACAAGCACTGGGCACAGTCAGAAGCGCGGGAAGGTGAGAGGCCTCACCAGAGTCAGAGCAGGGAACAGAACAGGCAGACTGACGAAATACACTGCTGAGGGGAGCAGCGGGTGGCAGGAGGGTCTGCGCGCCATGTGGGACCCTCGCCAGTGGCCGGGGATCGAACTGGCGCTGCAGAGGCCGCAGGCAGCTTGGCAGCCCAGCGCTCAACCACTGCGCCACCAGGGGAGGCCCGTGTCTAATGTAGTTTTAAAAATTTACATAAATGATAGAGTATAGAAACCATTTAAAACTATTTTTTTGTGCTCAAAATTATATTTTGAGACTTATCCATGTGGTCATAAATCTAGGTTATTGCTTCTAACTTCCTTCAGTTATATGCACATGCCATGTTTTTTTGATCTACTCACTTAGTGATAAACAGATTAAATTTGTTAAAGGATAATATTTTCTTAATCCCTACAAGTTTTATGAACTTTGATCTCCAAACTTGTGTCATATCCATGGTGCTGTCGTACAAGGAATAAAAGTGGTAATCATTAATACTTGAATTTCCATCTGGTTGTTCCCTAGCTGTTGTAATCAAAATGGTTGCCATTCAAAATTTCCTTGTGTTTCTATATAATAAGTTCTACCAGTGTGTAGGGAACTGGGGGATCATAACATGTTAGCACTTTGCCCAGAATATTCTTAAATGAATAATTGTAATTTATGATTTCATTTGTTAAAAATGTTTGTCAATTTGACATAATTTTCTTCCTTAATTTCAGCACTACTAAGTCATCTAACTGGAATAATAATCAGACTGATTACTCCAGCCTCAGTGATTCTCAGTTCCTCTTTGGATCCCAGTTCTGTCCAGAAAATTCAGAGACCCTCTCAGCACCACTGGATTTTGGTATCCACTTGAGACATCCGAAACTATCACAACAAAATTCTCTGGATGTGAGTCTGATTTCCAGAATTTCTCTGTACACATTTCTCTATAAACTATAAAGAAGATAAACTTTAAAGAAGACTTACTCTTTTGTGTTACATAATAGAATTGACTATCTGTAAGGGTTACTTTTGTAAATGGATTTGTGCTTGATTGGTGTTTCATTTGACTTGGTAGTCTGAAATGAAAAAAATTTTCTACTAAAACTTCTATTCTATTCTATTCTATTCTATTCTATTCTATTCTATTCTATTCTATTCTATTCTAAGTTGCACTTTCTTCTTTCTACTGGAAATGTAGAATAATGTCAGTACCCTGACCTCTCCTAGAGAAAGCTAAATATTGCTTGACTAGTCATACTGTTGTCTGTGAAAAAAAATTTTTTAAAGACTTATTTATTTATGCATGCAAGAACTGGGGTTCAGGTCAGAGGTGGTGGGAGCCAGGGTGGTGAGAGGATTCACCAGAGACAGAGTGAGGAACAGAATAGGCAGACTGACTGAAATACACTGCTGAGGGGAGCAGTAGGTGAGACAGGAGAGGTCTGCTGCTCCGTGTGGGTAGCTCCCTGGCTGGGGGATCGAAATTGTGCTGCAGAGGTTGCGGATAGCTTCATAGGTTGCATCTTAACCCCTTGTGCAACCAGGGAAGCCTTCTGTGAAAATTTCATGAGGATAAAAAGAACTTTAGTAAAGTAGTAATAAAATAACAAATTTTATTTCAGATCTATATTTTTTTCCTAAGAAATTTCAGGTGCTTCATGGATTTCAGTCTACTATGTCATGTTAGCTCCTTGAAAAAGGAAATGATGCTTCTGAGACCTAAATTAATGAATAAGGGCCAATAAAAAAAAAAGCTTCTTTAGTCCTTGAATTTTGAGACTAGCCTGTTTTTGCTTTTGAGTCAGAAATATTTCTATATACTTATTTATTTTTGCTCTAAAACTACACATTGACAAAAACAATGAATAAGCTTAGGTCAGTGCTTTACTTAATAGCATATGCTCAGAGAGAAATATTTTTGTACAAAAATTGGTACCCAGGGGCTCCCTGGTGGCACAGGAGTTAAAGTCTCAGCTCTATCAAGCTATCACCAGCCACTGTGGCGTGAGTTCAATCCCCAGGCAGGGAGCTAACCTACATGTGGCAGCAGCCCTCTCCTGTTTTGCTCGCTGCTCCCCTCAGCAGTATATTTCAGTAGATCTACCTGTTCTGCTCCCCACTCTATCTCTGGTGAATCCTCTCACCTCTGGCCTATACCCCAATTATTATATGCATAAATAAATAAAAATAAATCTTGAAAAAAAATCGGCATCCAGTAATATAAAGGAGTAAATGTATTCTCTGAATGTTTCAGAGCAAGTTTTATTTAAGAATTCAGGAAATGGCTTACTAAGTACCAACATGGCCAGTGTCGAGTTCATGTTAAATTTATCAACAGGTGTAGTGTACCAGAAGTTGAGCAACAGCAATTTAAGTTAAACTTATTAATATGACTGTGACACATCATTATAACAGAGAGTGTTAATAATTCTCTTACTGCCTTTATTTATTTATTTATTTATTTATTTATTTTAAATAGAGGCATGTTTTATTTATTTATTTGTTTGTTTGTTTGTTTTGTTTATACATGCACTGGGTACAGTCAGAAGCGCAGGAGGGTGAGAGAATTCACCAGAGCCAGAGCGGGGAGCAGAGCAGGCAGAAGGACCGAAGTACACTGCTGAGGGAAGCAGTGGGTGGCAGGAGAGGTCTGCGCGCCATGTGGGACCCTCCTCTGGTGGCCGGGGAGCAGCCGGGGGATCGAGCCGGCGCCGCAGAGGCCGCGGGCAGCTTCGCAACCCAGCGCTCAACCACTGCGCCACCGGGGAGGCCCCTCTTACTGCCTTTAAATTTATGCAATTGACTTTAAGCCATTTTATCTGACATTTTAACTATCTTTGTACTGGTCAAATAGAAACTATGCTTTATTTAATATAATTTTTCTGGTGTATATGAAATTAAAAGGAAATACAGGCCTCCCTGGTGGTGTAAGGGGTTGAGTTTCAGCACTATTATGTTTTTCCCAGCCAGGGAGCTACCCACATAGCACAGCAGACCTCTCCTGTCTAGCCCTCTGCTTCCCTCCGCAGTGTATTTCCATAGATCCGCCTGTTCTGCTCCCTGCTCTGTCTCTGGTGAACCTTCTCACCCCCTACACTTCTTGCCTACACCCCAGTTCTTCTATGCATAAATAAATAAATAAATCTTTAAAAAAAGGAAATTTTACGTGCTGTGTTGTTTTTCAGCTTTATGGTTTACACTTAAATATGTCTCTGCCTTGTACAGAAAGTAGTGATTTTTATAAACATTTCTATGTGTGAATTGCGATAAAGATTTTTCTTTAACAGAGTGAACCTAGTATTTTCACAAAGTACCAGACAAAACCACAGCTGTTTGGAGGAGATACGAAAGATGGAGGCTTATTTCCTCTTCCTTCATCAGTTGGAAAATCAAAAGGTCTCTTGGAACAGTTTGAGGAGAAAAAACAAAGGACAAAAGACAAATGTGACAGGTATGCAGACGTTTAAAGTGAATTATGTCTCATATTTTCTTAAGGAAAAGGAAAATGGAAAGTTTGATAGTCAACTAATTCAATTTTAACATGATTTTACTGTTGTCTTTACAACTCATTTATTAATTACTCTTTATTTGCTTTATTATTAACGTGACTCATGACAGATTTGAATATTACTGCCACAGTTTTGGCCCCTCTGGAAAAGAAAAAGATATTTGACTTCTTAGAGAAGTTCAATATTCAATTAATGTTATATTTATTCTGCCCTTTATTTTTTTAAAGATTTATGTATGTATTTATTTATTTATTTTTATTTATACAAGCACTGGGTACAGTCAGAAGCGTGGGAGGGTGGGAGAATTCACCAGAGCCAGAGCGGGGAGCAGAGCAGGCAGAAGGACCAAAGTACACTGCTGAGGGGAGCAGCGGGCGGCAGGAGAGGTCTGCGCGCCATGTGGGATCCTCCTCCGGTGGCCGTGGAGCAGCTGGGGATCGAACTAGCGCTGCAGGGGCTGCGGGCAGCTTCGCAACCCAGCGCTCAACCACTGCACCACCGGGGAGGCCCTATTCTGCCCTTTAATATGTTTTCTTCTCAGATAATCAGGGTAAGAATATTAGATAACATTTGCTTTAACATCAAGAATATAGCAAATATAGTCAAAAGATAATGTGCAAATACTGGGATTTTACCAGTGTTTCCTTGATAGACCTAGTATAGACTTTGAAGTTTTAACATGGGCATCTGAAGTCTACATGAAATAGATGTTTGTAATGTTTAGAATTTACATCAAAATTTAAGTTCCTTGGAAACCATCAAACTTAATAGATTTTCCATTTTATCAACTGGAATGCTATATCTAAGTTTGTTTTTCACTGCACATTCCTCATTTTTCATTCATTTAACTGACCGATTATTTAAATTTTTTTATTGCAAAGTAGTTTTTAATATTTGCTTTTTTTTTTTTTACTTTAATGCCTTTTTAAATGGGCATGTCTTTAAAGTATTTTTCTTCCTTGATTAAAAAGATGTGTGTATGTATGTGTGTGTGTGTGTATATACACTTATATATGTAAATTTTTTTTTAGTCATATTAACTTTACCAAGTGAAACCAAGCCATGCTGTTTTTAAGCTAATTTTGAAAACTGCAATGTTGAAAGTAGCATTTTGGGGTGGTAAACACACAAAGGACCAACTTGTGTTCTGGACTACTGAAAGGAAACCACCATCATGATTTGTTGACAGTTTTAGTGGTGTCTGAAGATATGAGGGAAAGGAATCGATGACTGAGAGTAAGTAAAAAAAGAAGGAAAGGGGGCCTCTCTGGTGGCATGAGGGGTTAAGACATAAGCTGTCCGCAGCTTCTGCAGCACGAGTTCGATCCCTGGCTGGCCAAAGAGAAACCCACATGGCGAGGCAGACCTCTCCTGTCTCGCCTGCTGCTCCACTCAGCAGTGTATTTCAGTCAGTCTGCCTGCTCTGCTCCCCAATCTGTCTCTGGTGAATCCTCTCATCCCCCACACCTCTGGCCTATACCCCAGCTCTTGTATGCATAAATAAATAAATATTAAAAAAAAAAAAGAAGAAGGAAAGGAGAGTAATTTTGTCTGAAGATTAAAATGTCTGGTTGTGCCAGAATGTGAAAGAATAGAGAAAAAGCTAAAATTGAGGGTATGTAGTCAGTTGTAGAAGGTTTGAGGGAAAGTGAATTTTATTTGCCTTGGTTTATAAAACCTGCAAATAATGGGTTTGAAGAGAAACAATGATATGTGTTGGAAATTTGACCGTATTGCATTATTTGTTTGATTTGTTCATATGATAGAAAAAACACTGATTAATCTTTTGGCCAGTGAAAATGAAAACAAACAAACAAACAAACAAAACCTGTCAAGAGATCAATCCAAATGATTTCTCTGTATAAATGAATTATATAATTAAAAAGAATCACACACAATAAAAAAAGAATATACCACATGAATTACCACGTCATAGTTCAAGATGATTTTCTCAACTTGAAAAGTTCATATTTTTAAAGATATATCCTAAATTTTTCATATTCTTATATGTGTCAGTTTTTTAAAAAGATTTATTTATTTATTTATTTTTAAAGATTTATTTATTTATACAAGAACCGGGATACAGGCCAGATGTGCAGGAGGGTGAGGGGATTCAACCAGAGACAGAGTGGGGAACAGAACAGGCAGACTGACTGAAATAGACTGCTGAGGGGAGCAGCAGGTGAGACAGGAGAGGTCTGTCGTGCCATGTGGATATCTCCCCAGCTGGCCGGGATTGAAACCGCACTGCAGAGGCTGTGGACAGCTTCACAGCACTGCGCTCAACTGCCTGCACCACCAGGGAGGCCCAATTTTTATTTATTTATGCATATAAGAGCTAGGGTCTAGGCCAGAGGTGCAGGGTGTGAGAGGATTCACCAGAGACAGGATGGGGAGCAGAACAGACAGATCTACTGAAATACACTACTGAGGGGAACAGCCAGTGAAACAGGAGAGATCTGCTGAGCCATATGGGTCAGCTCCCTGGCCAGGGATCAAACCCAGGCAGGGGCTGTGATAGTGCTGAGATTTAACCCCTGTGCCACCAAGGAGGCCCATACCTCACTCCCTTATTAGCTCATCTGAGAACCAATATTCCAACATTAAACTACATTATACGAATAAAACCATGTATATATAATTTTATATTAAACTGATTTATAGATAACTGATAGGTCTCCTACTATGTTAACTGTTATATTTTGTTGAGTTAACATTCTTTATAACATTATATAGGTTTCAGGTATATACCTTATAAATCACCATCTGTATATGCTGTATTAGGTTCAACAGCAAAGTTCTAGTTTTCATCCATCACCATACAATTGACCCCTTTTACTAATTTTTCATCTACATTCCCCTTCCCTTCTAACCGCTATTTTGTTCTTATAGTAAAAAAAGTTTTTGTTTTGTTCATCTGTTTGGTTTCTCTACCACACATGAGTGAAAACATATGGTATGTCTTTCTCCATCTGACTTATTTCACTAAGCATAATACCCTCTAGTTCCATTTATGTTGTTGCAAATGGCAGGATTTCATTTTTTTAAAAAAATAGCTGAGTAACAGTCCATGTGTATATATACATTTTTTTTTACAGTCCCACAATTTATTTTTGTTTTATTTAGTTCATCTGTTTGTTTTCTCTGTACACTACAGGAGTAAAATCATATGGCATTTGTCTTTCTCTGTCTGATTTATTTCACTAAGGTCCATCCACGCTGTTGAAAATGGGCAGGATTTCATCTCTCTTTTTTAAAAAAAGATTGATTTATTTATACAAGAGCGGGGGTACAGGCCAGAAGTGCAGGAGGGTGAGCGCATTCACCAGAGACAGAGTGGGGAGCAGAACAGGCAGACTGACTGAAATACACTGCTGAGGCGAGCAGCAGGCGAGGCAGGAGAGGTCTGCTGCGCCATGTGGGTTGCTCTCTGCCTGGGGATCGAACTTGTCCTGCAGAGGCTGCGGATTGCTTCATAGTGTGGTGCTTAACCCCTTGCGCCACCAGGGAGACCCTGTGATAGTTTCTTTTTTCTTAGAAATTAATATTGTTCCCAGAATGGTCTCTATACTACTTTATTCTTACAGTCAAAATAATAATCATTAGACGGATATATCCGGGAGTATTGGACTATCAGAAAGAAGTCATTGTGTTCTGAAGTCATTGTTGCCATAAAAATGAAGGTGGATCTGCTCTGCTGTGCTAACCTCAAGTTAAAATTTAACCTCATTTAAGATACTATAGAGTGGATTTTAAAAACAAACAAAAAAAAAATTTGCTTTGGAAATGGACTTGAAAAGTCTATGTTCTTTTCCCCAGCAAAAGTTTTTCTGTTTTGATGCTACACTAGATGGAGGCCTTCCAAGTTCATGGAATCAATTCCAGTACATATTGTTTAAATGTTACACAACAATTTATTTTCTTTTTTCTCTCCTATTATAGTGATACTCTGTACAATTTCATTTCCCATGTCAGAGAGAGCATTAATAGAGTAAGTATATCTATATTTCAAGGAGTTTAGAATGTCTTATATTTTAAAAAGATGCATAATCATACTGCTTTTACTTCAGTTCTTATAGAATAGCAATGTTTTAACTACCCTTTTTAAAAACCATTAAGTGACAATTCCCAAGCTAGCAGAATAAAGCGACAGTTTGTGAATTTTTTCTTAATTTTGGTTTGCTTAGTTGCAGACATCTGTGGAAAAGTCTGAGGAATATCTCAGTTCAAGAAGTCAATCTATTTTGGATTCTTTGGAGACTGTGGCCAAGACAAGTGAGTGCTTCCTGTTTGAGGTTATCAGCAGAGGGCACTGGTGAGCAATAAACATGAACTTTCTGACCCTAGCTAGGTTACTACGGTGGATGAGGTTCCATACAGCAGTTCAGTTAAGAGAATGGGCACTTGGGGTTAGCCCTGAAAATTTATGGAGGACTATATTCTGGGTAGTAGGACCCTCCTCTGTGTGGGAATGCCCCTGGTCCCTAGATGCCTTTTGTGAACATTAATTCTCCTCCTAGTAACTCTAGTACTAACTAGTAATCTAGCTCTGCCAGATTTCTTGCCTCATTGCCTGAATTGAATCAGCAGTATTCCTGAATCCCAAATGAATTGCTGGCTATAATATCTATAAAGACACTGTTCCCTTAGGATTTAGAAATACTCCAGTTTTCTACTGTTCTTCTGGCTGCCTTGGTTTCAGTGAGAACAGTTTTATAATGAATCACAGCATATTTTTCAATTTCAGTTACAGTTTGTGGTTTGTAAAGTCCCCTGCTTGGCCAATGAATGATTTATGTTTAGATGAATTAGAAAGCCATGGTCCTGGCCCTTACTAGACAGAAGAGAGCCATAGCATAACAGATCTTCCTAGGAGGAAATCTCTCAGGAACCATCCACTTCTCAGTTAAATAACAAGATGATGACTGCATCTGTACTTGTTTGCATGTGTCTGTGTGTTTGTTATTCTTTATTTTAAACAAATTGAACATTTATTCAAATGCCATAGAGTAGATTGCTCATGATTTACAAAAATTAATCCTTTTGTGGGGCTTAGAAATTAATCCCCATCTGTCTATAAAGCAGCACTGTACTGTCTGCTGGCTTCCAAACTGAGTATCCCACACACAGGGCAACTGTGCATCTGTTTGGAAATAAGTCCTGGAAGCTTAGGACTATTACCCTCACAAGAAGTAACAAGACAAAGAGAAGGAGCAAATGAAGGATGTTTCCTTCATATAACATGATATAATAACTCATCTGTAAGTACTCAAGGAACTTTTTTTTGTTTTTGTTTTTGCATTCTACATTTTTAATTGGGTGAAGTTCAATAAGGAGGATAGCAACAAAGGCGTGACAGTTAAGGTCCAGAAAAGGAGATGGAAGTGCCCATATTTCCAACACAAAACCAAGGTAGAGACAGGGCTAGAATTAAGTTTAGCTTAGAAGGCACATATATCCTGATCCTTCACCCTGATGGTTTCTTAATTTTCAGCACCTAACATTTAGGAAAGGGAGCCACACTGATAGGGCAAATAGTAATAAATACTGCAGTATCATATTAAACAGAAATCTATTTCAAGTCACCAAGATGGTCTTCACTCTGCTGATTCTTGTCCCAAAGCCTTGTCCAGCACACAGGCCAGGAGCCCCCTCTCTGTCCTCTTTCTTGAGCTCTTCTTCCCTCTTGCTCAATTTGCTGGTTATGTGTTAAAGAAGACTTTGGGTACTCCTTCTAATTCTTCCCATGAAAATACTACTACCAGGCCTCCCTGGTGGCACAAGGGATTAACACACCACTGTGAAGCTATTAGCAACCTCTGCAGCATGAGTTCCATCCTCAGCCGGCCAGGGAGTTACCCACATGGCACAGCAGACCTCTCCTATCTTGCCCGCTGCTCCCCTCAGCAGTGTACCTCAGTCAGTCCTCTCACCCTCCCACACCTCTGGCCTATACCCCAGCTCTTGTATGCATAAAATAAGTAAAATACATCTTTTTTATTTTATTATTTTTATTTTTTATTTTTTAAAGATTTATTTATTTATGCATACAAGAACTGGGGTACAGGCCAGAGGTGTGGGGGGGAGAGGATTCACCAGAGACAGAGTGGGGAGCAGAACAGGCAGATTGACTGAAATACACTGCTGAGGGGAGCAGCGGGCGAGTCAGGAGAGGTCTGCTGCACCATGTGGGTAGCTCCCTGGCCGGGGATCAAACTCTTGCTTCAGTGGCTGCAGACAGCTTCATAGTTTGCATCTCAGGCTTGTGCCACCAGGGAGGCCCTAGTGAATGAATTTTGATGATGATCATGATGTAATGTATACAGGTGTCACATTCTAATGCTGTATACCTGACGCTTATATTATGTTTTAAGCCAATGTTACTACAATGAAAATTATTAAAAAGAAAAAAAAAAGGAATGAGGTCCACTTAGATGGACCACATTGGAGTAATCTATTCATTGTTAACAAAAGCAGTTCATGTGCACATAGTTCGTTTGTTCCAGGACACATCTGTGGAGGAGTTTGACCTGAAAATTGGGAAGGGTATCCCAGAATAAAAGGAGGGTTGAAGAATTGCCTCTTATGCCCTAGAGACTCCCGAGCCTTTCCTCCAGCTCTTATCAGTACAGCAAGGAGAGAAAAACTAAAGAATAAAAGGAAAATCACTGACCATCAGTGAAAAAGCATTCCTTTCCAAGTTGCATCAGAATTTGATCTCTACTGGGCTCTTCTCAAATTACTAAAATAGAAACGACAAAAAAAATCATCTCACAATAAAACCGATATTGTCTAGAATATGAAAGTGGATTTAAAGTGGTATTTTTATTTAAAAAAACAAATTAAATTAGCTTTCTTCTAGAGAACACACACACACATACACACGAGATTTATAATCTATAGATGGATGTGCACACATATTAATGCAAAATTCCAGAAACCTCATAATAATAAATCCAGGAAGTGAACCAAGATCTCCATGGGGGAAATTTGATCATTTTACATTGTATGCCTGTGTATATCCTGCTATGGCTTTGAGTTATTTTCATAAATAAACTTTTTAAAAGAGAAAAAAAAAAAGGCTAGACTTTGGAAGTAATGACCTTGATCCAAAAGGAGAAGAGCCTGAGCATGTTTTCCAGGGGACAAAGAAAGACTATGAGAATATCACCGATTCTTCCAGAACACAGAATCTAGAACACTTGTTTTGTCTTCCTCTTTCTCTGCTTTTGTGGTTGGTAATGTTCACTGTTGCTAAGAAGCATTGCTATTTAGGAACTCATCTAGGATAATTACATTTGCTTTCTACTACAAATATCCACATGGATATCTGGAAAAATATTTGACTAAGTTTAGGAAAAAGAACCCAGTACTTGAAACATAAGTAAACAATCTGCTAAACTGGTTGACACATGGAATTCAACTTGTGAGAAATCGAAGAAAATTTGCCTTCTAAAAAAATTATTTTATTTTGTTTTAATTTAAATGTGGTAAAATACATAGAACATAAATTTTACCATTATTGTTTTTTTTGCAAGATCACACTGGCTTGTCTTCTTAGTCATAATAAGTTCTCTCTTACCTCAGAACATTTGTACTTGCTGTTTCCTCTCCCCCTAGTCGTTGCAGGGCTAACTCCTTTTTATCATTCTGGTTTCCTCTTAGATATCTCTAACTCTGATGACCTTATCTAAAGTAGGTGCCCTCCCATCCTCTTATTTTTATTATAAAACCTGTCATAGCATTTGTCACAATTTTCATTTATTTGTGCACATGTTTGTCTTCTGGATTGGAAAATTCATGTAAGTAGAACATTTTGTTGGAGATTTTATCTGTATGCCTAGTACAGTGTCTGATAATAAATTTTCAGATAAAGCAGCAGCCCTTCTGCCCACCTGTGCCTATGCAGGTGCTTCATTCACTGACCTTATCCCTTTATACCGGGGCAGAGGCAGCTGTTCTCCCAAGGCTGCCTGCCTGTGACTATACAGGCCTCTTTTAGCAAAATTGTCTCTTTGGGGGCAGCTTTTGATGCCTGCTTATGTCTATGCAAGTGTCCTTTATTTTTCTCTCCCTTTTTTTTATACTAACTCTGCCCTTTTGGATATTAAAAAAACTGTTTTCATATAAAATTGTAAATCTATTAATATGTTCAAACATATCAGAAATTCTTTAATTTTCTTATTAGAGACTTCCTGCCTGTTGTTTAGTCTTCCAACTCCAGATGTTATATTATTCTTTAAGGCCTAGTCAGAACTTCTTTTCACCGTCATTCTGAGAATCCTTTTTTCCATGCTGTCTTGGATCTCTTTGTTCCTGAACTTTGACTTGTGTTGGTGGTACACATCTTCTAGTTACTTTTGTGATACATTTCATTATCTTCTAATTCTCGTTTGGTTGTTGGGATGTTTGATGCCATTCTACTTCTTAATTTTTTATGTGTGCCCCCTCTTTTATGGACATTTTCTGAGTCTCATCTTCCCCCTTGGTATTATGAGAATCAACTGAAAAAGTGCCACACGCTTTCTAGATAGTGATATGAATATAAAAATAATACTTGGTATATTATTCCTGATTACTTTCTAATTGTCTTGTGCATTTAAGATCTGCATGAATTTATAATAGTTTACTGTGCTTTCCCTTTTAAAATTCATGTTTATTCTCCAAAATAGAAAAAGCCAGAAAAAAAAATTTGAAATAGCTATTACAATTCTTTGTCCTCTTTCACAGGCTTTGAAACACAGGCTTTGAAACAAGTCTGAATAAGAAATAAAATGCTTCTCATAATTTCTAAACTCTATTGTAAAGTTTTAAAGTTTTTAATAAGATTGGGTAGAGATGCAAATTAATTATCTTGTAAATAGCTGAACAGTTTGTCCCAATGCCACGATTGAATAATCCATCTTTTCCCCACTGATTTCAAATACCCCTTCCTTTTCATTTCAGTCATTTCTGATCTCAGTTTTGGTCTCATATCCAATTTTTCCCCTCCAGTTTATCTTTCATTATGCAGGAAGTGTTCTTTTAAGGAGAAAATGTGACCTTGTCAACCTCTGCTTAACCATGTCTGTGAATAAAATCTTAGAATCAAGGCTATATTAATCTTGACCCACATACCCTTCTGACTATGTCCTCCAATCAAGCCTGCCTCTCCTTTCGTATGCTTTAGCCGTGCTGATCATAGGGTTCATTTTTGGAGAATATGGTCTTTCTTCTGTTGGTAGTTCTGTTGGTCATATTTCCCTCCCATGGGTTATTAATAATTAGGTAAATATCACTTCTTTAGGAAAGTTTTTTTTTTTTTTAAATTTTATTTATTTATTATTCATGCAAGCACTGAGTACAGTCAGAAGCACTGGAAGGTGAACGAATTCACCAGAGCCAGAGCGGGGAGCAGAGCAGGCAGAAGGACCGAAGTACACCGCTGAGGGGAGCAGCGGCGGCAGGAGAGGTCTGCGCACCATGTGGGACCCTCCTCCTGTGGCCGGGGAGCAGCCGGGGATCGAACCGGCGCTGCAGAGACCGCGGGCAGCTTCGCAACCCAGCGCTCAACCGCTGCGCCACCGGGGAGGCCCTCTTTAGGAAAGTTTTAACTCACCCCCAGGATTGGACTAAATTAAGTGGTCTCAAGCTTGATCTACTTTTCCTTTAGAGCTTCTATAACATATCTATAAACAGTTCTTTGTATAATTACTCATTAGCTACTTGATAAGTTTATAGTTTCAAGAAAATTTTATCTTGAGCACTCTTATCCAGTATGCCTTGCCTAATGCCTTGACTATAGTACGAGCCCATTAAGTATTTAATTAGTAATTAGATGAATAAAGGTATCACATGACTTGGAGTTTAGCAATGAAAATGACAATAATTAACTGTAATACAGTATATTATTAAGTGTGTGTTTGTAAGTAAAATCTCCCCAAGCAAAATAGGGTAGTCAATATCAGACTTGAGGGCCTCTCCGGTGGCGCAGCGGTTGAGCGCTGGGTTGCGAAGCTGCCCGCGGCCTCGGAGGCGCCGGTTCGATCCCCGGCTGCTCCCCGGCCACCGGAGGAGGGTCCCACATGGCACGCAGACCTCTCCTGCCGCCCGCTGCTCCCCTCAGCAGTGTACTTCGGTCCTTCTGCCTGCTCTGCTCCCCGCTCTGGCTCTGGTGAATTCTCTCACCCTCCCGCGCTCCTGACTGTACCCAGTGCATGTATAAACAAAAGAAAGAAAGAAAGAAAGAAATACATAAATAAAACATGCCCCTGTTTAAAAAAAAAAAAAAATCAGACTTGAGTAGTTAGCATTCAGTTTGCCAAGCTCATTAAAATCCAAATATAAATAAAGGATTAATAAGAGGAAGGTGATAAGTGATAGTAGATACACAAGTGACACAGCACAAAACAAACTCCCAAACCAGATAGGAGATGATATTTTCTAAGGAGGTGACTGCTGAGAACAGAAGGAGGAAAAGGAGTTATTTGGACTAAGGTGATGGTTGAGGGGATGGATAGGGTGACAAGATAAGCAAGAGTACTCCAAGTCCAGAGAACAGCATGTACAAGGGTCAATGATGAGAAAGATGTTGTTTTGGAAACAACCCAATGACACAGAGGAGGATGGCAGCTAAGAAGAAATGAGCCTGGGTCTTGTTAGTTACTTTAAAGATTTGGATTTCATCCAGTGGCCACTGGAATTCTTTTGAAAGTTTCAGTGAAGGTTTCAGAGGGGGTATGATCATCTCTGCATTCCAGAAAGATCACTCTGAAATAGTACAAAAAGCTTAAAAGAACTCAAACAGTACAAAGAGTGCTAAAGACAGTGCCAAAGAGTGCTAAGAACCAGTGCCTGGGGTAGAGGACAGGTCACTGTCAGTGGGTTCACACAATTGCACACACAGTTGCAAGACCACTCAGGCTCAGGGTCCAACAACAACAGGTTTATTTAACAAACAGGAGATTGGGCCAAGGAAAGTTTTTGAGGCCACAAATGGCTGGCTATCTCACCTCAGATAGTGTCCTTGGTGTCCAGAAGTCCCAAACAAAGGTCACTTGTGGAAGACGAAATGACACTCCAGCAGCCCACAAGAGCAGTGTGGACCAGGCAGAGATGGACTCAACAGCACCAGAAGGTGGTGCAGAAGACCTACAGGCTGTGGTCAGCTCTTTGAGATGCTGGGCCAAGCCTGAGGATGCTCCTTACAGGCACTGTCAGATGCAGGTATAGCGGTTGAGTCTCTGTGAAGTCTACAAAGGTCAATGAAGGTCTACGAAGGTCTAAGAAAGTCTGGTGAATCCCACAGGGGTCAACTGCTCCATATGTCTCTCTCTTCAAGGATCCTTTTTGAAAGTGGTACAAGGAATACTTCCTCTTCAAATGATGGCCACTGACTTCTTCAAAGGTGGTCCAATGAATCCTTCTCTCTTCAGAGGCTGGCTTCATACTCATTGAAGCTGGCTCTGCTTTATATCCCCCTCAGAGTCACCCACTCTACAAGCCTGACTGGATCACTTTCAATCCTAAGCATCTGATTAGATAATTTAACACCAACCAACTTGTTTTCCATTTTTCAATCCAAGAAATTAACTAATAAAGTGGACTTGAATCTAATTGGTCCATTTAGCTCACACCTGATTGTTTCTTTTTTTTTTTAGTATTTTATTTATTTTTTATTTGTATATATTTTACATTATTGTTCATTTTTAAACAATGTTTGCTCCCCACCCCCTTCAGGTGTAGTCCCAATAGAATTTCCTTCACCAGCTCACCTGTGCACCATCACCACAGTCTCCTGTGCTCCTCCCTCCCTTCCTTCACATCCCTCTCCCTCCTCTTTCCCTGCAGGATGTCTCTATAATTGTCTGTTTGTTTTTGTTTTGTTGTGTTGTGTTGTGTTTTGTATTATTATTTTTCCTTGATGCCTTATTTGGTTCCTCTGTATTCCTCCTATAGGAAACTGTCTGATATTTTTCTTTTTCATTCTGACTTATTTCATTGAGCATAATTCCTTCTAGCTCCATCCATGTTGCTGTGAATGGCATGAGTTTGTCTTTTTTGATTGCTGAATAGTATTTCATTGAGATTGGTTCATTTTTTTAATTCTACACTAGATAAAAAGGGGGGCAATATCCCAGCCTGTCCTGCATCCAGGAGCCATGGCCAGAACTGGCCTCACTGAGGAGGGGAGAGGAGGAAAGGGAAAGCCCACAGGCAGTGGGCTGATGCTATCATGCCTCAGCCCCAAAAATGCCATCTTGCCCCATGGCCTTTGGGGAGTATGGATCTGCTAACAACTCTGAAAACAGAGCTGGAAGGAAGGGCAATGGAGAATGTTGTTGCTGACATCTGGGCAACAGGTTTTAGGATCCCCAACAGGACTGAAGTTTGGTCTACCCTAGCCAGGGAGGGAGAGGAGAGACTGTAGAGGAACCACCCTATTTTGGCTTCCTCCCTTCGCCAAACCTAATCTGGGCAGACAGATCTGGCATCTAACAGAGCATGCTCAGGTGACCCATGCCAAATTCCAGATCCTTACTCTCCAATGCGGTGGCCTGGGAATGGTGGGGCATGCTGTAGTTTCATGAGGTGAGTTATCATTGTTCTGTTCTGTATTTAGTGCGAGAAACTGCACAGGCCCAGAGTGATCTAGTATTGGAAGCAATGCAGGACAAAGGCAAGGTGGAACAGGCACTCCTTGAGATGCAGAAGAGATCTGAAGCTGTAAGTGTATACCTTGACTTCTTTCCTTAATGACTTTGTCACTGAGAGACCCAGAGAGATACATTTAAAATTGCCAGTTTTCAGCCAAGAAAAGAGGCCAGCACAGACCCCTTGATAATGGACCAGAGTAGAGGCCAGCTTCTTCCCTCAAGGTTTATCTCCTCCCTCCAGTTTCTCTGGAATGATGTGCAGCCTTGGGCCCCTGCTCCAGGGCCTGTACTTCTCCTATAATGGTCCCAGCAAAGGAGAAGCCTTGGTTCTGATGCAACATCCTTTAGCTTGTTCTCATGTTTTATTGTGCCTTCAAAGTTGCACTTTCCATAACTCCCTTCTTTTTCATTGCCTTTCCCTAGAGACAAGCAGAGTTTATAGAAATGAAGTCCAACTTGAAGCACCTTGAAGTTTTAGTTGCCCAGCAGAGTAAGGACTTTCAGCAGCTGTGTGAACAGCTGGGCCAACTGAAGGTGCCCAATATTCTAGCAGAGCTAAAGAAATTGATCTCACTTCCTGGGGTACCCAGGCATGTAAAAGACAACACTTCCCAGACCTCACCACCTTTGGCCCAGAGCTTCAGTTTTACTAGGGAGGAAAAATATGCCTCTCATGAAACAGTTATGTGGCAGGGCCAAGGCCCCCCTGCTGCAAAGAATCTTACTGTGGGCTCTCTGTGGCCTGGGAAATATGGTGTCTGTGGTGAGGGAACTAAGAGTGATGCTCTCCAAGAAGAGGCTGCGCTGCTGGCAGCTGGAACCAGTACAAGAAACAGGCAAGTAGAGGACAAGGCTGTGCAGACAAACTGCAAGAATTGGGCTAGTAGTGAAACAAGCTCCCAGAGCCATGGCTCTGGCATCCTTGGTCACAAGGTTCCTGGTAATGGGGACCTGGTTTCCCAAGGAGCCTCAGAGCTTTTATCCCTAGATTTTTCAACCAGCATTCAGAACACTTGTCAAAAACATCACACCAAAGGCATGTTTTCATGTGACCCTTGTGAACAAATGTTGGTCACTGAACAGAAAGGCAGAACTGTAGAAAGAAGGGGGAGAAGCAAGAAGCAGCAGCCCAGGAAAGCCCATAGAGGTAGGCTCCTAGCCAGGAAACAGCAAACGCCAAGTAACACCTGTGCTGTCAATTCTAAATATCCTCAACTTCCAGTTTCTGGCCCTAAAAGGCCCCCTCAGAAGCAGCCACTGCACCTGTGGGATCCAAGGAGCCCCACAAAATCAGTGTCTCCTGCTCTGGGAGGAACAGTCTTGCCCAATAAGATAGCAACGGCAGCAGAAGGGAGCCTCTTGCTGTTCAACAGGTTCTCTTCCCAAAACAACAGTTCCCAAGAGGACCACCAGATTAGCTGGTTCAGTGACCTCAACCTTGGAAGTTCAGAGACTCCTCTATGCAAGGACCCGGGGAAGAATCTGCTCTATGACCTGGGCTTTGATAGTAGTGATGATGGTTTCTGACCGGCCCTCAGAGACTTCAGCTGATGCCTTATAGGTCTCAGCCAGAAAGATAAATTATAGAACACTTGGACTGGCCAACTGTAGAGAGTCCTGGAAAACTGCTTGGGGTCCTCAGGGTCAGAGGCCAAGGGGGTCACGACAGGGGTGGGGGTAGATTTGGCAGTTTATGTACCAGGTGCTAGCAGCCCCTGACAAGCATAAGGGAAAGTATATCCTTATTTATTAGAATGAATAGTGATGAGAACTAGGGCAGCCTCCTGGTTGTGGGGCATCAGGAGGGTGCGGTGTTTGGTGAAAGGAGGGCTGACTTCCATATGTTGAGTAGCAGAAGGGCTCTCATAAAACTGTTGCTGTGGCAGCATGACTCCCAAACACAATTTTTTGTCTTCAAAATATTCCCTATACCTAAACTTCCAGATCTCTTTTCTTATTTTCATCCACTTTGCCACCAGAGCTTTTGCATTTTTTTTGGTTATTGGACATATTACAGGACACACTAGGTCAGTCTTGTTGTGAGCAGAGACACAGAGCTGTCAGTGGAGTCCATGGAGGCAGTTAGGGCTGCCAGACAAATACCCAGAGCATCACAGTTCCCAGGCTACTGATTCCACTTTCCTTCCTGTCTGCTTTACCTTTGTCCTATCTTTCAACCACTCTCTTCAAGCAAATGAGACTTCGGTAGAATCTGCGCCATTTCTGGAGAGCAAGGGAATTATATCAGCCTTTGGCTTTCCATTTATATCTTGCTGAAGTTTTAAAATTTTTGCAATACAGATGTATTTCTTTAATAATAACAAATCAAAAATAAAGATGAAACTGTTAAAAGGCATGTGTTTTTTTCTTTTATTAAGGTTATAAAACTGATCTCCCATCAGTTTATTTAAGGAAATCAAATAGATAAGATGGGTGTCAGAAAGAAGTCCATTGTCTCGCTGAGCAGAGATCTGTGAGGCTCCTGCGTCGTCTTCTTCTTTTTTTTTTTTAAACATTTATTTATTTATTTATTTATACAAGCACTGGGTACAGTCAGAAGCGCGGGAGGGTGAGAGAATTCACCAGAGCCAGAGCGGGGAGCAGAACAGGCAGACTGACGAAATACACTGCTGAAGGGAGCAGTGGGCCGCAGGAGAGGTCTGCACGCCAGGTGGGACTCTCGTCCGGCAGTCGGGGATCGAACCGACGCTGCAGAGGCTGCGGGCAGCTTTGCAGCCTAACACTCGATGGCTGCGCTGCCACAGGGAAAGCCCTGAGGCTCCCACTTCTTGATCTGTGCAGGGTATTCATGTGAAGCTTCCTGTTTCAGGATTCTCCAAAGGCAGACAAGAATCGCAAGCAGTTGTCACTTCTGTCTTGCGGGTCTGACAGGGCTGGGAAGGTCTAAGCCTGAGGGCAACTTTTCTTTCTCCCCCACCAGAACACCCATGGCTTGTTACTTGCCTTGAGTTAGGGAATGGTTTGTATTTACCTCTGTAAGTTTATTCATCCTATTAATTTATGTCAAGCTGTTTTTTTGTAGGCAGCTCTCAATTCTTTAAGAGATGACAACAAATTTTGTTTTTCTACTGTTATGTGAGAACGTTAGGCCCCAGCAACAGTTTCATGTGAGGAAAAGAGAGTGCTGCAGCAACCCCCCCTCCCCACCCCAAAAAAACAGTTTTGTCCTCTGGGATCCTCGTAAGACGCCTTTGAATAAACCACACCCTACTCAGGCTGATTTTTCCTTTTTCCTGTATGAAAGTAAAACTCATGGCACAGACTTGCAGAATTTGCCCATTTTCAAGTTTCAATGGAGCCTCTGAATGGACCATTATAAAAAGCAGTGGTTTTGATTTCTTATTTTATATTCTTTATTTTCAGGAGTGTATATCCCACTAAAGTCTGGAGGAGCTGAATTTGCCAGCAGCACCTGGGGCAGGGGTAACAGGCCCCAGCTTCAGCTGTTCTCATTTCCAATCCAGGCCTCCTTTAGCCAGTACTTGGGAACCACAGGCCATGGCAGAGGCCTCTGTGGCTCAGAAAGTGCAGGCTTGGACTCCACCTCAGGCTGCCCTGGCCTCTTCCCTCCCCCTGGGCCTCACTGGAAGTCTCTTCACCCTGCTCTCTACCAGCCCCCACTGCCTTCCCTGCTGGTTTTCTGTGTGTGTACAAGGCAGGCATGGGAGGAAGGAGCCCAGCCACATAAAGGGATCCTTCCCGTCATGCCCAAACTGCCTGTTGAGCAGTTAGCATGAGACTTACAGAGCAGAAAGATTTGTATCTGGAAATCTTTTATTATTAAGTTGAAAAGTTTAATATTTAGTCATTTTAATTCGAGGTTAAAACCCTATTGAGAGAACTCCATCCGTGTTTGTGACCTTATTGAAGGCTCTGTCCACTTTTCAAAAGCAGGACCCTCTGTTCTTTGATTGAGCTGGGGTGAGTTACAAAATCCTGTATTTCTTCAGCAATATTTTGTTTAATGAACTCAAAGGTCAAAGTGATTCAATGATCCATGAGCTGGGTGTTCTTGTAGAAGGAGCAGTAAATTTATCTCCTAACAAAGCTGGGTTAATTAAAGTTACACTGTCTGTCTCTGGCAGTCATCAGGAAAGGATATTGTTTATTTCTAAGGCTTTTTTTTTTTTTAAATAACTACTGTATTCCTGCCAGATTTGGTGAGCGTGACACAGCCCAGACACATCCCTGAAGCATGCACCACTTTTGGCTCTTTGGATGCTGATGGAGATGCATGGAGATACAGGGGTAGAGGTGGTGGAAGGTCTGTGGGTCCACATCCCAGAGAGCCCCCTTAGAGGATCCCTTTGATAGGATGCCAGCTAATCTGAGGGTAACATGGAGCTAATAGCAGCAGCACCTAATTGTCTTGACAGTCAAGTACTGAATTTTTTCTTCCTCCAGTTTTTTATTTAAAGTAACTGAATATATTGTTTTCTTTTGTTTTTGTTTTTCAAGTAGCATATAAATGTCACCTACAGAGAGGCCTTTCCTGATCTTTTCTCCTCTGGAGCTTGCCCTACTCACTGCCCGTTCCCTTAATCCTGCTTTAATGTTCTCCTGCAGCTCCATCTGAAATGATGTAATAATGTGAATACCTTTTTTTACACCAGTGGAATATAAACTCCAAAAGCAAGATCAGCACTAACCTTATCCCTGCAGTATCCGCAGCATCCGGGATGAAGTCTGACAGTAGTAGACCCTTGAAAAATACTGAAGGCAGGGGTTGCTTGCTTATTATTTAAACAGCTCTTCACAGCCCTGAAGTCAGCATCTTCCCTGTTTAGTGTTTTGCCTTCGGGCTCCTGACAGGGGTCTCCTGCAAGATGTCAACTCTTCTCTCTCAGGCCAGCTCCCAGCAACTCCCTTCACCAAAATGCCCAGAAGACACAGCCTTTCTGTCCTCAAAAATGAGACAGTTGTTTTCTACAGGGTTGAACAGTTTTGAACATTTTTTCATTCTGGGCCTTAGGCCAAAACTCTTCATCAAATCATGCATTTTCCAGTTGGCCTAGGACAAGAAGTCCTTCCTCGCCAAAGCTGAGATCCATTGTCAAGTAGATTTCCTGAGCAAAACTTTGTTTCCTCTATAAATATTTAGCTAGAACCTAAAATATTAACATTCTCCCACATACTCCAGGGACAAAGCAAGTTGCCAGAACCTCAGATTGTCTGGGGATAACAGCCTTTTCAATAATTATCTACAAACAGGTGCTACAGTCTCCCTTGTTTACATGCCCCCCTCACTGCTCTTCTCTACTGAATTAAACATCCACCCCTCAGGGGAGGTACCACTCCTATACCAGGTAAGCTCCTGACCTGACCAGGAGGGTTACTGGCCTGAATTAGGTCTCTTTCACAAGTCCTTTCACGAATTTTTTTTTATGCATACGAGAACTGAGGGACAGGCCAGAGGTGTGTGGGGAGGCAGTGAGAGGTTTCACCAGAGACAGAGTGCGGAGCAGAACAGGCAGATTGAAATACACTGCTGAGGGGAGCAGCAGGCGAGACAGGAGAGGTCTGCTGTGCCATGTGGGTCACCTCCCTGGCCAGCCACTCCCTGGCAGTGGCTACAGATAGCTTCATAGTGCTGAGACTTAGCCCCTTGCGCCACCAGGGAGGTCCCTTTTCACCAGGTTTTTTTTTTTTTTTTTTTTTTGACCATTAACAGCTCATAACTCCATAGGTGACAAGATGGTGTTGCCCTACCAGCACATTTCTGGGCACAGAAGTGAGAGACACACTTGTAACCTTGTAACCTTCTCTGGGACTGGAAAAGGAGGGTCTGGAAGAATTTCAAGGTACCAGTGCCGGTGGCTCTCCTCATCCCCTAGTGAAGGGAGGAGGGCAGGGGTAGGGAACCCTGAGACCTACATATAAGTACCCAATTGCGCGGGCTGACGCACACAGAGAAGAGGCATACTAACTTGGCAATAGTTCAGATTCTAGAACTAGACCTACATGCCTGGGAGCCATGCCTGAAACTATAGGAATCACAGCCTGGACAGGGCCGAGGACAGTCACCATTTCCAGCCCATGGTTACCCTTGAATTGTCCTTTTGAAAGAACATGCTGCTCCTTGCTGCACCTTCACTCAGCCAGTCAATCATCTCTTTTTCTCAGCCTTCCTCACCAGTCCCCCAGCCTCTCCTAGGAGCCTCTGCAGACCAGCTCCTGCCTTATACAATTCCTGTCAGCCTGCACACTGAGCTAGTTTCTAGTGCCTTTGGCATCAGTGCTGGTAGGATGTAGCCAGGGGACCTGGAATCCTCTCCTTAGAGGGCTGGGTGGGCCAAACCTCTCACATGCCTTGTGCTGTGGCTTGAATTTGCGGTTTGCGACTGGCAGGTTCCAGGGCTCCTATTTATTCTTGAAACTGTCTTGTTTCTATTTTGATTCTGCTATTCCAAATTGCAGTTTGGTGTTTCCACGGAAACAATTCAGTGATTGTTTAGCTTGCCAAGATGAACTGCGGGGGAGAGAACCGAATGACGTAAAACATGTTTAGTTCCTCAAATATGACTATCAGTGTCTTCCCAAGAAGTCTTCGGCTCCAGCTCCCTGCAAATCTGAGGAAGTTTTATTAAAATAAGGGTCCAGGGTCCCCTCAGCTTAATCCCTATCCCTGTACAGATGAACGTACGCACATGTCCACAGCACTGAGAAATATGACAAAAGCAGGAAGGTGTCCTTGGAGCACCTTGGAGCCAGGGATGCAGCCAGCAGATGTCACCAGGAAAATGAGGAGGCGACCCCTGCTGACCTGGGGCTGGCAAGCCAGAGGTTCAGGAACCTGCTTTCCTGAACAGCTGCGTTTCTGCAGTGAGGAATCCAGGATGCATGACCCTTTGGTAGATCTGAAGGTTTTGCTGAAAGAGGCAGACTTCTCTGTCTGGCCGGAAGAGCCCAGACCCTCCTTCCACCCTACCATCCCCCCAGGCTTAACCCTTCTTCCCAAAGGCCACAGTCTGTCACAGGCAGAAAAAATATCTTACTTCGTTCTTCTAAGGTTAAGGTAAGATCCCCACATCCAGCAGTTCCCTCTACAAAGTCCCTCAAGGGAGAGGGAACTGAGTTCTGAGAAACAGCTCTGTGAGACCAGGAACTGCCAGCCTCGGAGGGTCCCGCATTCTCAGGGAAGGACAACTCCTTAGCAGGTTTCTACTAGGCCCTGCCATTGTGGGTCCTGAAATCTGCCCAATCCCCAAAGCTGTGAAGGTCAGTTCTGACGGAGAAGTAGCTGGTGAGGGATGCCCAGGCTTGGCTGGTGGAGATGAGAGTTTCAAAAAATAAATTTAATTTCTTCTTTCTGAAGAAGTAACCCGTGGCACTGCAGTTAAAATAGAAAATACAGAGAAGAAAAAAACCCCAGCATCACTAAAACTCCTCTCCATGACATTTTTCTTTACATGTGCACATTCATTTTTACAAACTTGGGATCAGCTGCATTAAAAATTTCCCCCTAGTTTTGGAATAACTTTTGGTTTATAAAAATGTTGTAAAGATAATTTTATATGCCCTGCACGCCGCTTCCTCTAATGCCAACATCTTATATAATTGTAGCATATTTGTCAAAACTAAGAGACTAACAAATATATTAATAGTAACTCTAGCCTTTCTTTCAATTTAATCAGTTTTCCACTCATGACTCCTTTCTGTTCCAGGATGCACTCTAGGATACCTCACCGTGTTTAGTCCACTGACCTGTGACAGTATTTGAGTCTTTCCTTGTCCTTCGTGATCTTGACAATCTTGAGTACCAGCCAGGAAACATGCAGAAAATCCCCCAATCTGGGTTCATGTAAATTTTATCTTACTTAGACTGGGGATGTGGATTTTTGGGTAAGAATACTGTGGAGGTGACGCGCCCTTCTCGTCAGATGCTGTCAGGGTGGGTGACATCACTGGTGTTTACTTGGTTCATGACTTTACTTGGTTCAGTGGTGTCTCTAAGCTTCTCCACTGCGAAGTGGTGACTTTCCCTTATCCTCCTCTATTCCTTGGAAGTGAGAAACCAAGTTTAATTGGTACTGGGGTAGGATTGGAGGTAGCTCTACCTCCTTGTGGGAAAATATCCACATCAGCATGTATTATCTGGAACATACACTTTTGAGACCTGTCTTGCTTTTTTTTTTTTTTAAGATTTATTTATTTATGCGTACAAGAACTGGGGTACAGGCCAGAGATGCGGGAGGTGAGAGGATTCACCAGAGACAGAGTGGGGAGCAGAACAGGCAGACTGACCGAAGTACACTGCTGAGGAGCAGCAGGCGAGGCAGGAGAGGTCTGCTGCGCCATGTGGGTCACTTCCCTGGCTGGGAATCAAACTCATGCTGCAGTGGCCGTGGAAGCTTCATAGGTTGTGTCTTAAACCCTTGTGCCACCGGGGAGGCCTGCTTTTTTTCTTTTTAAAGAAAATGATGATGACTCTCCATCCATACAGCCCCTTCTCTACCTGAGTGGGACAACTAAGGATGCTGTGAGCATTTCTCCTCATTTGCTCCTGTCCTTGCTGCCCAAGGAGAAACTGGCCTCCAATTCCACAAGCTGTGAGTACTCACTGAGGGTGCCGCGATCTGTAGGGACTGAGCTCCAGGTGACCAAGAAGCCTCTGGTTAGCCTTGTCCTCCCACTTACCCTACCACTCCATATAGGGCAGTGGTGGTGGCTATAGCCCCAGAGAAGACCCACCTGAAGACATGAACCCAGAGCTGTGGTGAAGGGGGTGACACCTGCTCTGCAGCCTGCCCCACACCATGGTCACTCGCCTAAAACACAGGCTGGCAGGGCAGGCTCCTTGAGCCTTCCTCCCCAGTTTTTTGGTTTGCTTGGTCTTTATAGCTTACAAACAGCCCCTGCACCAGCCTCCTCACCACTGTTCTCCCATAAACCCAGAAGATGGGCACTTCCTTGAGACTCAGTTTCTGGAGGAATCAAACATTGCCTGATAGCTTAGTAGGTTTCCTGAAAGAACATCGCGGTTTTAAGAAACCCAGCCAAGCAATTTCTGACAATGTCCTTTCTTCCCAGCAGTGGGGCTAGAACCAGTCCTACTAAGCTTTTGCTGCTATGCTGACCTCAGGACGGTAATGGCCTTGGCCCTCCATTACTCCCTGCCCAACTTCCCCAGCAGGGTGGTTGCCATGGGAACCACGGGTGGCTTCCAGGGTTTCTGGGCCTGTAATGGGAAGGATGAGGCTCAGCATGAATGTGGATGGGCAGGACATGTGTTTAGCCCCGCCTTACCTCCTCAACTGAGGACTCAAGTGTCTGATGCAGAGTCTGTGGGAAGGCTTCATGAGAATGTCCTGTCAAGAGAGGAGCAGGAATGCTGCCATTCCATCCCCTTGACACAATCAGGAGGCCTCTTGCTGAATGGGACAGGGATGAGGGAATTGAGGAAGGGTAGGTGTGGACATGAGGAGAGCATGGGCCCACGCAGGGAACAGTTAGTTCTGTGCGCAAAATACACAAGGATGGCAGAGGGCTCAGGGCCAAGGGCCCTTTTGACTTCTGATTTCTCTGTACAGGACTGACCTTACCTGGGACAGGCTAGTCCCAGACGTATAGAAAGTCCACCCTGGTTGTATCCCCATTGATTTTTCAGGATTTCAGGGAAAAGAACACCAAGACACACAGCAATGGCCCAGGACCTGCACCTGCCTTGGGTATATTAAACATAAAATTTTTTTTTTTTTTCAAAACATCAAGAAAAATTTTTAAAAATCAACAGAAAGGAGCATTTCAAAACAACAGAACAAAAAAACTGGGCCCTTCGTTCAAAAATAGATACAACTGAACTTAAAACAAGTGTGACAATTTAAGTTCTGCTCATCTTTGAAAAGTGTGGTCTTTGTGACAGTTGTGACTGTTTCTGTACAGATGACTTAACGAGAGCCTTCTGTTGCAAAAAATCAGAAATAAAATCAACCATCCCTTACTCAAGTTGGTATTTAAAAGAGGTCATCAAATTGTAATCCTCTTCCAAGTCCAGAACAGTCTGAATGATATTGTGATCATCGAAGGCCTGCTTCAGGCAGCCAGGATCAGCATCTGTGGCCTTTTGGGGACTCTCGTCCACCAGCAGGGTCCAGGCTTCTTCCTTGAATGGCGAATCTTCACAATGACCACACACACGGTTCAGCTCGTTTTCAAATTCTAGTTTTCCAGCCAATTCTTCAATAGTTCGGATGCTCGTATGGTCTTAAATATAAGAACGTTCAGTTTTACAATTCCGGGGAGAGGTTTCCAAAGACATGTCAAACAAAAGTTAAAAAGCAGGAAAAGTTGGCAATTCTTCTGGGATTTTGCAAAGCAGGGTAGTTCTGCCCAGGGCAGGCAGGTTGCCAGAATGAATGCCAAATTTTAAGAGGACCCTAGAAATTCATCCAGCCCCAACTATCTACCATTCCCCAAGAATGGAGTGAGAGGATACTGAGATACATTTGCCCTGACTTTTAAGGAGCTCCCTGACTTGCAGAGATGATAATACATGGTATGAAAAGAAGGAGGTCTTTTGGGGGTCATCAAAATGCTGCCTGGCACTGGCCCTAGCAAAACCTATGCTGCGCAGAGGCCATGACTTGTTTATCTCTGGGGCTACTGGAGGAGATTCAATCCACTAAAGTAGTGGGCAAGGAGGGGTCTGCTTTATGACTCAGTGTAACTCCCCTTATCAGGCCTCGCTTTCATTCCCCATAACCTGGAGGCCCTTCAATTTTAGCACATATGCTGTCGAAGCAAGCACATGGAGGCCCCCTGAACCAACAACTTCAGGCAGTGCCCAAGGGTATACATCCTTTAGCTATGAGCTATTTGTCCAATGTGTAGTGAGTCATTTAAAAATAGCACATATGCAAGTTATGTAAACAATCTAAATGTCCATAAAGCGAGCAGTGCATGAGGAAGATGGGATACAGCTACACAATGGACTACTACTCAGTTATTTAAAAAAAAAAAAAAGACTCTTGCCATTTGCAACAGCATGGACACAACTGAAGGGGATTATACTAAGTGAGAAAAGTCAGAAGGAGAAAGACAAACACTGGATGATTCGACTCATGTGGATACAAGGGAACAAAACAAAGAACAGACAAAACCAAATAAAAACAAACCCTTGGAATCTGCAGAACTGGGGTTCTCAGAGGGGGAAAGAGGGTAGGAGCAGAGGGTGGAAGGGGCCCAGTGCACTGTGTGGAGGGTCACTGGTACTCTGGTGGTGGGTGTGGTGTGGTAACATACATTTGAAGAGGCAGGTGTGAACATGGACTCCTAAAACAGACAATGTTCTAAACCAATGGTACCTCAATTAAAAAAACAACAACAATATACAGAAGTGTGTGTGAAAAAGCTGTGTCTCAGGGGGTACAGCACTATGTTAATAGTAGCTATTTTTGAATGGTAGAATTGTAGGGGAATTTTGTCTCCTAATTTCTTTTCTAATATTCCATTACCCAGCCCAGCTAGACTCCATTCTTGCCTCCTCTTTGTCTATGTCTTGTTTCCTTCATCCCTAAGTTCAACCACCAAGTTCCAGGGCCCCTGTCCCTTGCCTCCCATTCATTGTAACTAAACATTAATGAAATGACTTGACTGATGTGTGTGACTCCATCAGGCTGTGAGCCCAAGAGGGCTCTATGCACAGAGCCTGCCATGAGCAGAACAAACCTACTGAGCAAATGGATGAGAAATAAGGGATTCTTAAAACCTAAGACACTTGCTGATGCAGGGATCTGCATGATGGACCAAGGAGAAGACAGATGGGCGATCTTCCTTACTCACCAATCATATCAAGCAGATCCTTTGTGACCTCTTGGCTAGAATTGCTTAGTGGCAAGTTTGAGTCAACCTTCAAATCTTTTTCCAAATCTTTCCTGCAGGCCCCCCAGAGAAAAGAAGAAGAAAAAAAAAAAAAAAAAGAGGGGGTGGGGGGATGGTGGCATTAGATCTTCAAGAAAATGTTGGAGGGAAACTCAGTGTCAGATAATGTTAAAGACAAAAACTTACTGGTAACTTTAAAAATTGTCATTTATAATGTGATTAGGAGATAATTAGAAACAGTTAAATCAGCAAAATTGACCAATAGCATCATCATGACTTATGATACAACAGATTGTGGATTAACATCTATGAATCGAGGTAAATATTCATAGTTAAACCAGTTAAATGGTCTCTTCATTCTCTGCCTACAGGACAACCAAGATGGCAATACTTTGAAGCTCCATCCAGTGTGGTCATCCTTCTCCAAATCCAGGTGCCTGGGAGCAGGCAACTTGAGGTACCTGGAAGAAAAGGTCTAGGGTTGACCTTAACTTTGGGGCAGACTAAAAACTTCTGAGGCAGGCAGGGGGCAGAGGCAAGGATGAAACCAGGAAGTAGCATACGACCCAGACACCACTCAGCCTGACCTCAGCATGGGTAAAGGATACTCTTTTTAAGATTTTTGTTTCTGCAGCATAAAAAAAACCAAAAAACCAAAAAAAAAAAACAACCATTAAAAAAAAATCTGGTTAACATTCACTGACCTTTGGGTACTACATTGTGGTTTCCAAGAGATTTAACACCAAGGACACACACACACTGCCTTCGGGGCCAAATTCTGAAGGTTTGTGAACATGGTCTTACACTTGCCAAGAGGAGGCCAGAACAGTGTTATGGACACAATTTAGGATCTTCACCACATATTTTGTATTTCAGAAGGGAGATCCCCTAACTGTAGCTATGAAACTATCCACTTCAAATCACCTTAGAGTTTCTTTTCTCCAGTTCTCCCCATCTCCTGCCACTCTCCAAAACTGTCTTTCAGGTGCCAAAATGGAGGTATGCATCATTACATTTTCCTTGCTGGTCAGAGGTTTTCTTTTGGGGCACAAAGCTGGTGACTTTGCACTCACTGGGGCATGGTTTGGTGCAAAGGCAGAGCTCTCATTCTCAGGAGCACATGGGAGAGGAGGGAAAGGAGCAGCAGAGGCGCAAGCTGCCAGCGGGTGCCTTCTGCAGAGGAGCCGGTGCACAGGGAGGGGGAAAGAGAGCGCGGCTGCGTCCAGCTCCAGCCTCTGCTGGCCTGAGCACTCCTGGGAATGACTGACTCCTTCAAAGGCTCGGTCAATGGCTGCAGTCAGTTCCTTTCTGCATCTTCTCAGTTTTTCAGACATTTTTCCTAAAAGCGACCACGTCTTTATTATGTAAAATAATGCACAAGGCAAAAGGCTAAAGCTACAAATGAGACTGTAAAGCACCCCAGTGGGGTAGGAGGCATTCCTTGAGCTTGATCCTAGCTAGCGGGAAAGCAGGGGAGCCCACCACACTCCAGAGCTCCTCGGGTGTGGCAAGAAGTGCCCGGAAGCTGCCCGCGGGACTCCCGCCCCGCCTTCTGGCCTACAGGCTCCGGCCACCCAGCCAGGAGGTCCCCCAGCCCCGGCTCACGGCCGGCCGTCCCCCCACCCGCCCCTCCCGCGGCAGGAGGCCCGGCCCGAGTCCTCACCCAGCGGCGGCGGCGCGCCCGCACCCCGCCACCCCCAGCACCCCGCCGCTAACGGTCGGTCGCCCGATCGTCGAGTCCCAGATAGGTCGCCCGAGCCAGTAACTGTGCGCACAACCGCTACGGCTCGGGTTAAAGGTCAGACGGCGGGTCGCACAGCCCCGTTCTTAAGCCCACTGGGGAGGGCCCCGAGGGGCGGGGCGGGGCTGCGGCGGGGCGGGCGGGGCACGGGCGCCGTGGGGGTCGGGGTTCGGGAGGGGCAGGGAACTCACTTCTTATGGAAAGTAGGCTAGAACTTGGGAGCCCTTTCGGAACCTGATTAAACTCCCAGGAAGGTTCCTGTTCTCGAGCCAACGTGTAGAAACTACTGGATGGAACACAGTGCCCAGCAGTTTTCTGGACCGACTGCCTTTAAGCGGTGTTGAACAGCAGCTCCACTCGATATCCAACTGTCAGCTCATCAGGGCTGGGGGGGGACATGGCAGAACCGCTATATTCCACACCAGCTTGAGGGGGAAGAATACTGGGAATTCCAAGATGAGTCAAAGGAAACAGAGCGGACGTCAGTGGTACTCTTTAGGGAATTATAAACGCATCTAGGTGCACAGCAAGGGAAAAGGGGACATCAAATTTACTCGAGGCTTGGTTTATGTGGGCAGACTACTGGGGTATCCAGTCATCAGCACCAGAATCAAAAATCCAGAAAGCCAGGGCAGCCTGCAGCAGGCCTTCACCGCCACGCCACACTCAAGCACAGCGCTCCTCGCCATTCTCCGGAAGCCAGCAGACACACTACATTGCGAGCCCCCCTCCCAACTCCCGCGGTGCAGCTCCAGAGGTTTCTCACCACCTGTTTTAAAAAAAAAATAATTCAGCCTCTTGACAGAACCCTTCTGAGCAAACAAGGTCTTTTTTTTTTTTCTTCTGCTCATAAAAGAAGGGAATGTCCTCATTTGGTTTTTAGACTGAACACTAGCAGTCTTCAAAGTGTCAAAGATGTTCTTCAACTGGTGCTGCGGGGTGGCAGGGTCGCAGAGGCAGCATCAGTTGGTGTCCATGCTGCATGTCTCATCATCCCCCAAGCCCTGCTGTGAGCTGGTTGGTCTTGTCCCTCCATCAGAGGACCCAGGAAAACCAAGTGAAGATGTCTTATAAAACTCATCATCTCGACGCTCGTAAAATAGCACATAAGCTGCTTTTGTCTAAAACACAAGAGGGGAAAAATCCATTCACTGATTGGAAAAAAATTACTCCACCCCAGCTTTTCTTTACTGTTCAAGACCCACATCTCAGGGATCTGCCATCTTGCCCTGTGCATCTACATACAGAAGCGACTGAGACCGCCAGTGCCCCTGAAGCTGGCCCACACTGCTCATGCCCAGGGGGTAGAAAAAGTGCCCTGTGGCACACAACCCTAAGGAGTCAAGCTTCTCGTTCAGGAGGGGACCCAGGAGGAATGGCTGTCAACTCATTCACTAGCTCACCTAGTTCCCATTGTCACATCAGGATGACTCAACAACCAACTAGCTCGGGAGAGACTCTTCCCAGTTTTAATCTAAAAAGGTCAGGAGAGGAAACAGGTACTGAGGTCTACTCACCACTATCTGATCCTCAGAAGCCAGGGACACATTGCTATCATCAAAGTAATACCATTTCCCGTTCAGTTTGTTCTTTGCGTGTGCAGTGTCTGCCAAGTCAACAAAGAAAATACTCCAGCCATCAGCAGAGAAGTAATCTGGCTAGTTTATTAGGCTTACACTAAGCAACAACAAAACTTTGATATATGAAATGAAACAGATTCTGAAGTTAGGAGAAATTTATAGCTTGTGTCCTAACACAACCAAAGACAACTCATCCTTTAAAAAAAAATCTGTTCTCTTCAAAAAGGTGCTGAAAAGGTTTTAGGGCCTCCCCTGGTGGTGCAGCGGTTGATCACTGGGCTGTGAAGCTGCCCACAGCCTCTGCAGCACCGGTTCAATCCCCGCCTGCCGGCGAGGGTCCCATATGGCATGACAGACCTCTCTTGCCACACTCGCTGCTCCCCTCAGCAGTGTACTTTGGTCCTTCTGCCTTTCTGCTCCCGGCTCTGGCTCTGGTGAATTCTCTCACCCTCCCGCGCTTCTGACTGTACCCAGTGCTTGTATAAATAAATAAATCTTCAAAAAAAAAATTAAAAAGGTTTTAAATGGAGCTGTTAGGGACCAGTGTTTAAAAATTTGGGCTATGAGCAATAATTCAAAGCTGGGGAAAACATATAAAGGTGGTTATTTTCAAGATCTAAATAAAATAGCTGTCCAAAGAACATACCACACCAAACTCCCCCACTGCATCCAGGAAGATGGCTATTACTGCCTCTCATGGCCTCCGGAGCCTGGGGAAATAATCCTGGTCAGGGGCTCACTGGGCACTTGGATTTACAATCTGCAATTTCTCTAAAACTGTGAGTTTTATTTGTGGCTACAATTGCTCATAATGGTCCAAGTATTTCCCCCAGTCAATACTTCCTGTCTTGAGATATTATTTCCAAGCAGGATATGTCTAAAGTAGCAATTCCCAATTCCTGCTCCACTCAGGCTCTAAGACACAACAGAATCTAATTGAGATCTGGCTTCTAATCTGAACCTACTGTGTGATTTTGGGCAAATCCTTTCACCATTCTAACTATATGCCTTCCACAAGTAGTGGTGGTCAAACACACAGGACAGAAGGGCTGAGGGCCTGTACCCTCTGTCTGTTCGTGACGATATAGCAGCAATGGTGTCTCTCAATCTCAGAGTTCCAACTGTGGATCCCACATAGTCCCTCAATCAGTCTAATCTTGTAGATAAGAAAACTAAAGTAGAAGGCAACTGAGAAACTTGCCCACATAGTGTATTTACATGCTAAAAACAGCAGCTGATCCACTCTAAGTGCAAACTGACACTTCTCAGGGAGTCATCTCTTGGGGGTTCTAACATTGGGTATAGTGGCAGCTGGCATGGTGCAGATGTGACAGGCATGACAGAGACTCACTTCACATCACTAACACCTTTCCATAATTAACAAAAGGTACTAGGTCTTTTCACTGTAAAGTAAACCTATACATTATACAAAATTTGGAAAATAAAATAGAGCAGCAAGAAAAACATTTTGGTGAGAAAAGACAGAAAGGAGGGCCTCCCCTGGTGGCGCAGTGGTTGAGCGCTGGGCTGCGAGGCTGCCCGCAGCCTCTGCAGTGCTGGTTTGTTCCCCCGGCGAGGGTCCCACCAAAAAAAAAAAAAAGAAAAAAGAAAGAAAGAAAGAAAGAAAGAAAGAAAGAAAGAAAAGGTAGAAAGGAGAGTTCTCTCTTCTTCCAGGTTCCCCCCCGCCCCCGCCCAACCAGATTCTTGCTTTTTGTTTTAGTATCACTATGATGCTATCCTCTGGAGTGATATAGTATAGTGTGGCTGTTCTCACTTAACATATCCTATCACGAGCATTTCCCCATGTTATTACCAATTGTATTCTGTAGTGGCTGTGTACTCTCCCACCAAGTAGGTGGGGAATATTGCCAACTGTGTTGAACAACAATGCTGCTACTAAACTTTCATTATTATAAATAGAGAAATAGCGTTATACATAAAGCTACTTGATATCTTCATGTCAAGTAATTTCCTTAATATATCATTCCCAGAGGTGGGATTATTAAAGAAGAAGAATCAAAATCAAGTAAGTCAATAAATAAGAACGGAGGGGCAGCAGTATGGCAAAAGTCTAAAACCTGCAGCCTGTGATGCTGTGTAAAGTGCTTGGGGCAATGCCTGGCATACAAGGAGATGAGGCTGGTGAGTGATGACTAGCTGAGGGTATTTCTATGTCTCAGAGGGAAGCAGACACCAATACTTACAGTGGCCAACCCCCATGGCTCCATAATGATTGGACACAGCAATGAGATCGTACACATAAGGCCTCGCTGACGGGTCACAGACAAACTCGGACATGTTCAGAGCTCTGAGCACAAAACACAGAATCAGCTTTAAATACATTCAACTCAGAGAAAGAAGCCAGAGTAACCCAGCAACACCTTTTATGCACCAGGCTAGAATACAGGGAAGCATCAAAAACTAACTGCAGAAGGAGGGAATGAGCAGACCATGCAAGAAGGGACTCTACGGTCCTCTTTTGACCTCTGACATATTCAGATTAGAAAAGAGAAGTTTCCTGGGTAATTCCAACCACAGACCAAAAAGTGATAAGGGGCCCTGGGCATAGACAAGAGGCCATGCAGAAATGGTTGTTACTATCAAAATACAGCTGGTGCCAGAAAAATGTAAGCTAAATACCAAGACAGACCCCAGAAAGTCTTTTATCCCAATATTTCATTTAAAAAATTTCAGACATACAGAAAAGTAAAATAATTTTACAACTAATACCTATATAGCTACCACCTAGGTTCCACACTGGCACAATGCCTCATCTGTCTATCCGGCACCCCCCAATACCTCCCACATCCCCAAAAAGCATTTTTAGAATGTGCATTTTGTTAAGAAGCTCCTATCTTAGGGATTTATTTCCTGGGTCAGTGACACTCTGTACCCTGGGACCTAAGAACATAACAGCACCTCCAAGAATTCAATTCTCCCTAGAAAACTCTTCTCTGGTTGCCTTGTCCCCCAGTTCATTGTAAGTAACATTATTCATGAGTTGTCCTGCTGGACCCAGGATCCCTGGGACCAATGACTGATGGAAAAAAGTTATTAAGTGGCATGAGGGATTCAAGGCGGGAAGCAGCAGAGGCAGAGAAGATTGGCCTCACCCTAAATCTGGAAAATAACTTCTGTTGGAAACTCTTCCCCAGCAATTGGATAGAGTTAAAGTGAATCAAAGTGTAGCCTCAAAGAATCAAGCAACACACATCGCAGTACAGAAAAGTATGGTGGCAAAACCCTCATCCAATCAGTGCCCACTTTCCTGTTAACACCCAGGAACTCACCTGACTGGGAATTCCACGACTGTGTCTAGTTTATCCCTCCAGTACCTATTGTAGGAGAAACGTTTGAGGTGGACAACCAGAATTCTCGGCAAGGACCAGAGGTCAAACTTCTTTGTGGCCTGTTGATGCTTCTTACAGTTGGGACAGTACCTGAAGAGAAAAGAGAAACCTCCATTCATCGGGGAAGCAGGGAGCCGGTGTGACTGGGTACTCATGCATGGGAGGCACAGCTGCCACCCTACAACAGCCACTCAGCACAATACAGCAAGGAGGCCTCCTAGCCACCTTTCAAAACAGAGCAACGGCTTTCTTTGTGCGGAAAATATAATCCACACAGAAAAGAACCTGTATCACAGGGCTGGCCATATAAAAAAGTGATATGTCCAAGTTCAAAAAGTGAAAAAAAGTGATATGTCCAAGTTTTGTGTGCACAGATGGTTCCAGTGGAGCTGGGAGTCTGGGGGTGTAAGCATGCCTCTGCCTAGAATGGGGAGCTGCATACCAGGGGTCATGTTCCCCAAGGGTCTCCATGGTAGTGAAGAGTTCAATGCAGTCTCTCAGGGCCACCGCTGTCTTCTTCTTCTTCTGCGGCTGCAACATGCTCACGTGCTTTTCGTAGGCCTGTGAGGAACAAAGTGCTGAGTTCTGCTGGAGAAACACAATCTGACCAGGTCAAGTCACAACCTCATGAGTCTCACCCCTGGAATATAAGGTACTCTCTGGAACCTCTGGACATACAGTGATAAAATCTGGAAGTGCTTTTCACTTGTTAACTTGTTAAATTGCCATCTCACTGGTAAGAGTGACATTGATACACGTCCAGAGCAGAAACCAGCATGGACCACTGACCAAGAACGGAGGGACCTACCTCAGATTCTTGTTCATCATAGTAAAGGCTCCGCGACTCACTGTCCCAATCGATGGCCAGTGTGGATCGAGCTGTGGAGGCACACAAAGTGTCCTCATTACTGAACAGCCAACTAGAGGCTCTGAGATGACAGGGTAAGGAGGACCACCCTCAAGCATCACCATCTGAGTGGGGCCAGCCAATTTTGAACTCCTGACCCCCAAATCCTTTGGCAAAGGTTTCCTCAATATGACAGATAAGCTCCAAAGACACTGGCTACATAGAATTCTGAATGGGCATAGGTAAAGGTTGAGTAATACCAACCAAATTTACCTCCATGCCCACAAGAAAACCTGACAACTTATATGAAACAAGGTGATGCGGTCTACTGCCTGGAGGCATTTTCTAGACCAGCTTGGAAGAGAGAGGGAGGGAGAAGAGAAGACTGAGATGAAAAATCAAAGACTAACAAGGTGGCTGGAATTTGCAAGGCACTGTACTAGAGGAGGAAACTGCAAAGAGAGGGCAGAGCTACAGAAAAACAGAGAAACAGATACAGAGATCAAAAAATATTTCAGTAAAGCCATTATTAAAATAATTTTAAAATAATTTTAAAGAGGTATAAAAGGGGGAGGAGGGAATTTTCTTCTCCAATGGAGGGCACTAAAAGACACGAGAGACACTTTTGCAGTTCCCCATCCCAGCCTGTGCAGGGACCTTCTTGGTTCACTGGTGCTCGTCACACAAAACGCACACCCCATGTGGGTGTCCTCCCATCTGTGGGTGTCCTCCATCTGTAATCCTCACTACAGGGCATTACATGTAACAGACACCTTGTAAAATCCATGACCATCCTCTAGACTATCTCTAGATGGATCACATTCCTTGAGCACTCTTATGAACAAAAGAAATACGCATTTTTGTGTCTTTAGTGAAATAAATTTGGGGGAAGTGCTGCCACGAAAGAGGGTCACAAGAAGTGTTATTCATGAGGAGAAAAGCTCCTGAATGGTAACTGGCATCATTGCAACAGTCAGGGACAGAAGGAGTGGATGGAGTGCTCGCTTTCTTCTCAGATCATAACACTGAGAAAAGCCTGATTGGGGGTGTGGGTCAGGTCTCTTTTGAAAGCCTTTAGGAGGCTTCAAACCAAGGACCACATATGTGTCTGTTTCTGGAGCTACTAGAAATTACAAAAGCCCAATGTAATAAGCATTGAGTGCAAGTATTTTCAAATAGATATTAATTCCCCAGAAGTCCAGTTTGAAAGGTCAGAGAAAGTGCTTACAGTTCAGTTTAAGGAATTTTCCATCAGTTGCAAGCGAATTTATGTCGGCTGTTCCATAGGAGTTCACAAGGCTGAAGGTAAAAAGCCTTTTGGGGCAGTGTCGGCCTTTGATCTTTTGGGTGGTCTCACCATGGTCACTTTCCAGGTCATCTTCCCCACTGCCTTCTGTTTCTGAAAGCTGTTCTTTACCTTCTTCCTGATGTTCCATCTCTTCTTCATCCTCTCCTGGCAAATAAATGATAAATAATGTGTATATAATTTACCACTATTTCAATGTTAAAAACTGCATTTCATATAGTTTCCTCCCAGATTTTGTCCTGTGTGTGAAATAGCAGCTACCCCTCTGCATATACAATGCACCTGACTTCAGGCTGTGACAACAGCATATACTTACATGGTATTATTAATAATTGAGCATCTATTACATACAGCATACTTTAAACATATTATCTCACTAAACTGTGACCTCAACTCTTGGAAGGAGAGTAATGCAAATTTAAAGCAAGGTTCAGAGGGATGAAGTGACATGTCCAAAGTCCACCTCTCATCTTTTGCTGGAAATCAGTGATGTAACATACAGAGCACCAAGAACCCATAGGTCACCCAGTGTCTGTTCAAGACTACCGTTACTACTCCAATACCTCTACTTATGGGACCTGTGCGCATAATACACTCCTGTTAAACCCTAGTGTGAGAACATGATACCCTGGGGAAGAATAATAATATGACAATGGGAAATAAACTAAAATAGCAATGATTTTTAATATGCACTGAAGACAGAGCATTGTGGTCATTATTTTTAACACTAATTCTCACTTTCTAGAACTGTACATCTCTGGGAAATCTGGACATTTGGACTGGCAATTAAGAATTTACAAGGCTAGGGCCTCCCTGGTGGCGCAGCAGTTGAGCGCTGGGTTGCGAAGCTGCCCGCGACCTCTGCGGCGCCAGTTCGATCCCCGGCTGCTCCCAGGCCACTGGAGGAGGGTCCCACATGACGCGCAGACCTCTCCTGCCACCCGCTGCTCCCCTCAGCAGTGTACTTCGGTCCTTCTGCCTATTTTGCTCTCTGCTCTGGCTCTGGTGAATTCTCTCACCCTCCTGCACTTCTGACTGTACCCAGTGCATGTATAAACAAAACAAATGAACAAGTAAATAAATAAATAAAACATGCCTCTAAAAAAATTAAAAAAAAAAAAAAAGAATTTACAAGGCTAGCCCAGCAAATAGGGCAGCAGAACGAAGACATAGATATATCCCCAACCAAAATATATCACAACAAAGGTAACCCTTTGAGGCTGATGATACAATTACTGTCCTACATCAGGTGCAATCAGGTGTAAAAGGATAGGGTTGCCTACATTAGGTGTAAAAGGGTAGGGTTGAGAATGGCACATATTAAAAATAACCCCAACAAGTGCGGAAGAGGATGCAGAGAAAGAGGACCCTTATTATACTGCTGGTGAGAATATAAACTGGTGCAGCCATGGTGGGAAGTGATCTGGATTTACCTTAAAAACTAAAACTGGAAATACTGCATGATCTAACAATTCTACTCTTGGGTATCTATTTGAAAAGCATGAAACCATTAACAACTCAAACTGTAAGATTCTGCAATGTTTATTGGACATTATTTATAATAGCTAGACATGAAAACAACCTAAGTGCCCAATAATATGCAGACTGGTCAAGAAGATGTGATACATCCACATAATGGAAGAAAATTAAGCCATAAAGGAAGACAAAATACTGTCATGTATAGCAAAAATGGAAAGAGTTTGAGAGAAATTATGTGTAGGAAAGCCAATCACAATGACAAAGATAAATATAGGACAATTATGTAGCAGATGATTTAAAGTAAAATACTAATAAAAACTAGCAGACACTAAAAAATGAAATGAGGCTTCTAAGGTTCAAAGTGAGGGGACAGAAAAGGGATAAAAAGAGTTTAAGGGATGGTGATTGGGGGGGAAAAGATTTTTCAATATTTTCCTCTATAAATAAAAATCCAGGTCCTCATGGAGCTCCTACTCTAGCTGGGAGAATTAAAGAAAGACTACCTCCTTTTAATGGACACACTGGTAAATAATTGTTTGGCTGAGGTTCCTGACTAATTAGACCTCTTTAAATTGAAGCTTTGGTATAGGTCTTTCTGGGTTTTTTGTTTGTTTTTTAATATTTATTTATTTATGCATACAAGAACTGAGGTACAGGCCAGAGGTGCAGGGGGATGAGAGGATTCACCAGAGACAGAGTGGGTAGCAGAACAGGCAGACTGAAATATACTGCTGAGGGGAGCAGCCGGCGAGACAGGAGAGGTCTGCTGCGCCATGTGTGTCAGCTCCCTGGCTGGGGATGGAACTCGTGCTACAGTGGCTGTGGATAGCTTCATAGTGCTGAGACTTAACCCCTTGTGCCACCAGGGAGGCCCAGGTGCAGTACTTTCTCTGCCAGAAGTTGTTGGTCAGCTTTGGCAGGGAAAGTTAATTTAACAAATTCTCTAAGAAAAATTAAAATGTGTATCAAAACAGAGGGAAAAAATTGTCAAAGAGGTTCCAAATCTCCGTGGCAAGTAGATATTAGGGTTCTCACTAAGGGACAAAGTTGAGATGATTATGCTAAATGAACTAAGTCAGAAGTACAAACACCAGATGATTTCACTCATATATGTGGAATATAAAGAAACAAAGCAAAGAAACAGACAAAACCCAACCAAATCTCTGGATTTGAAGAGCAGAACAAGAGCAGGGGTGTGTTTGAGAGCAAAGGGTAGAACCTCCCCAACAAAAATAAAAAATGTTAAAATGCTAGGGGGTCAGGGGGTGGGGGAGAGAATAATTTGCAACACTAATTTGGAGGACATTTATGCTTTTAATAGGAAAAAAGCCCCATAAGAATGTAGACAGTCACAATGCAGGTCAGACACAGATCCTAGGTCAGGGATGAGTTTGTGATCACTCAGCCACAAAAGAATGATGAAGGCTCTGGGTTTCCTGGAACAAGCCCATCCTACTGCTTTTTGGACAGTGGTTCACTTATCACCCATTGCAGGAGCTGTCTAGCGTCACCTACCACATGCAACTTCCAGAGTAAAAAGAAAAGGAACACCCAAGACAGCCTATTTCTGCCTTCTAATTGGTTGGCCAGGAAACCTGTCCTCCCCAGCAATGATGCTGCACCACAGTGATGGGGAAGGGTCAAGATACATTCTGCTGACAGAGGAAAGTTGATGGAAGCAGTCAAGTGTTGGATAAGCACCCATTCTGCACCCCCAACAGATCAGAATCAAATCCTAACTCTGCCTCATGCCCCGGGGCAGTCCCCGAATTCTGGCAGTGTACCTGAACTAGAACTCAGTCTCATGTCTAAGATGATTCAATGAGGTACTGAAGTGCAGACAGGTACAGAGCTACAGACAGAGCTTCCAGGTTTGCTCGATAGAGAGCCTTCGACCCAGCCTCAGAGCCTCCCTATCCCGTGTATATACCAGCTTTGAAGAGGGAGGTCAGGAGGGATTTGGTCAGTCACAGTCCAGTAATGTGGACAGACTTACCTTCACAGGTACCCCTGGAGCCATTGCAGGTTCCTGGCTCCAAGGACGAGCAGCCAGACTCATCAGACAAAGGCTGTTTTATATATCGGCTTGTGAAAAGGAAAACAAAAAACTGTTAGTTGTATTATTTGCCCGTTTTCCCTTCTATTCAGTTAGAAATAGTTCATAATTTATATGACCAGCCACTCACAAAGCAATTTATGTAAAAAGTGCTTTAAAATCATGTGATGGCTCAACACACCAACAAATTGAGAGGAACCCAAAAGATGAGATGTTAAAACCTCCAAGATTGACTCTGAAAATCTATAAATGTCATGTGGCACCATCATTTTAAAAGTACTTTCTAGTAACACTAATTGCCAGCTTCAGAATGATAGTAGAGTACTTCAGAAGTAGTATTCCAATACAAAATACCACCAGAGCACTGGACTCCTGAAAGCAGACATGATTCCAGGGACCAGTAGAGGCTTAGAATGTATCAGATGCCTCACCTCAACAGTACCTGCCTTTGCCCTCCCCAAGGGTTGGCACAACTGCATTTTTAACAGAAGTAAACACGAGATCGAAACAGACCCTCGGGCCTCCCCCTGGTGGCGCAGCGGTTGAGCGCTGGGCTGCGAAGCTGCCCACAGCCTCTGCAGCACCAGTTCGATCCCTGGCCACTGGTGAGGGTCCCACATGGCGCAACAGACCTCTTCTGCCACACCCGCTGCTCCCCTCAGCAGTGTATTTCTTTGTCAGTCTGCCTGTTCTGTTCCCCACTCTGGTAAATTCTCTCACCCTCCCGCACTTCTGACTGTACCCAGTGCTTGTATAAATAAATAAATCTTCTAAAAAAAAAAAAAAAACAAAAAAAAAAAAAACCAGACCCTCTGCAGGGGACAGTCACTACCATAACTGGGCCTGTCTTGATTTTTGATAACCAGCCAATCGCATTTCTGCCACCAACCTGATACGCTCATAAACAGCCTGGTACAATGATTCAAGGGTTAGCTTGTGCTTAGGGACAGAAACCATCAGTGGCTGTCCATAAAGCACTGCCCCAGAGGAAGTGCTCGAAGGTCTGGACTTCCTCTCCCTGAAGTAGACTGGAAGCGTGACGTATTCTGAGCCATCGGCGGAGGTGCTGCAGACTTCATACCTGTGTCAATCACACAAGAAGGTATATCTTTAGTAGCAAGTGAGTAACGGAGATTTGAGCTGTAGCTAAATGGTGGCCATGACTATCGCTACTAGGACAGAGCATACTTTAACAGAAAAGGTGGATAAACCACTTCCAAGACAATAGAGGCTGGGTCAGGAATCCCAAGGAGGGTCACTATTAGCATAATGTCAATCTATATAACCCCGCTTGGGGCTCACATGATCCTCCTTTCACCAACCATGGCCTAAACCAGGACTCAGTACAGATGATAGCTGTCATCCAGATCATCACTCCAGACACAAAGGCACGCAGGAGTGCTCTGGCCACCAAGTTCACTTTTGTCACCAAACAGCTCAACATTTAAAAAGGCATTCTCGGTGCACTGCCCTTTAATAAAGCCAAACATTATATAAGGGTGTATAACTAGAAAATTAGCCAGACTATTTTAAGTGATGAAGCAAATTTATACAGCTCATTGTTTGCCATCTTTGTTCAAAAACATTGAAGTAAGAGAATCATATCTAACTTGTTAAAAATCATCAGAGATAACCAAAGAAACTGCTAAACACATATCAACGATTTTGAAAAATGTGTCTTACTTAGTGAATACATGGGACTGAGGAGATTTATAGATGTTTTATCCTGGAACAGATGTTACCAAAATTGCTGGCAACCGACTGTAGTCTTTTCCCTCTTCCTATAGGGGGAGACACAAACTTACTGATTCAATTTTTGAAAACTATAAACACAAACATAGACACACATCCCTCCCCAAATGCCTGGCAAGCAATCCTGACTTAGGTATATGCAGAAGGTGTTCTAAGAAAAACACAAAACTATCCAAGGTGTCTCTAGGTTAAGGACCTTGCATAAAGGTCCAGAACCAGCTTTTGGTGTAAGGCTACTACTTTCTGGCTGCTAAGTGTCTTAACTTCTGCGCCTGTTTACTCAGTAGACAATGAGATTACCCACCTTCTAGGACGAAGGTGAGAATTAAATAACTTAGTACATAGGATACTATTACTCAGAAAGTATTAGATTATGATTTTCTTAAGATAATTCCAATTTGGGCCTTCCTGGTGGCACAAGGGGTTAAGACACAGCACTATGAAGCTATTCGTAGTCACGGCAGCATGAGTTCGTTCCCTGGCCATGGAGGTGACCCACATGGCACAGCAGACCTCTCCTGTCTCGCCTGCTGCTCCCCTCAGCAGTGTATTTCAGTTAATCCTCCTGTTCTTCTCCCCACTCTGTCTTTGGTGAATCCTCTCACCCCCTGCATCTCTGGCCTGCACCCCAGCTCTTGTATGCATAAATAAATAAATCTTAAAAAAAAAAGATAATTCCAATTTGTCTTTAAAACAATTTTCTAACCTATTGGTTGGCCCTCAAGCCCTCTGAAAATTCCTAAATTTGTGGCAGGTTTTTCAAGCTCCCCACAGTGTGCCATCCAGCTCCTCTCAGTTCGAGTGCATGCAACTGCTTGTTTCCAGAATTGAGGGAGCCTGTGTTAAGGACTTAGGGTCAGAAAAGGCTATGAAAGCTGACTATGCCATGCCTTATTTCTGCAGTTCGGTATGAGCCTTGGCACCCTCCATTTGTAAAGCGAGGGAGGGCAGCTGTGAGTGGGGAAGCAGCTTACACAGTGGGAATAGAACTAGATTCTTGGGTGCAGTCAAGACACAATTTTTAGAGTGACCTAGAAGTCATAGGCCTTACTGCATTGCTCAGTCAAAAACAAAATCCTAAAATCCTTTCTCAGCTGAAGCAAGTTTCTGTGTGAGAGGGAATGAGAGAGGTGGCATGAGTATGGCCTACATTCAAGCTTACCTGAGCAAGTGCTATCTGGGAGCACAAGCAAGCTCACATTCCACCCTACTCCACCTGGGAGAGGGACACACATGCTAATACGCAGAGCAGCCTTGAAGCAAGAAGACTCAGGATGAGTCAAGACCAGCCACAGTGAAAGTGTACTATTCCCAAAGGGATAAGAAAACTGAGTCTCAAGCTTGTAGGATGTCAGAGCTAAAAAAAGACTGTTAAAATAACCCTTCCTATCATTTCTGAAATGGAGATCAATGGTATGACACCTGGCTAAGAAACCACTGCTAGTGGCAAAGAAAAGACCAGACCTCCCAGTATCATATCCCTTCCCTATCTTCCCATAGCCCCTTACACAGTTGCGACTCTTCTTGAGAAAAACACTTCTGACAGTAAGACCATCTGTAAGACCACTACGCAGGTCTTAATGGGTAGCAACTATTGATAAAAGGTTGTGCACATAATGAGGAAAGTTATCTGGAATATCTAATTATGAAGTGCCTCACCATGCACTGTTTCTTAGCACATGGCTCCCACAATCCCCTGAACGTCCATCTCTTGCACCCAAGCGTCCAAGCAAATCCAGGCAAGCACTGACTGCCAGAACTTCTGCAGTGGAGACACCAATGAGGCAAAGCCTGTTGTTTCCTTTGATTCTGCATCAGAAATCAGAGTACTCACACAAAGATGTCATCCCGAGGCATGATGTGGTTTAAACCTTCATCCATTTGGAAAATTTTGTGGAACCGATGATTATACACATCTGTGACCACCATCTAAGAAACAATAACAAAGATTAAAGGATGAGTAAGAGTGCCCTACTAACCACTTAAAATCCAGGAACAAATGAAAATAGTGTGTTGCCGGCCTCGAGGCTCAAGGGGTTAAACACCACACTATGAAGCAATCCGCAGCCTCTGCAGCACTAGTTCGATCCCCAGCTGGCCAGGAAAAAACCCACATGGCAAGGCAAACCTCTCCTGTCTCACCTGCTGCACCCCTCAGGAGTGTATTTCAGTCAATCTGCCTGTTCTGTTCCCTACTCTGTCTCTAGTGGATCCTCTCACCCCCCACATCTCTGGCCTGTGTCCCAGCTCTCATATGCATAAATAAAAAAATCTTAAAAAAAAAAAAAAAAGAAAGAAAATAGTGTGTCGCTAAAGTGCTGGCCCCAGAGCTCAAGGAACATGTTCCAAGAGGGAGCAGCATGTTTGCCACCAGCAGAGAACAAATTGGTAACATCTCCCCAAAGTTCACAATGGGATCTGCTCTCAAGTGACAGGAAGAGTGAGGCGTGCCAACCAGAGATTGGTAGTCATCCAAAGCCTCTGGGGAAGTTCCTGTGGGACCAGAAGTCTCCACATCATGTCTAGCATATAGTAGAACAGCCTGGAAACAGCATAGGTCCAAGAGAGTAGTGAGGAGCAAGGGTACTGACCAGGAAGGAGTGGGGTTGGGAGGGGAGGGGATGGAGTGGAAGCATCCAGGAGGATGGGTCCTCATGCAAGGGGTAGTCTTCATTTTGCCCACTTCCACACAGGGCCAGGCCCAATAGCAAATTCAGCATGGGTAGTTGTTTCTAAATAAAGATTTCAACTAAGACCTTCTTCATGTCACTCACAGACTTTTGGAAATTAGGATAGAAAAGCACTTCCAGCTTTTCACATTACAGTAGAAGTGGTATAGGAAGAGGTGTAAAAGCTGAGGCACAGCCCTACTCCCGGTCCTCTGGCCATGTTAGTATGATTTTGACAGAGGAAAGACAGAGTTTTCCAGGCAAAAAGGGATGGTGTCAGCCACAGTGGGCACAGTGATCAAGGGCCAGGAAGGCTGGACAACCAGACCTAATCAGCAGGGTCTGCCAAAGTGGCTACAAGGTTGAAAATAAACTCCAAAGGACTATGAAGTGTCCCACTAGGTTAAGTGCCATTGACTACCCCGCCTTACATTTTCCGCAGCAATTCCAGACAGCCTGGAGAGAGCTTCGCACAGGTCAGACACGGCACCCATCAGTGGCACAATCACGCGGTACTGCAAAGGAGAGATGGGCAGAGTGACCAGGGTGCTCTGCAAAGGGTAGGAGATGAGTTGGGAAGAGCAGGAATTGTGGGAGACAGAAGTGGTCTTTCAGAGTCAGTGCATGATAAGGCTAGGGCTCAGATAAGTCGCTGGCAGAGCAAACTGGCAAATCTTTGTCAGCACCTGCCTCTCTATTTGGCGGTTACATAGGAGTTGGGCCATCTCTTTCCCTCCTAAAACAGTTTTACTTTATTCTTAACTTTCGGCAGTCCTGCACTAACCTCCTTTAAAAATTTGTTAAAATTGTACAAACTGCCACCAGTTCTACATGTCATCTTTCTTTAGATAGAAGAAACTAAAGTCAGAAGGCTAAGCAATACTGTCATGCAGTGAGTCATCAGCAGGGTTAAATACTAAGACATGCTGGTCACAGCTCTCATCTGGTCTTTTGTATTGGCCAGCTCTCCAAGCTGATTTAGGGGTGAATGTGACCAGAGAGAGTAACCTGCTTCTGGTTTTCCAATATTAAGATTCAAGGATCACTCCAGGTTATAACAGAGAAGGCTAAAAGGACCTTCATGATATGCCTTGAATGGCACAGATTACAAAAATGTCTGATGAAGTTCAAAGGCACAAACTCAGACAAGCCCACCAGAGGCAACTGACGGGCTTCCAATGCAGGAGATGGAAGTAGTCTCACTGTCCAGGTCTAGAGAGCAGTCACAGCAGGGGGTGCCATGAGGATGCCAATTCTCTTACCTGGGTAGGTCTGCAGCGAGGGTCAGCAGGAACCAGGAAAACTTCCATGACTCGGTCTTTCTTCAAGGGCAGTGGGAGAGTTAAATAGCAAAATGGGTCAAAGGTCACAGAAACCTTAGCACATTCTGGGCAAACCAAAGTAGACTTAAAGAGGCCATGGAACGTGTCCACAATCACAGAGTCATTCCTCAACCTGTGATTCTCCCAGGCTTCCTTTGCTACCACCTGAAAGAAAGGGGAAGGGATAAATAAGACATTCTCAATACCCCTGCATCCATTCACAGAAAAACCTGAGATGGACCTGAAGCAGTCTGTGCAGCCAAAAACTTGGTCCAGGCCAGCCAGGGCTAGGACTGCTCTTAGCATAACGTGGTACTCATAACCACGCCAATGCTACACACAACCCCACATTTAACAGCGTCTCTAAGATTTATGGAAAGCAAGGTGACTGTGTATCCTCTTATGAGAAATAGATGCCCTGAAACAGGGCACACAGACCACCTTGTGTGGTGTTTAAATGATTCAAAGTCCCTTCAGTGAGGTTTTAATCTACAGTGCAGTTCAGCTTTTCATTTAAGAGCTGTTATTTTAGGGGCCTCCCTGGTGGCACAGGGGTTAGGTGTTAAAGTCTCAGTGCTATGAAGCTATCACCAGCCACTGTGGCATGAGTTTGATCCCTGGCCAGGGAGCTGATCCACATGGCATAGCAGACCTCTCCTGTCTCGCCTGTTGCTCCCCTCAGCAATATATCTCAGTAGATCCATCTGTTCTGCTCTCCACTCTGTCTCTGGTGAATCCTCTCATCTCCTGCACCTCTGGCCTAGACCCCATTTCTTGGATACATAAATAAAAATAGATCTAAAAAAAAAAAATCTTGTTATTTTGAAGTGTTCATATTGATCTCTGATCTCCCCAACATGACAGGGTAAGTTAAACACTAATTTCTCCTTTCATAGGTCAGAATAATATTAATAACAAGCTGTTTTAATACACAGATGAATTTTAATGAAAGCCCAAGGGCCCACACTACAGGCACTTTACAGTTTTCAGTGTCCTAGTCTCTGGTTCACCAATTAAATTTATAATAAGCAAACTGACTCTAACTTTGAGAAGCCCAAGAGGAGCATAAGGCGCAGCCAGAGCTTGCTTTTTCTGACCTAGAATACATTTCTTTACCATAGTCCACATCTATATCACCAAAAACAGGGCAAGGCAACTAGGGTCTTGGCACCAATATTTCAAAAGCAGAAAGATGTCCCTGCAACTCTCAACAGGAGGCAGCTTCTTTAGAGTACTGCTATTCAGAAATCTTCAATATCATACCGCATCTGGTCGCCCATTGGCATCCTTCAGCTCCAGGTAGGGTTTCTTCTTCACTCTGTTCAGATCTTCATGTAGTCCATCTAGAAGAAAGGCTAACAGCTCCTGAGAGTCTTGTTGCTGGTAGCCAGAAAACTGAGGGGCGAAACGTCCCACTTGGGTCTACAACAAAAGCAATGACATAAAATATAAAGAATCAATGCAGTCAGACAGGAAACAGCCAGGAAAAATAGCTTTTCACAACCAGCTGGGACAGCAAAGAACTCTACGGTAGCAATGGCCAAGAGTAACTCCTCAAGGGACTAAAGGATGCCAGTAGTTCTCACCACAGAGAAGGCCCAGATCAGAAAGTCAATGACTGACCTAGAACCTGGGTCACTACCCTAAGAGAAGAGTGAAGAGTGATATCTCAGAAAAATCATGCCTCTTAAATACTGGCATGACTCCCTCTCTAACTTCCTTCTTTGGTTCAATCTCTATAAGAACTTTACAAATGTTACCTGCATAAGTCAGAGGAATCCTCCTGATACAAAAAGCCCTCGTATTCCTAGAACCCTCTACACCGGTGACCCTCAGAATGAGGTCCCCAACTAGTGGGAACAGCATCACCTGGGAGTTTATTTTTTTTTAAGATTTATTTATTTACTTATACAAGCACTGGGTATAGTCAGAAGTGCGGGAGGGTGAGAGAACCCACCAGAGCCAGAGTGGGGAACAGAACAGGCAGACTGACGAAGTATACTGCTGAGGGGAGCAGCGGGCAGCAGGAGAGGTCTGCACACCATGTGGGACCGTCGCCTGGTGGCCGAGGATCGAACCGACACTGCAGAGGCTGCGGGCAGCTTTGCAACCCAGCTCTCAACCGCCACCGGTGAGGCCCTCACCTGGGAGTTTATTAGAAAAGCACACTCTTGGGCCCCACCCCAGATCTATACAATCAGAAATTCTGGGGATGGATCCAACAGTCTGTTTTAACAAGTCCTCCTAGAGACTCTGATGCATTGCAAGGTTAGAGACCCACTGCTCTACACCTATGCTCTCCAATACCATAGCCACTAACAACATGTGGCTATTCTTATTTAAATTAAAATAAAAAATAAAAATTTAGTTCCTTGTTCACACTAACCACATTCCAAGTGACTAGCAACTATCACACCAGAAAAGGCAGAGACCATGTACATCACTGAAGAGACTCTATACTATATTCTCTAAATACTTTTTGCCAATTAGCTTGAACACTATGTCCTGTCACCAATTCTAGTCTTTCTATGATCTAATATGTAAATAGGAATTTACATATATTTCTCATAGGCAAATATGACTAAAGAATCAGGTTTTAATTTCAATAAACCATCTAGGGCTTAATTTTCTCATTGAGTTTGAGTACTTTTTTCCCCCCTCATTGAATAAAAAATATGCATATCTTTCCTATAATGGGCTTCATGAAAATTCCATGAACCCCAGGTGGTGCAGGCTCAACAGGATTTCTCAGATTTCAACATACTGAGGAAAGGCCCTCCCCCCTCAGCAGGAGAAAACATTTAGGGTTAAGGGTAAGGGGAAAGCTGAGTTGCTCCAATTATCTACTGCAGTTCATCCTTCTCCTGTTCAATCTTTCCAGTTAATAGACTCCAAGTGAGAACTGTCCCTCACATGACTTCCCAAGAATATGAACCTGATTCCTAACTTAGAGGGCCCAACTCAAACCACAGGTGGTATTGGTTCCAGGCTAAGAAAACCTGGGACTATCCTGCAGATGTCACTGGAGTTTAAATCAAATCTTGATGGTCTGGTTTAGGATAGTGAGCACTGCCACCACCTTTCTGAGCAACCAGCTTACAAATGTACTCTGAAATATCTCTAGCCTAGAGGTGGGGACTAAGGACTTTTTTTTAAAGATTTATTTTATTTATTTATGCATGCAAAAGCTGAGCGTATAGGCCAGAGTTGTGGGAGGTGAGAGGATTCACCAGAGATAGAGTGGGGAGCAGAATAGGCAGACTGACTGAAATATACTGCTGAGGGGAGCAGCAGGCAAGACAGAAGATGTCTGCTGCACCATGTGGGTTAGCTCCCTGGCCGGGAATCGAACTCGTGCTGCAGAGGTTGCAAATAGCTTCCACAGTGCTGAGACTTAACCCCTTGAGCTACCAGTGAGTCCCCCTAAGGACATTTTAAGATAAGTGGGTGCTGAATGACTAGACAATAGAAAAGAAGCATCTGATTCATCATGTGGTGCTTTTAGTCTCAGATCCTATCTTAATCCCAAAATACAGGTAAAGGAATTCCTCATTACAACATTAAACCATTCTCCCTAAAACAGGGAAAAGGAGAATATATTATAAACCTACTTTGAACATTCGAGGTGCCACATGAGCATCCCTTCCAGACCACATCTGCTTAATGAGTTCTGCATAGGCCTCCGCAATTTCCCCTTTCATTCCCAGTGGGTTGTCTCTGTTGATTTCGACCTCATACTCATCTTTGAGAAAGTAGTCAGTCAGCGGTGCAGTGTTGCTCAAGCACTGAAAGAGAACATGATCAGAACTCACACCCCTTCTGGGGAGCACACAGATACAAGATACACCAAGTTCTAAAGGACCAATGAGTGTCAGCTCCAACAAAATGAAGTGCTCAGAAGATTCTTCAACTGGCTCAAAACAGCAAAGCACAGTCTCCCAGAAGTCCAACTGATGGCCTACCTAGTGGGTAACCTCCCAGGGGTATGGTCTTTGAAGAATTCATACTCAACACCTAAGACACCCCAGGAAGATTACAAAGCTTACACTAAAACCTGTGTGTCACCGCCCACCCCTCCCGGCTGCCCAGGTACCTCACAAGCAACTGATTTTCAAGTCAGTAGACGATATTAAGTTTTTTTTTTTTTTTTTTTTTTAAATAGAGGCATGTTTTTTATTTATTTATTTATTTGTTTGTTTGTTTTGTTTACACATGCACTGGGTACAGTCAGAAGCACGGGAGGGTGAGAGAATTCACCAGAGCCAGAGCGGGGAGCAGAGCAGGCAGAGGGACCGAAGTACACTGCTGAGGGGAGCAGAGGGCGGCAGGAGAGGTCTGCGCGCCATGTGGGACCCTCCTCAGGTGGTCGGGGAGCAGCCGGGGATCGAACCAGCGCCGCAGAGGCTGCTGGCAGCTTCGCAACCCAGCGCTCAACCGCTGCACCACCGGGGAGGCCCTAGACGATATTAAGTTTTAAGATTAAAATTTCTTATTCAAAGTGACTGGAACATTCCACTGTTTCATGAGAAGAGTAAAATATAAAGTGAAGAATAAATGTTTTACTAGAGTCAAAACTCTATGGGGGGGGCGGGGAAATCAGGATATTAGATAGTACAGAACCCAATAAACAATATTGTTGTACATGTACATATTAATTTTAACTTTCCAAATTAAAAAATGAAGGTAGATGCTGAACTTCATCAAATAATTTTCCTAAACCTATTGATAGGATCATATGGTTTCCTTCTTTATTCTGCTACTATGTTAAATGACAATGAATAATTCTTCAGGTGTTAAACCAACATAGTTCTCCTGGAACAAACTCCACTTGCCTGTACGGTAATTATTTTATTTAGACATCACTGAATTTGATTTGCTCAACTTTTGTTTATGGAACAGTATCTATCTATTGTATGAGATAACATGGTCTAAAAACTGCCCTTTAAAATGTTCCTTGTCAGAGTTTTGTATCAGAATATGCCACATTATACCAGAGTATATAAAATGATGTTTGGAATTGTACCTCTTCTACTCCTGGGAGAGTATATATGGTTGGTATCACTTCTGCCTAAAGCTCTGTATACATTCACCAATAAAGTCATCCAAAACAAGGATTTTCTCTGTTGTAAGGCTTTCTTTAACAAATACAGGGATATTCAGATTTTCTATTTCTTCTTGTGCAAGTTTAACAAATTGTCCATTTCATCTAAACTGTCTAATTTAATGGCATAAAGTTGTTCTTAGTCCCTAAAAATCAGTTTAATGCCTGTAGGATCTATAGTAATGTTTCTTATTCCATTTCTGGTATAATGATTTGTATTTTCTCTTTTTTCTTCCCAAAGGTTTATCAGTCTTCCTAAAGGTTTATCAATTTTTATTTGTTTTCTTACAAAGTATCAAATTTGTCTATACTATAAATGTACTTTGTATTTCATTAATTTCTGTTATTTCAGTTACTTCCCTTCTTCTATTTCCTTTGGATTTTATCTTTTCCCAGCATCATGAGCTAGAAGCGTAGATCATGAAATTTTTTATTTTCATCTGATATTTATAGCTAGAGCTATAAACCTCCTCATTATTATTATCCTCTTTCAATAGTTCAGAAAAATTGATGATACAAAGAGATTTAAGAAAACATGCCCACGTGAAGTCAAATCTCAAGTCTTTTTTCTTCAGTACTGGGGCTTATTCCCACCTCACCACAGAATAGTTAACTAATCTTTTAACAAACCATCTTATCTTTTCCCTGGTAATCCAACAAAGGTCAAAGTTAGACTGTAAGACTTGTGAGGACAAAAACTGTATTTGATTTGTTCACCACTGAATCCCCAGGTAGAGTAATTGGTTTCTGGGAAGTATTCTGTTGACCCATAGAGTATTTTCCTTGGTAGGAGTATCTTTGTTCACCAGGTCAGAGGGCAGGGTGGAGGGAAGGGACTTTAGGCTCTGATATTGTGATTTAGGGTGACAACTAGACATTCCAGAAAGACCAATAATATGACAGTGTGAGATTTGGGGTCAGATGATATCAGTCCACTGTGAGACTGAATTTAACCATCTGGGCAATCACCAATCATGCCTAGGCAATAAAGCACCGATAAAATTCTGGACACTAAAGCTCGGGTGAGTTTTCAGAGCTGGCAACACTCCATGCCTACACAGTGTTAATTAGATGGACAATCTCCCCCTACCTGCAAAGCGGAGTTCATGAAGCAGGTGTTTCCCAGGTTTCCAAGTCCACAGAGCCCAGGTTGTATATGAGATGATGGGGTTTCCTGATAGTTATATGAAGCAGAGAAGCCAGATCCACTGGAAAACACAATCCACATCAGAAATAAATGTGAGTTCTGTACACATGCTCTGAGAATGCCTTCTGGGGTTCCTCTAGGGCCTGATAATAATGCCATGATACAAGTTCTCTCTACTTCCCTCTCTAGTATCCTGCCATACCCCAGCCTTAACCCTACCCTGGACTTAACAAGATAGTGGGTGTTTAAGCATATCCTTAGGGAGAAAAAAGTTATTCTCCATTTTCAGACTTTGGAAATGGTGATTTTGTATCCCTTCAGAAGGTTAACTACCAGGTAACTTCAGGGAGTAATACTCTGGTTACCAAGATCAAGAGCTTACACCTGCCACCATCCACAAGGCCACGCTCAGTCTTGACTATGCCTGAGTGTTCATGCGTACCTTCTCTCTCGCCTTACCCTCCTCTTCCACACTGTCTATGCTGTGTGGCAGGTATTCTTGAAAACAAAGGATCACAGCCATCGAGAAAGGGACCAAGCAGGACTCTCCCACAGCTGAGAATCATCCCCTCATAGCTACTCTGTCATATGGCTAGCCCTTCCCTTCACAGACAAATGCAGTGATCCCCTATGCCCACCAGTGACTTAGGCTGTGAAGAAAACACCAGCTCTCAGGAGTACAAGTAACGTAAGTCAGAACTAGGAAACACACTTTATTGTGGGTATAAACTGGAGTGAATAACTCATGCAGCACATTCCCCTGGGAAATTCTAATCCCACTAGGCTTAGTGTAGCAGTAGAGCAGCAATCCAGGTACAGTCTGGCCAAGGAATCAGAAGGAAGGGAAGCAAAGTGAAAGGACCTGCTCTTACCCCCTGCTGACACCGGAACTGTGCATCCCAGAGGTGTTAGTGCTATCACCATTTGCAATGGGAGAGGCAGACACTGAGGAATAGGGACTTGCTGATGATTTTGGAGAGGTAGTAAAATTTCTGCTAGGCGCAGTGCTTGATCTGAGAGAGAGAAGCAGAAACAATGCTACTGACTTTTTGCAAAAAGCAAGCCCTATTTAATGCCTTAGGTCTCTTCTCAAGAAATAGTCTCCATATGCACTTACTTTAAATAAATTGCAAAAAGACTATTTTCATGGTACTTACAGATAAATTTTATGTAAGTCAAGAAATTAATTGGTCTTCCTATCTCGTTAATCAACATGGTCATCTACTGAATCTTTCAGTAGGAAAAACCACAAAGATTGATCTTCAGGGCATCCCGATTTGATCTGTAAATCATAAACTTCCCTGAATTTTAACAGTTACCAGTGAAAGACCCAGAAAAGTGGCATGAAGGGATCAATTTCCTCCAAAATAATTAACCCAACTTAAAACAGTTGGCTACAAGTATACTTCCAGTTCTAGAATGTAGACAATGTATTACCAAACATCTTTTTTAGAAATGTTTTTAAAGAAACTTCGATGTGAGATTTTATATCTTTGATTAGTGGTTTAACCCACCTACCGTTATTCTAATTACTTTTAGAGCTGCACTTAATTCAGCCTCCTTATTTCATGTTTTCTAATGACCATACTTCTCAGTTCTTGCCCATGTTTCTTGCATTCCACTGAATTTTCCTTTTTCAGGTTTCTGAGTTGCCTCCTACGATACTGTGATTCACAGTAAGAAATACTTATTTTGATCTTGTCCATGCTCCTGGTACGTAAAACTTATGTAATTTCCTAAGTGGTAAGAGTACTGGGTGCATCTTGTTATGTTTGGTCTTTGGTTCCTGAAATAGCTCCAAAGTGATCACAGTGAAAGGAGAGTCTGGGGGTTGGCTACCAGGAGAACCAAAGATGTGATTAGAGGGTTAACATTTTCAGCCCCATCCATACCCAATCCCACCTCTGGGGAGAGGAGAGAGGCTGGAGATTGAGTTCAGTTACCAATCACCAAGTGATTTAATGAGTCATGCCTACACACTGAAGCCTCCACAAAAACCCTGAAATATGGGGTTTGGATGAATTTCCAAGTTGGTGAACAGTAGAAGTTTTAGAAAGGCAGCACACTTGAAAAGGACATGAAAGCTCCTTGCCCTTCCCCTATACTTGCTTGCTGCAAGTTTTCCACCTTGCTTTTCTGACCTACAACCTTTCATAAGAAACTTATCTAATCAGTAAACTCTTCCTGAGTTCTGTGAACTATTATAGCAAATTAACAAGCCTAAGGAAGGGATCATGGGAACCCATGATTTATAGCTGATCATCAGAAGCACAAGCAATAACCAGATTTGTGACTGGCACCTAACAGGGGGCAGTTTTGTGGGACTGAGTCCTTAATGTGTGGGATCTGATGCTATCTCTCAGGTAGAACTGAGTGAAATTGGAGAACACCCAGCTAGAGTCAGAGAATTAGGCAGTATGGGAAAAGTCCTGACACATTAATAAAGAAGATGTATTGATAAAGAAGGGTTTCTCTTTTCACCTCTCAATGGCTATTCTGACCCCCCTGTTTATAGCTGGATACCTTGCAACCGTGTTAAAAGGTTTTTCCCAGCCTCCCTTGAAGAAAGATAGGTTTAAAAAAAGAGGCTTTCTGGGCCTCCTTGGTGGCGCAGTGGTTGAGCGATGGGTTGCGAAGCTGCCCGCAGCCTCTGCAGCACCAGTTCCATCCCGGGCTGCTCCCGGGCCACCGCAGGAGGGTCCCACATGGTGCGCAGACCTCTCCTGCCGCCCGCTGCTCCCCTCAGCAGTGTACTTCAGTCCTTCTGCCTCTCTGCTCCCGGCTCTGGCTCTGGTGAATTCTCTCACCCTCCCAGGCTTCTGACTGTACCCGGTGCTTGTATAAATAAATACATACATACATACATACATACATACATACATAAAAAATATTGGGGAAAAAAAAAAAAAGGCTTTCTGAGAAACTTCCTAAAAAGGAAGAGGCATGTCCTTCCTGCTTTCTCCTCCTAGCTACTTAAAAGCAGGTATACTTCTAGCTTCAGCTCCAGCAATCATCCAAAACCAAGAGGTAACCACATTTGAAATAGAGCCACCGGGGCCTCCCTGGTGGTGCCGGGATTAAAGTCTCAGTGATATCAAGCTATCTGCCGTATGAGTTTGATCCACAGCCAGGGAGGCTCAGCAGACCTTTCCAGTCTCACCTGCTGCACCCCTCAGCAGTGTATTTCAGTGGATCTGCCTGTTCTGCTCCCCACTCTGTCTCTGGTAAATCCTCTCACCCACCTACCCCTTCCCCAACACCAATAGCCTACACCCCAGTTCTTGTATGCATAAGTAAATAAATAATACCTTTAAAAAAAAAAGAAAGAAATAGAAGCCACATACATCAGGGAAATAGGACAGAGCAGCTGGGTTTCTAATAATACCAGCACTGGAGTGCCCACCTCAGAAATTCTTTTTAGAAAGATATAAACATCTGTCTTATTTAACATACTGATTTTAAGGTCTTTCTTAATTGCTACCATACCTTCCTAACTGATGCAACATGTTTCAAAGTTAGAAATTCCATTTTTATATTTCCAGTACTCCATTTACTTATTAGTATCTATAATTACTTTTATTTTCCTCCATCAATTACTTAAACTTTCATCTATCTACATTTCCCTGTTAAAAAAGAAACAGGTCTCAAATGGAGTCATTTATGCCAAGCCCCACCAAGACTTAAAACCTAATCTTACTAGTTTCTCTCTTAAAAGTAGAATTTTAAAGCAATCAATACTGGAATTTCCTGCTCCATTCTAGTCAGATAACCTGTATAAGACCCTTCTTCCTTTCCCTAAGAGAACATATCTTTGCCTGAAATTTCTTTTAATAGCTTTGTCCCTTTCTATATTAAAACCTTCCACTGCACAACTCCCCAATGTGCCTTCCTACTTGCTAGATGGACTGTGCATGAAGAGTTGAATAAAGCCAATAAGATCTTCAAATTTATTTGGATGAATTTTTTTTAAGTATTTGTTTTTGTATTTGATGTACAAAGAGCTAGCTGCTTCTGCTGTAAGGTAGGTATTTTGAATGACCAATTCAAGGAAGTTCACTTAGTCCAAATTAATGAAGCTTACTTCATTAACATCCTTTGGTTTAACAGAAACAATGGCAGCAGATATCAAGGCCATATCTTTCAGACTGGACAGCACCAATTTGAACAATGTGGTTCAAATTGTGGAATTTTTTGGATGGCTCCAGCTGCTGGCGACTCATCTTGCTTTTTCAGAGGCAGTGAGATAAAAAGATGAATTTTATTTTCTAATATCCCCAAGAGAAGTAGTTCAGGCAGGGCATTCTCATCTCTCTCTGCTCTTTATTGCTTCCTGTCTCTTCATCTGTCTTTCATATTGGGATTACCCAGAACTTATTTCTGGGACTGTTATTGACATTGGTTGTTTTCTTAAACCTTCTTATTATTTCTAAACTTTTTGTTGAAGTATTACATAGGGAAATACAAAAAACATGAGTACAAAAATCAAAGAATTTTCACTAAGTGAACATATCTATGTAACCAAAACCAGTATCAAGAAAGAGGACAACCCCACTCCAGGTGTCCTCCTCAATACCCCTTCAGCTAACCATTATCATGACACCGAGCCCCCACAGATTAGTTCACCCATCCTTAAGCTTTATATCATAAGGATCAGATAGTATGCCCTGCTTTGTGTCTGACTGCTTTCATTCAACATTATTAAAAGACTTAATGTTGCAGCTGTATAAAATTCCATAGTGTGCATACAACCACAATTTATCTATCCACTCTATTATTGTTGGTGGTCACTTGAATTAGCTCGTTTCTAAGAATGAAAAGCAGTGCTGTAGTGAACATCTCTGAACATATGTCAGAAAGAACATGGGCTGTATGTCTATGTGTGGATTGCTGAGTTGCAGAATATGACTAAAATTCTTCATTTAGTACTTGTTGCCAAATCTTCTAAAATCACTGTATCAATTTATATCCACCATCAGCAGGGTACAATAATTCAGGCTACCCCACACCTCAAAAATACTTAGTCATTCTGGTAGGTGTGTAGAAGCCCTACATTGTGATTTAATATACCATTGCTGGAAGACTGTGAGGTTCAGCACCTTGGCATATGCTCACTAGTCATCTGAGGAGTCTCTTTTTGTGAAGTGGCAACCAAAAAGATTTTTTGTCCCCTTTTCTCATAGGGTTGTCTGACTCTTATTGACTTACAGGGATACCTGTGAAATTATGAATATAAGTAATCTGTCAGACACATGTATTGCATATATCTTTTCTTACTCTGCCTTGCCATTTTTACTCTTTGATAAACACAAGGCCTTAACTTAGAAGTTACCAGTTCTATCCATTTCCTCTTTTATGGTTTGCAGAGATGTCTCTTATGTAAGAAATCTTTGCTTGCTAGGCCTCCCTGGAGGCGCAAGGGGTTAAGTCTCAGCACTATGAAGCTATCTGCAACCACTGCAGCACGAGTTCTATCCCCAGCTATGGAGCCAACCCACATGTCGCAACAGACCTTTCCTATTTCACCCACTGCTCCCCTCAGCAGTGCATTTCAGTCAATCTGCCTGTTCTGTTCCCCACTCTGTCTCCTCTCAACACCCACACCTCTGGTCTGCACCCCAGCTCTTGTATGCATAAATAAATAAAATAAATCTTTAAAAAAAGAGAGAAATATCTGCTTACTGCAAAGTCATTGCTTTTCTGGTCAACAGGATACTTGTAGTTGTGAACTCTCCCTCACACCTTACAGATATTACTGCCAATGGACTATCTAACAGTACTTCTACTGTGAGGTTTTTGAAAAGGAGTTCTGCGCGGAAAATGCTCTAACTTCATCTACCTCGGAGAATGAAGATGTATCTTATCTTCACATTTAACTAACAGGTCAGCAGGATATAAACTCCAGATTTAAATTTATTTTACTTTGACACTGAACAGGGACCTCTTGAATTCATTGTTGCTGTTGAGAAGTTTGATATTTACCTGCTTCTTATTTCATTGTAATTTCCTCCAAAAAGATCTGGAATTTTCTCTAAATGTATTGTTAAATTTGACTCTAATGGATCTAGAAGTGAATTATCTTTACTCTGTCATGTATACCATTTTTTAAATTTAAGATTGTTCCTCTTTTAGGATTTCTAAGAAATTCTTGGTCATTTTCTTCCCCTTCCCTTCATAATTTCCTTTCTGCTTCTTGAGATTCCTGTTATGTTGACAATGACAGTTCTACTACCATCTCCACAGCATCTTTCTTCTATAATCTTCCATTAAATCATCTCTTCATAAGGCCTAGTAGAATGCTTCCAACCGGCCTTCCAATTTGTTCATTCAATCTTCAATTACAATAGCTTCTCGGCCATTTGGCTAAGATGAGCTGCAGTCTTCAACTACATTCATTATGCTATTAGACCTACCCCTAAATTCTTTGTTCCTAAATCTGTCTTCCTGTTCCCATTTCCTCCTTTTTGTGAGGATATTCATTATTCTTATTCCATCCTCTTTATGTAGCTGGGAACATAAATTTCATTCCAATTAGCACAGTCTGTCAACTTGTGATTTTCCTTTTATCCCCAACTAGACCTGTCAGCGTCTTCGTTATGGTTTCCCATTGTTTGTGGAGTGAAATCACTCTTTCTCCTCTACTCACTGCACCCATTCCAACAAATTATCTCACCTGGAGAAAAAGCTAGAATCCAGAGTCTCACAAGGACCACAGGTAACCTGTGACCTCCTCCACCCCTCGTCGATCCTCCTAGCTCCAGCAACAAGTTCCTGCTGGTCTTCAAATAGTCCCACTTTTGCCTTAGGAGTTATACAGCTGTTGTCACCTCTGCCTTACAATACTATTCTCCACTAAGCATCACATTCATTGCTGATTCTCTCATCTCTTTCATAACCGCGTTCCAATGACATCTCATTGGGACCACCCCTCATCCTGGTTAAATGTGTCCCTTCCCAAAGTCTAGTACTCACTGATTCTCTTTAGGTTTTCCCCCTGAGTACATAAAAGTCATCAGACATGTGTGTTTTCTTATTTATTTCCTGCTCCCTGAGAGAGGCTTGGCTTTGTTAAGTGCTATATCCTCAGATCTAGAACAGTGTTTGGCATCACTGGGAAGTGGAGGAGGAATATGCTTTAGGAATTCCACACTGGGCAACCTAGCCATTAGCTACCCTTTACCAGGGACTATCAATGAGACGCTGCTCTTTTCCAAAAAATGCCTCCCATCACTAGACTCTCTCAGGCCTCAGGGTGTAGAAATGATGGGGAAAAGCAATTCTGGGAAAAGAAAAAAGGCAAAACTAAAACAGTCCCTCTTGCCCAAAACACTCAGCCTCTTTTCTCTGAGCTGCCAACCCTACCTCACAGACTGAAATCCAACCACCTCTGTCTCTCCAAGGGGTTCTCAGTTTTTATGCTATTTTCTCTCAGTTCTGAGGCATTTCCAATTCCAAGAAAGAAGGTAGCAACTTGGGTTGTAGATTTGTGTCAGCAGCAACTGACTTAAATTACAACACACTTAACAGCTTTAAACAACACAAATTTATTATCTTGGGCCCCAGAATGAGTTTTGAAGATCAGAAAACTGAACTGATTTTCAATGAGCTAAAATCAAGATGTGGGCAGAGCTGTGTTTCTTTGCAGAGATTCTAGAGACTTCAAAGAGCCTGTCCCCATCTCCTGGCTCACGGCCAAGTGAGTCCTTCTCACATTTCATCACTGATTCTGCTTTCGTGCCACACCTCTTCTGACTCTCCTCTCTCCCTCTTTAATTTCTAAGAACCCTGTGATTACAGTGTGCTGACCCAGATAATCTATGATAACCTTCCCATCTCAAGATTCTTAATCACATCTGCAAATTCCCTTTGTCATGTTACCTACATATTCGCAGGTTCTGGAGATTAGGATGTCCACATCCAATGTGGGGGAGGGGTGGGAAAATGTTATTCTGCCTACCACAGCTAATTTTGTCATCTTGTCAGAAAAATGGTGATTCAAGATTTCTTAAACTAGAGTCCATGGCTAGGCTTCAGGGTATCTAAAAAAAACCCTTGAGCTTGTTAGGAAAATGTTGTGTCTTCTTGCATATTTGTCAAGAGTTCATAGCTTTCATGATTCTCAAAGGAGCTACAAGCCCATCACTAGAAAGAGTCTCTCCAAGACCTAACTGAGGGAAGAGATCAAAGACCAAAGCTCTCCTCATAACTGTGAGAACAGACACACTTTCCCCATCTGAAACCCTAAGAAAAAATTCATCACTTCTTTCTCTCTCCTTTTCAGGCATGCACAATTTCATGCCCCACATGAACACTTCCTGAGACAGAGACCAAGAACCCATGTTTAGTAGCAAAATAATTCCACCAGCAAGCTCCAAGGCAACAATGAGTAACAGGCCACTGGGTGATCAAACTATTCCCATTAAGTCATACAAGATGCCATGCCTGAACCCTCTTCTTTATATCAAAGCCTCTCACTATAGGTAGTGAGAAAATAAATGCCCTTGACAGAACAAGGCTACCTCTTAGGAAAGCAGCACTCCCAGGCCCCAGGCCCTTCTCTTCCTTTTCTCTTTTAACAAGGAGCATCTCACCACCTTGTTCACAAATCCTGACAGGTTTCCCTTTAATAGCTGCCCAGCAAGATGCTTACCAAAGACCAGGATCACACCCTTGATATAAACTCAAATGTGTTTTTTTCATCTGATTCAGAAATATTTTTCTTAGCACAAGTAACTGCTTTAGGAAAGAGTATCTCTCTTACACCTGTGTACCCAGCCACAAGGGAGAAAAAGAAAAAATTCACTTACTTTGACTGCAGAGTCTGCCGTGGCCATGTGCCATCCTCATTCTGGGGCTCAATTACTAGCACCTGTATGAAAGGGGAAACCAAAAGAATGAGCAAATCACCTCACTGCTGCTAAAAAGTTATCTGGCCATAAACCCTGGTGTCAGTTAAGGCATGGCTGGGTCCTCCTACCTGTCCCTGGTATAGCCCAGCATCTTGGACAGTGTTGTCGAGCTTGCTCAACTGCTCATAGGTGTTGCTCATGTATTTGTTCCATAGACGTGTTTCGCGTTCAGCAGGGATATTGAATAACTTCCGCATCTCCTTTTCAATGGTTGCTGAGGATAGGCAAAAACACCACTCAGGGCTTTTTCCAGATGCAAGACTAAAGCCAGTTATACAAGCTAATGCTCATCTTCCTTCTTCTCAGATGTTTACAGGATGCCTTGGATCAAAAGTGCTGACTGACCTCAGCCCCCTGGTGAGTCTTAAGACCAAACACCTTCTAGGGGCTATCACTTGTGTTCATATAGCTTCCCAGATACTGCCCCATGCATATCTTTCTTTGACAACAGGGGTCCCATTTATAGTACAGAAGCAACATGGAAAGCTGAGAAAACTTATCTTTGGAATTAAGACAGATCTAGTTTCAAATACTAGCTCTGCCACTTTCTAAGATTTTTTTTAGTAAAATAATTTAATCTCACTGAATCTGCATTTCTTTAACTGTAGTATCGTGTATCAAATGGGCAAGAACAATGCCTGATTTTCTGAAGAATGTGATTCCTAGACTTACTTCTCCATGAGAATCCCCTGGGGAGCAGGCTTCTAGATCAGTACCGGTAACCATACCCCAAGATTATCTAGATATCAAGTCTGAAGAGAGCACCCCTGCTTCTCTCCAATCAGCTTTACCGATCTCACCAGATACATGGAACCCCAAGTCTAGCTACTCACCGATGGTATCTGCCTTGCTGAAATGGCAACTCAAAACATTGGTGGGATCACTATTCTCACAGAGCTTCAGTTCCAGCAAATACACCTCTACCTTGCAGTGCTTGACAAACAGGCCATGCTCCACAACCTATCAGAAAGAGACAGGGTAAGTGCTTTCACATCTGGGTTGTCCTGGAAGCATTATCATCAGTGGTAAAAGGCAGAACCCACATGATAAATTGATTCCCTAAGTGACCATGGGATCAGAAGCAGATTTTTAAAGCAACCAGCAATCTGTTCTAAGAGTTTAAAAGTCTTTTTTCCACTTACTAGTACCAACCAAGAGCACCTTGATGGAAACAGAGGCAGCAACAATACTGCACAACAGTGCAGTAAGTGGGGATCATGAGACTCTCTTACAGAGTTTGTTAGATGACTAAAGAATATAGCTAAATCCCTTGGCAGAACACTCACTACATGGCAGTCCTGTGGGCATGAGGAGGTTGGTGTGCCTCTAACCTGTTGATCACTAACCCACCTCAGGGTCCTAGGTTTCATGCTGGAAAAAGGAAAAAGTCCTTCTGGCCCTGAATAGTGATTCTTAGAAGCATGGTCTCAGGATGGCAGCTCTTTCCTACTCCATAACAGGCAGAAAGAGAAATTTACTCAATGTCTAAATATACACAGGCATGAGAACGCCTATGATTTTCCCTCTGGCATGACAAGCACTTTGAGGGGTCAGGTGGCGATCTCCTGAGTCTTATTTACCAGCGGGGTTAACAATATGAGTTACTCTCCCAAGCCCTACTGCCCCTCAAGAAGCTAATCTTCTCTGGGTTATAAATGTATGCTTTTGGAGTCACTCAATGATGTCGTTGAAGACTCTTAAGCAGAGGAGAAAAGGCAGTATCAGAAAGGTTGCAAGATAAATAAGAACAGTGGTAATACCTAACATCCAAATTCTAATTAAAAACAAATAAATAAAAAGAATATATAAGTAACATGTTACTGTATGTCCACAGAACCCCAAGTGAACTTTCTCTCATAGAGCCTTCCAGACAATGCTCTCACAGCACTGCTGGACACATCCCAAACCAATGGGCAGCTCTCATGGTTGGAAGCCACTCACTGTAACAAAAGAGGTGAACAGCCTCACCACCACCACTCAGAACCAAAACTCTCTAAAGATAAGCAGAAATGAGTCTTCCAATACCTCCATTCAAACATTAAAGTTTGCTTGGTACCTCCAGAAAACCAACATCAGCCAGTGTCCCTCAAGGGAAACCTGCAAACACTGACTAGCAGGTGACAATTCATGCACTCACTTTTCTGACGATGGGCTGCTGGCCTTCTACACAGCCATACCAATTTAGTAACTTGTTCCAGGCCTCAGTTGGGACCAATACATAGTCCATTTCATCAATTAAATGTTCTTTCAAGGTCTGACTCTCAGGATCTGAAAAAGGAAAACAGTATGTAACTCATTGTACTTCAGATATCTTTGTCTTATAAGGTTCTTATGTATTTTTTTAGAAGTATTTAGTGCCTCCCCTGGTGGCACAGCGGTTGAGTGCTGGGGTGCGAGGCTGCCTGCTGGGACTGCAGTGCAGGTTCGTTCCCCGCCCACTGGCGAGGGTCCCACAAAAAAAAAAAAAAAAAAAAAAAAAGAAAAGAAAGAAGTATTTAAGGAAATAGGAACAAAATTCTGTCACTAGCCACAATACAGAGCAGCTCTGACTACTCTTTTCCTAAAAATTTAGCCATGTTTTCTCAATATATTATGGGGAACTTGCATTTCCTCTGTAACTGGAAGGAGAAAGGAACATGAAAGAAAAAAGTTGCAATTTACATTTTCAAAGTGCTTCCAGATTCCATACTCAAACTTCCCCAGTTTACACTCCCATCCCCTTCAGGTCTTGTGCCCTTCTTCAGGATGGGTCTTGAGTCTGATGCACCTCTGCCCTTTTCATTTCCAAGGAAAAAGGAAATGAATTAAACAGTCTTGGAAAATACCGAGATGAATGAGTAGATGAACAAAATGTGGAAGGTCAATAGAGTCTGAAAAAGGAGATAAATTCTAATACATGCTATAACATGGATGAGCCTTGAAGACATTTTACTAAATAAAAAAGCTGGTCACAAAAAGACATTCTATGATTCCATTTACATGCGGTCCCTAGCATAGTCAAATTCAGAGACAGAAAACAGAATGGTGATTGCTAGAGGGCTTGGGGAAAGGAACACTGGGTATGAGTTTCAGTTTTACAAAATGAAAGAGTTCTGGAAGTTGGTTACAACATAATACTACTGAACTTAAAAATGATTAAGATAGTATATTTTATGCACATTTTACAAAAATTAAAAATAAAATGGAGTTTTCTCACTGATAAGCAAACTATCTTCCACAGCAGTTCTGACATAATATTGATCAATTATATTATATCAAGGTGAAGTCTTTTCTGTTTAGCTACAGGAGGATGGTACAGAGGTAGTAGTTATCAGACTGCCTGAGACAAAAGGTTCAAAAAAAGCTGAACCCTGAATGCCAAACTTTTCGGTAATTTACAAATCTAAACTAATGAAAGTTACTTATTCACTTAAATAACTTGGGGAGAGACACTTCCTTTATTTCTAACACTAAGCACCATAGTGCAAACAAGGAAACTTAAGCAGAGGCAAATAAAGGGGGGAAATGAGAGCACAGCTTGGTGGTAAGCACAGGACTTCCATCCAATATACAGTAAAGCACAGGTCAAAATGGTGGAAGAACTATATGAAGACATCACTAAGAACTATGTAGGACACTGTTCAGACCACTCCCATGACCCTAGATGGAAGGTAGTCAAACTGGCAAGTGACTAAGAGCCCGGGAACTAAGAGAACGACTCTCTTTCACCAAAGGTATAGCATTCCTACAATGTCTATTTCCAGGGTCTGAATGGAATGTGCGTCCCATCGCCCAAGCACAAAGCAAATGCTGTAACCAAAGCTACGTGACTTCAAACTGGGGAACCATGGACATAAAATTTGCTCTTAGCTGAAAGTCACGCAAAATTATTTCAGAGGGCCCCTCCAATTGTAGGATTCTCATCATTATTACTATTAAAAGTTCTAAGGGGCCTCCGTGGTGGCTCAAGGGGTTAAGTACAGCACTATGAAGCTATCTGCAGCATGAGTTTGATCCCCAGCCCTCCAGGAAGCAACCCACATGGGGCAGCAGACCTCTCCTGTCTCTCCCGCTGCTCCCCTCAGCAGTGTATTTCAGTCAATCTGCCTGTTCTGTTCCCCACTCTGTCTCTGGTGAATCCTCTCACCCCCCACATCTCTGGCCTATACCCCAGTTCTTGTATGCATAAATAAATAAATCTTTTTTTTTTTTAAAGAGGCATGTTTTATTTATTTATTTGTCTGTCTGTTTTGTTTATACAAGCACTGGGTACAGTCAGAAGCACGGGAGGGTGAGAGAATTCACCAGAGCCAGAGCGGGGAGCAGAGCAGGCAGAAGGACCAAAGTACACTGCTGAGGGGAGCAGCAGGCGGCAGGAGAGGTCCGCGGGCCATGTGGGACCCTCCTCCGGTGGCCAGGAAGCAGCCGGGGATCGAACCGATGCCGCAGAGGCCGCGGGCAGCTTCGCAACCCAGCACTCAACCACTGCGCCACCAGGGAGGCCCTAAATAAATAATTCTTTTTAAAAAAAAAGCTCTGGGCCTCCCCGGTGGTGCAGCAGTTGAGCACTGGGTTGCGAAGCTGCCCGCAGCCTCTGCAGCGCCGGTTCGATCCAGGGCTGCTCCCCAGCCACCGGAGGAGGGTCCCACATGGCGCGCAGACCTCTCCTGCCGCCCGCTACCCCCTTCAGCAGTGTACTTCGGTCCTTCTGCCTGCTCTGCTCCTGCTCTGGCTATGGTGAATTCTCTCACCCTCCCGTGCTTCTGACTGTACCCAGTGCTTGTATAAATAAATAAAATAAATAAAAATAAATCTTTAAAAAAAAAAAAAAAAGATGGTGCTAGAAAATATTATTTAAAAAAAAAAAAAAGCTCTAAGAATTCTCCTTTTCAAAAAAAAAAAAAGGAAAAAGAAAAACATCACAATATTGAGGACAACTTCATGGTGCAACACCACCATCTGACCTACATCAGGAAACAATGCGTTATCACTTAAATATAATGTCATTTAGACCTTCCCTAAAACAAGGCCTAAGCTGAAACACTGCTGATTTTTAAAACCACCCAAGTTAGTACAAGGTACTTGGATTAAACCTCATGCATAGTCTACCTTCTTATTGCACTGATTTTAGTCAGGGGCAACATATCACTCTGTCCTGCTTGCAAGGGAGTTCAAAGTAAGGCAGAACAAAGTCTGGGAAAGCTGACTGTCACCTCTTATGCATCTATAGGTGCAAGCTAAGTTCAAGAGTGTCATGCATCACTTTTTCAATCACTTCTTCCACTTGGGAATGTACTGTGATTATAATTCTACTTCTATCTCTCCTTAAGCTACTTCCATGAAAAACACAGGCATCATAGGAACATATGAAAAAGACTGACAAGTCTACACTTCATTCCACAGCAAAGGTAACAATTCTGGTTTCCAAAATTCAGAATCCAGATGCAATTTCAAAATGAGATCCTATTTTCTTTCCATCCCATATATTAATACAAATCTAAACTCTCTAGCAGACCTCTCCTGCCGCCCGCTGCTCCCCTCAGCAGTGTACTTTGGTCCTTCTGCCTGCTCTGCTCCCCTCTCTGGCTCTGGCGAATTCTCTCACCCTCCCGCGCTTCTGACTGTACCCAGTGCTTGTATAAATGAATGAATGAATGAATAAATAAATAAATAAATCTTTAAAAAAAATAAAAATAAAAAAATAAACTCTCTAGCAGAACAAATTTTCCAAAAATAAAAAGAAATTTTAAATGCTAGATGTGCTCTTGTTAGACACAGTTAGGAAAACAATAGCTTAACTTCTTGAGGGTATGCAAAGACTTCTGGCTACAGGTACAAATCAAGGACACTTGTTTCTATATGCTCACACTGAGAGAGCCAGGTTCATAATGTCCATGTTACAGATAAAGGCAACCTATGTGGACATTTCTGTTAGAAAAGCAACAGCAGAGGGCCTCCCCTGGTGGTGCAGGCGGCTGAGAGACGCACTGTGAAGCTGTCCAGAGTCTCTGCAGCGCTGGGGCCAGCCAGCGAGGGTCCCACATGGCGCAGCAGACCTCTCCTGTCTTGCCCGCTGCTCCCCTCAGCAGTGTATTTCAGTTCAGTCTGCCTGTTCTGTTCCCCGCTCTGTCTCTGGTGAATCCTCTCACCCTCCCGCACATCTGGCCTATACCCCGGTTCTTGTATAAATAAATAAATCTTTAAAAAAAAGAGGGCCTCCCCTGGTGGCACAGCGGTTGAGCACTGGGCTGCAAGGCTGCCCGCAGCCTCTGCAGCACTGGTTCCATCCCCGGCCGCTGGGCGAGGGTCCCACATGGCGCACAGACCTCTCCTGCCGCCCGCTGCGCCCCTCAGCAGTGTACTTCGGTCCTTCTGCCTATTTTGCTCTCTGCTCTGGCTCTGGTGAATTCTCTCACCCTCCCGCACTTCTGACTGTACCCAGTGCTGGTAAAAATAAATAATTAAATCTTTAAAAAAAAGAAAAGAAAAGCAACAGCAGGGCCTCCCTGGTGGCACAAGGGGTTAAGACACAGCACTGTGAAGCTATCCACAGCCTCTGCAGCACGAGTTCGATCCCCAGACGGCCAGGGAAATACACACATGGCACAGCAGATCTCTCCTGTCTCGCCCGCTGCTCCCCTCAGCAGTGTATCTCAGTCAGTCTGCCTGTTCTGCTTCCTACTCTGTCCCTGGTGAATCCTCTTACCCACCCCGCCCCCGCACCTCTGGCCTGTACCCCAGTTCTTATATGCATAAATAAATCTTTAAAAAGAAAAAAGAAAAGCAACAGCATACTGTACCTGAAAAGAGTCCGGAGTTATCTATTGGGCCCGGAAACAGGTTGTGTTCACCCACATTGTACATATCCCAGCTGTCGAAGCCCACATACTTCTTCCACTGCTTGAACCACCGGCTGTCAATAAGATACCTAGAGACAAACAAACATTTACCAGGTAAGTCTAGGTTATAGGTCTCTGCAGCTGCTCCCTTAATTTTTAAATGATCTTTTCACTTGGGGAGCAAGCAATTACCACTAAAAAACGCACTCATAGGAGTAGAAACAGGACCTGGCCCCTCATGGCACAGAGGGCCTGGCCTAGGGCAGGCATCCATTAAGTGAAATGGCTGTTGAAAGAATAAATAAAAGTATATAAGTGACTAGCTTTGAAATGTTTATTCAAATGAAGCCTTTCTATGGGTAAAATCTTGCACCTAATGACCAAATTATTAATTTCATAATGCTCTTTATGATAAAATTTTTTCAGGTAAACAGTTTGATGTGAACAACATGAAACTATTTTTTTTCTTCTGAAAACCTATTTTCCTTTAAGACCAAACAAGACATTAAGTATGTGTGAACGCATTTATTTATACATACACACATAAATATAATAGTGTCTAACTATACTGATTTTGTCAAAAAGCATAAAGTTGATCTAGTTATAGTTTAAAAGTATCACTAGGGCCTCCCCTGGTGGCGCAGTGCTTGAGCGCTGGGTTGCGAAGCTGCCTGTAGCCTCTGCAGCACCAGTTAGATCCCCAGCTGCCAGCGAGGGTCCCACATGGCGCGCAGACCTCTCCTGCCGGCCAGCTGCTCCTCTCAGCAGTGTATTTCGTTGGTCTGCCTGTTCTGTTCCCAGCTCTGGCTCTGGTGAATTCTCTCACCCTCCCATGCTTCTGACTATACCCAGTACTTGTATAAATAAATAAATAAATAAATAAATCTTTAAAAATAAATAAATAAATAAAAAGTATCATTATGCTACTTTACAATTAAGACCAAGGAAACCAGGGCTTCCCCGGTGGCGCAGCGGTTGAGCGCTGGGTTGAGAAGCTGCCCGCGGCCTCTGCAGCGCCGGTTCGATCCCCGGCTGCTCCCCGGCCACCGGAGGAGGGTCCCACATGGCGCGCAGACCTCTCCTGCCACCCGCTGCTCCCCTCAGCAGTGTGCTTCAGTCCTTCTGCCTGCTCTGCTCCCCGCTCTGGCTCTGGTGAATTCTCTCACCCTCCCGCGATTCTGACTGTACCCAGTGCTTGTATAAATAAATAAAAATAAATCTTAAAAAAAAAAAAAAAAAAAAAAAAGACCAAGGAAACCTCTGTGGGGGAACACAGCGCAATTACTCTAACAAACCTCAGATGAGATCAAGGAGATTTCCAGAGGCCACAAGGACCCATAAATGCAGATCTCTAAAATGCTCTTTCATATCCAAACCCCTTGAACAATATTCTCAAAACGTTGGGTGTATGATATCAGTATATCTCAAATTTCCTCTACTTCTGCTGAATATTCATCTATCACCCCTATACAAAGTAACTTCCAAAAGTACCTGCTTTCTCTGCTTTTCACAGCTTGGCTGTGTAAACCCTATCTGAACTCCTAATCCCAATTTCTCTTCACTGTTCTACAAAGGTGAACTCTGACAACATCTCCCTTCCCGAGCCAATTCCTCTAACACTAAAAGTGGCACTGTCAATACCACGATGGCTTTTTTAAAAAAGATTTATTTATTTATGCATACAAGAGCTGGGGTACAGGCCAGAGGTGTGGGGGGTAAGAGGATTCACCAGAGACAGAGTGGGGAACAGGCAGAGTGACTGAAATACACTGCTGAGGGGAGCAGTGGGGAGACAGGAGAGGTGTGCTGCGCCATGTGGGTTAGCTCCCTGGTCAGGGATCGAACTTGTGCTGTAGTGGCTACCGACAGCTTCATAGTGCTGAGACTTAACCCCTGCACCACCAGGGAGGCCCCAGGATGGCTTTTTAAAGAGGGACACTCAATCATGGTCAATGCAAAATCAGGACCTATTTTTCTTTATTTTTTTTTTTAAAAAAGATTTATTTTATTTTTATGCATACAAAAACTGGGGTACAGGCCAGAGGTACGGGGCAGGGGGATGGGGTGCAGGTGGGTGGGTGAGAGGATTCACCAGAGACAGAGAGGGGAGCAGAACAGGCAGACTGACTGAAATACACTGCTGAGGGGAGCAGCGAACGAGTCAGGAGAGGACAAGACCAATTTTTCTACCCCCACACTAAAAGTGGGGGGTAGATACTACTATCCAGGAATCTTCTCAGTGGGAGTATTGCCCCCTCTACCAAACAATTATTAAAAAAACTCTAGTCTCAACTTGCGCTTCCAAATGCTGGACTTTTAAATCTTTTTATTTAGACTATAGGTTATCTTCCTCTCCCACTGAAATGGTGCTGCCACAATTATTTTTGACATTTTCTACCAAAATAATCTGGGGCTCTCAGACATTTGTTCCGTTTCTGACCTTGACATCTGTCGGCAGTTTACAAGTTACAAAGTATCTACTTCTGATCTTCGCCTCAACCCACTGACTGTGGGGAATTGGGGGTGACCTGGTTTTAAAAGTAAGTAATAGCGGTCAGGAAGCCTTCGCACAAGGTCACACAGCGAATCCTCAAAGGCAAAGTGCTCTCCTCATCTTGAAGGTCCTCAAGAGCACAACTTCTCCCCATTCAGAAGTCCTTGCCCCCCTCCGGGCCCGCCCCCTGGAGCTTGGGATGAGCTGGGACTACCCTCCGCTCCACCCGCACTTCCCGAGGGGCGATCCCCGAGTTCCTCTCCGAAAGGGCAGGGGTCAAGCCACTCTCTCGGGGTCACTAACATAGCTTCCCACGGGTCCCAACCCAAGCCGCGAAAGGGGCCTAGCCTGAGGGCCAAGGCCTCAGGCTCTGGCCCTGAGCGGCGGAAAAGCAGGCCCGGCGCTCACCAGTGCGCCCCTCGTTGGAGCGTGGTCCTCATCAAAGCCCCGAGCTCGGATTTCTGGGTCTCCGCATCCGGTCGGTCACGGCAGCCTCCGCCTTCCGCCATCTCGTCCGCGGCCCCGGCCCAGCCGGCCCGGACATCCGCCTCGCGCACAGCGTGCTGTGAGCCGCGCCCACGCACGCACGTACGTACGCACGCACAGCCGTGCGCGCGCGCCGCCGCACCCCGCGCGGCGACCCGGAATGCCCGCCCGCCCGCCTCAGCCATGTCTCCCCGCCCCCCCCCCCCCCACAGCGTTCGTCTCCCTCGGGCGCGCGGTGGAGATAGCAGGGGGCTGGAAGAGGGGGCGGCTGCAGGGGCCGCACCGTCTAGTGGCGGTAGGAGGCGTCAGACAGCAGGCCACGACCCCTCTCCGGCCAGCGGGCGTATCTTGGTCTTAAACGCAGGGCCAAGTGTGAGGAGCCCTGGAACTAGATTTTCTTGTTTTCTTCACTCTGGCCGTGCCTTTTTCTGCTGGGGCCTTTAGGAGACTTTAGCTGCCCAAACGTGGGATTGGGGTTTCTGTCCTGGAGGCCCTAGAGGGATTTTGGGAAGTGCCGGGTTCGTGGACGCCTTAGGAGTGGACTGGAAGCTGTGGTTTAGTCGTTAGCAATCGTCTCAGTTTGGCCTCGAGAAACACCGGAAGCCCTCGACACCGAGCTGGCTGCTTGCCTTGTCAGGGACACACACCCGCAGCGAAGGGGCGATAAGCACCAGGAAGGAGAGGTCCTGGTGTGTTTTCTACGTTAATTGCCCGACTGCTGCTTAATTTGTAGCTGCAATGAGATACATGTCCTGAACGCTCTATGTTTTCCCCTCAACCCAGCACACAAAAACGGCCAGCCCTATTTCTGGAGAAGGAAGTAAGCCCAGTGCAAGGAGGAGGCCTTGCAACTGGCCCAGGTGAGTGTCCACTCACTGGTCTAGCATTCCTGTCCTCAGAAGAAAAAGAAATAATACCCAGTACCTATCCTAATACAATCTAATAGAGAAGAGCTCTTCCATAAATAACCCCGGTTCTAGGCATTGTGTTAAGGGCTATTAAAGGGTGTGAACCAAATACTGTGGACCCAGAGCTGTAAAAGGGAGACTGATTTGAGTAGCATTTGAGGGTGGCCTGGAAAACATAGAAATGAGTGTGCTTGATACTGGAGGAGAGATTAGAGGGGTCAGAGAATTTCTGGGACAGGCAAAACAGGATCAAAGTATGAGAATTAGGTCAATTCTGCTGGGCACAGACTTTTGAAACAAACTGAGATCTAAAGCTAGGAAGGAGGCCAGAGGGGCCACACGTCCTGTTAAAATGGCTGGCAGATAGTATAGGAGGTTTTGGAGCAGAGACAAAATGACTGAGGATGCTTTACACCCACAGTGGTACATAGCCCAGAGAACTGTTAGGAACGTTCCAATGGAGATGTGGCTATGAAGGAAGAGAAGAAACAGATGAGCCACATTCGGTGTTGGGAGTAGAAGGAGAGGTAACCTGGTGAAGGTGTGGTAGGTTACACATACTATTTTATGTTGGGTCTTGGTTAGTTGAAATTAACTTGCACTCCCTGGGACATCCATCATGTACCATCTGGCAACAGAGGCTTCTTTGCAGTTGGGTAGAACAGGAGAGTGGGAGCAAATTTGGAATTAAAATACCTTGTCTAACCACGTAACAATCCCCTGCAGATAAGAATTTCCACCAGGTGATGGATGATTCTTTGGAAATTATTTGAAAAATCTTGTCTAAGGAGAACTATCTTTAGTCCTGTTACATATGGAAAAATAAAGTGGGGTTACTGACATTACTTCAGAACCTCCATTAGAGGGTGCCTGCTTCCTTCTGTTCTGCAGTTTCTCCTATACCATTTATGGCATGGGTCAGTCTTAAATAGGACAAGTCCTCAGCACCAACAGAAAGGGGGACAAAGCCTGATTATAAAAATGAAAGCTTTTAAAGCCAGATGCCTTCATTGCTATTAAAGGGCTATAAAATAGTGCCCAAATTATATGTAATTCTAAAAATATATTGAGATTACAAGTGCCAGTCATTGAAATGCAAGGAATCAAATGACACTTCAAATTGAAAAGGTCATCATTTGCAAAGTTTCAAAATGTTTTAATGAGCTTGATTAAAATGTTAAAAGTTGAGAGAAACAATGACCATCTGTGGGTTCCAGCTCTCAAAGGAGTGATTTAGAATTAGGGTAGAAATGAGTTAAGTGATTCAGCTCAGGACTCCCTGGGTTGTGGGCTGTGTTCTCATTTGGACCATTTTACCTGGGGAGAAGTGTGGCCACTCTCTTGACCCTATAATGAAGCCCCAGAAGTGAAGTGCCTGCCCATCTGTTGCCAGGGAAAATTGAGCCACGGAACTGGAGGAAGACCTGGAAGGCAGCTAAAAGGACCAGGCTAGTTGGTTGGTTGCACAATGCATGATCTTGGACTGTGATGATTTCATTGAGGGTTTGTAATGTTTGAGTGTATGAATTGTAAGCTTTATTTGGTTCCAAATTTTAGAAAGTTATTGCCTTGGCTGGTACAATGGCCTAACTGTTGTTGGCCCTCTCAAGTCACCCTTGGTCCGTACTTACATACAACCACAGAGCACATGTGGCAATATTCACAAGTACTGTATAACTTTTGATTAGAGGTGACATCAGGTGAGAAATATTTTTGTTTTCTTTTTGCCTGTATTTCCTTAACCTGACCAGGAGACTGAGAAAAAGAAAAAGGCTCTAGAACTACTTTTTCGAAGAATTAAACATCCTAAGAGTGACTTTATAACCTCTGTTATATAAGGATTAGTTTATAGGGACAGGTGACAAAAGGAAAAACCTGAAGGAATCTCAGAAGAAGTGGGAATACCTTTCCTATACTGGAGATTTATGCTGTTGGACAAATTCCATTCCTGTTAATCCAGGGTTGGTGACCAGCCCTGATTGGGCAGGGTGGGTGTGACCAGTGCCTTTTCTTCCTCTTCTGCTTCTCTTACCATCAGTGTTTTCATGTAAAACCAAGTATTCAATATTTAGATGTTGATTTGTGTGTGTGGCTTGCCCTTTGCACAGAGCAGATTGTCTTTATGCATTTTTTGGATGGATGCATGAAATGAATCATCATAATGAATAAATGAAAGAATTATCCACATTCCAATAATTTTTTCAGTTGAGTATAATCTGTTACGCACGGATGGTCCCTACCCTCTAGGGATTCACAGCTGGTGTGGTTGGGGAAGATGTTTTCGCATGTAATTACAATGTTGTGTGATAGAAGTGCTACAGGTATGCAGAGGGTCATGTCACATGCTTTGTGGGAAGGAAATTTAATTGGAAAAAAGGTGTACTTAATGTTCCCTCTGTCCTTTGCGGATGCATGATGAGACTGCAAGGGATGTTGAGGGAATCAACATCCTTTTTTGGAATCACACGCATATGTGCTTGGGCATATTAACATACTAGGGACAGAGAAGCCTGAATTAACAGATTCTTCCTTTGAAGGGAAACTCGGTTCCCCTCCATTTGCCTCTCTGTGGAGCCAGGCAGCCTGCAGGACTGTAAGACAGCACCCATGGTTGGCTGCACTTGTCCCAGGGTGTTGCTCGAACTCTAGGCATTTGGGTTAACTGACCTGCTTTGTGGTCTCCTATGTTGGTCCTGTGAGCCACAACTTCACTGGGCTTGGGAGGGGTACTGGAGCTGTCTATAGGATGAGTGATGGAAAGGCTGCTGGGCCCTACAAAGCATATCACTGTCATGTCATGTCAGTCTCAATACTTCTGGGAAAGAAACTAACAAAATATCCACCAGCAAGTAGCCTGCCTAGTTGGTGATTTTTCATTTTGTTTTCTCACATGACATGTCTGGGGTTGAGTCTTAGGTAAGTAAAAGCTGAGGAATGTCAGGGCTCAGTATTTGCTTTTCTGTTTCCCTCTTGGCCTTCTATCTCACCAGGGTACTAAGAGGACTGCCTTGGGGCCTCCCTGGTGGCGCAGCGATTGAGCGCTGGGCTGCGAAGCTGTCTGCAGCCTCTCCAGCGCTGGTTCGATCCCCGGGTGCTTTTAAAAAAGAGGACTGCCTTGGTCTCAAAAACGTACTCAAAAATTCTACTGAAAAGGGGCCTCGCCTGGTGGTGCAGCGGTTGAGTGCTGGGCTATGAGGCTGCCCGCAGCCTCTGCAGAGCCCGTTCGATCTCTGGCTGCCGGTGAGGGTCCCACATGGCGTGCAGACCTCTCCTGCTGTGCCTGCTGCTCCCCTCAGCAGTGTATCTCGTCAGTCAGCCTGTTCTGTTCCCTGCTCTGGCTCTGGTGGGTTCTCTCACCCTCCTGCGCTTCTGACTGTGCCCAGTGCTTGTATAAATAAATGAATAAATCTTTGGGGAAAAAAGGAAGCGAGTAACCCTTTCTCTCCTGCTTTCTGGGATCCTAGGGGCTTTACCAGGAGACCCTGCGCCTCCCTTAGGCCAAGATCATGTTACCTACCTCTAACTGTGCAGTAGGTGAGGCTAGGAAAGTGAATTATGCTATCTGGCCAGGAGGAGGGGCTTAGAATGACTGTCATGTGGAAATTAGCAGTGTGATGTGTACACGGCCTCTCTGGAAGGCAGTGAGAATTATGCCATCCACAGCCGGTGCCCATGAGACCTCATTTCTTGGGCAAGAACTCCTCTCACGTCTGCTCCGAGCTCCCAGTCGTACAGTGCCTGATGTGAGGCATGTGTCTAGTAACTTGTGTGACATGCTGGCCTTTGTTTTAATGCCAGCCCAAGTGTGTCACACCTGTGTGTGAAAGTATGCTTTTCCAGCCTGTTTAGTGAGTGGAATAACAAAAACCTGCCAAACTCTGGGAACTCTCACAGGAATTAATCTTCATGCTTTGTAAATCCATGCTGATTACTCTTACGGAGATCTTTAACCAATATTTTTTAATCAGCATTATCTAAGAGTTAAAACTTTAGAAGTTAAAACTTAGACCAGTCAGGTCAGGAATGCTTCTCTAAAATAAATTTGCTTTAAATGGTATTTGTAGATTTATGTTGAGACAGTTAGAATAAGGAAGTCATCTGATAAAGGGCTAATTGTATAAGTGCCTGACCTCATTTTATCATATTTTTTTCAGC